TTGAGTTTCATCTGCCATTTTAAAATCTACTTCCTCGATCTTTTGAAGTTCTTACACCATTTTCCACAGCCTACCTTCATCTGCACTACCATGAGAAGCTTAGTATTGTCAGGAAACTTATTTCATTTTTCTCATCTGTTTTTATCTTCTTTTTTAATTGAATAAAGAGGTTAAACAAATGGGACCCCAGAGAACTGTAGTGATGATTTCTTTTAATGTGAAAACTGAGAATTTACTCTTTTTCTTCCTACTTTTAAGCAACTATTTATTCATACAAATCCTCCTCTTTTTGCTGCTCTGAAGTCTTGGGTGGGAAATGAAGTGGGATGTTGGTGAGAGCTTTTGGAAACACATGTAAATTACTTGAACTAGATCCGCTTCTGTGCATGATTGTTTGCTTCTTTCAAGCAGCAAATCCATTATCCAAATGTAATTTTTTTTTTTGTTATGTTTTCCTGTTTTGACTCTTGTTAACCCCAGGTTTAGTTTTTAATAAAAAAGAGTGTGTTGGTTGGCTGCTTTTAAACCATGTTCTTTGGCATTTATTGGTTTCGCTGTCATCCTCATTTGAAAAATTGGCATCTGACCTTGATTTCAATAGGCTGCAGTTCCTTTGTATGTTGAATTCATTCTGGTTTTGTGAATAGACACTCTTTGTTCCAGCAGCAGCACCAGTTTCCTTCTTACTCTTATCTGCAACATGTTTTAAATTTTGAGGGCATCATTTAGCCTTGATTAGATGATCCTGCTGTTTTGTCAAAGTCACATTTATTTTTGAAATTGTGACTAGTAGTACTGTGTAGTTGTGCCAGGGAATTAATTCAGGATATTCTTTTTTGAATCTGATTACAAATATGCTTTATAGTTCACAGTGCAGACTACAAATACCCTTGACATCAGTATGTTTGCAGAGAGCTCAAGAGCTTCTACTGCTAGCAGTAGAAGAATGTTGTTTAAAATACTTTCTTTGAGATATGTGTGCTGCTGGTAGCTAGAATTTTTATGCTGAACTGTTGCATAAGCTTTCAGGAGTTTGTAATACATGGGCTGTGCAACCTACTGGTGAGCAGCAGAACCAGGGAAAAATGTAGGTTTTGCTAAAGTATTTTGGGTGAAGTCACGTTGTTTGGAAATACCTGTCATCTTCTTGATAAAAGACAGACTTTGCAGTGACTTGCAATATTACTGATCTTAATAGTGTCTGTAGAAAACTGTTGGATGTTAAGTTCTTACAGGGTCTTTATCTGTTGTTTTTGTATCCTCACATTCTGAAATTTGCTATTAATCTATGCTCATGGTGTATTGCACCCTTAGTCATTGTAAAAAAAAATAGTTAAAGTTTGTACTCTACTGAAGAGGAGGAACTGAAAAAGCAGAAATAGAAATTAGTGGTGTTATTAGAACCACCATAAAAAGTCTTTGGAAGCTTTGTGTTTTCCAGAAGTCTGTTTCTCAGTATTATATGCTACATGTTTGTGGGAAAATTACTGTATCTGGATCATCCTGGTTAAGGATGTGTACAAAATTATTCATACAAAACCTTTGCAGATCATACATTTTATAGTGCTAGAAGACTATTTATTATGACTCTGTATATGCATAAATTTCCTTTTGTAGGAGAAAATAAGAAAACCATTAGAAGTCCTATAAAAGGAAATCTTCAATAGTATTTAGCCAAAGAGATTTTTATATAACATCAGCATTAATTGTAGATAGACAGTTAATGAGGGGGGTGTGTGTATATATATATATACACATAAAAAATTTTTACTATGCAGAAACATTATGTAGAGAGAAAAGACATCTTTTCAGTTCCAAAGCACCCAGTGTGTAGTTCTTTTTGTTTCCATACTGTTTTAAAAATCTTCTAGTTAAAGCAAGCTGTGGGAAGGATGTGTGGGGAGTTCTTCCTCATGCTTTTTGCTCCAATTTGAGAAAGATTCACTCACACCTAATTCATCACAAAAGATAGGTGAGCTTTTGTTTTCTCTTTGTGCTCACAAGTTAGCTCAAAGTTCATGGCTTAGTAGTTGCCCAATTTTTCTTTAATCTATAGATTTTTGCCTTCTCCCACACCTTCTTAGATGAAGTCTTACACTGTTCAAAGTGAAAGATAATGTTGCTTATTTTCCCCAAACTCCTCAAGAAAGTTGGACAGTATTATATGAACCATTTATGTTGGATAAGATTTCAAGCATCATTTATGCCTAAACTCTGCAATATACATTGTTTTTCTTGCAGAAAACTGCTAGATAGGAGGATCTGGTTCTTTTTTTCACCTTAAAAGTAATGTTTCCTCCTGCATTATTGCAACCCATGAAGCAGATAAGTGGGATGGGCAGGTAGCTTGTTTTGGTATTACACCTTTCTTAAATAGTAATGAACTGGATATCAGTATAGAGAGAAAGTGATCTTTTTTAAGTTAAACTTGCAAAATTGCTTAAAATCTGTTCTAAAGATGGAGTTTCTTTGTGTAGAGCCTTCTCAATTTAGTAATTTAGGAAGATCTTCCACTAGTGTAGTAGACAGAGAGTGCTTTTTGAGATCTTTTAGATCTCAGTGTAAATTTGCCAAATGTGGCTAAGTTGTATTTTTCTGCTGTGGTTTATTTGGTTCAGATGAATACTGCTGTCATTAATTTATTGTATTTTATTTAGCTTACTAAACAGACTTATAGGCAGAGGTTTGAATGCCCAATGTAAAAAATAGATGGGAGGTGAACAAAGATTGGAAAAAACAAATTAAGTTTATGAAAAGAATTGGTGCTGATTATGTTTTATGTCTTTTGTTTTTAATTAGAGAACTAAAATTAACAAAATCATGCCACTGATACATCGATTCTCTTGCCAAAAACCATTTCCCCTCAATTTTTTCAACTTTTAGACTCATAATTTCATAAATTGGAAAATATTTAATACAGATTACAGGCAAGATTTCTTTGACTCTGCTATTCAATGACTATTTCTATGAAGTGCTAATTGGACTAATAAGACTATGAAACATGTTCTCTTTAAATCAATCACTTTAGCTTTTAAATCTATTTAAGTGATAGGAAAGCATGGTGGTTTAGATCCACTGTTCTTTCATAATAAAGTTACATTTTAGACACTAAAGAGCATTAGGGCTTATTGTGACTCTTACCCAAGGCAGTGTGTGAGGTTTACCTGAAGGCATTATTAGCTACTCTGGTTTTGAACGCCAAGTGATATTTGTACGTGACATAAAAACTATTCACATGAAGAAAAGCGTTTTTTTTTTTTTTAATATTGGAAAGAACTCAGAGTCACTGCAAGAGTTTGAACAGCATTTATGGCATAAAAGTAAGTTATTTTCAGGGTACAGGAATTTGTGAAAAGATAATTGGTTAGACCAACATTCTCATTAACCTAATTTGCATTAAATGTGTGACTGTGAATTGTAGTTATTACTTTTCCATTTGAAATGTGGGCTTTGTTAACTTACTTAAAGACCTTAGTTAAATTAGAGTTTAAGTCATACCTTTTATAATTCATCAATACAATATCAAACTGAGGATCTGTTATTCCCAGCTTTGTGTGCGTGAGGAATCATAGACCAGTTCTTGATCCCAGTGGATTTTCCTGATAAAGTACGTTTGTTTAGCTGCTTTATACCTGGTCATTCTCAGATACTGGAAGAATTTGACTAATGGTTTCATTTTACTCCTTTATAACAGCAGAGGAAGATATTTCTCTGTGACACAGCACTAGAAAACTGAAGGAGTCTTGGGGATACTGGAAGAAAATACTTATTCCTTTGTTCTAATAGTATGAAAACTGTGAGGATGACTGGTTTTTTTTTTTCCAGTAAAAATTCTTTGCATATGTAACTAAATTGAGCCTTTAAAATATGAGATGTTAAAACTAATTAATTTGCACATTTTTGTATCCATTTTAAAATTATGAGATTGAAGAATGAATTTGTTTTTCTTTAATTTTCAGCATTAGTTATTACTTATTAGCAGTATTTTAGAAGATTTTGAAGCTGAGGGCATTATTTACTGTTGTGCTATGTGCAATGAAAAGGAAGGCACATTTGTCAGCAGGGAGTCACCTGAGGTGCTCAAGTGAAGTATTTGCATCTGCAGAGAGGTATATAAAGACAGGGTCTTATTTTTCCATTCTGCTGAGCATACCTTGTCATTATGCAACCTGGTGCTTGTGAATTATATGAACCAAGCATTTATAAAATGAGGCTTCTTAGATTGTAGTGTTTGGCACCGGTTGTTTTCAAAATAGTGATTTCTGGAGGCACAGAATGAAAACCAAAGCCTAGCTGATCAGCTACGGTTGTATGTCAGCCCAAGCCTCCCAACAGTAAGAGGAAGTTTCTCCTGTCCTGGAGGAATGTGGTAGGAGATTGGAAGTTCCTATAACTAACTTTGTATATGTAGCTTAATTGACACTGTGTAAGGTTTCTTTTCATTCAGTCCCTTATGTGTATAAGTTGGATTTTGGGGTTCAGTGACTTTTTTGATGACAGTGCTGGAGTAGGGACTAGTTCAAGGAAGTGAAAGTCTAGAGGATTTAGCTACTAGACAAGAAGTCTTTACTTGGCCTGTACAAACTGTTTTTTAAGACATTTATAATCCATTTTAAGAGAGATTTGCATGTTGATAAGAGGAGGTCTATCTGCAGTGCATTCAAAGCTGCACATAAAAAATACACTCTGTGAATACTGTTCATATTCCTAGTATGTTGTCCAAATTGGACTTCTCAGTGAAAATCTTCCTTTTGATATAGCACCTAGCACCTCATTCAGTTTTGAGTTTGTTGTGCCTTTTTCAGTACTGTCTGCAAATAAGAGATGAAAAGATCTTTCTGTAGTACTTTGGCTTAAGGAATTTTCATATTGTGAATGCAAGCAGAATTAAAATTAAATGCAAATTTGTTGAAGACGTGAAATTTTATTGATTGAGTTTACTTCTACAGGGTTAGGAACTTTGGAGAGTGATTGTTATTTTTAAAAAAAAAAAAACAATTTATTTATTTTCTGCAGGTGATTCCTTTACACAGTTCCAATTTGCTGATGAGAAAGAATGGGATAGAGAAAGCATATGCCATAAGCAGGTAATGGAATTGTCATTCAGATGAGATTTTATGTATAATTGCCTGGCACTGAACACCCAGGCAGCTGGGCTTTCAGCAACAAAAGGTTTACTACAACAATAGCACTCTTTATTCTCTATATTCTTATTAATTTGTCTCTGATGCTGGAGGATCCTGGGTCATGTCCTTTATTTTCCTTTTTCTTCTGAAGACTTGTCAAAGCAGCAGGTTAGGTTTTTAAGTAATGTTAGAAGAAAAGAACAAACAAATCCATCCTGTGAAGGGAAAATAAGGGACTGTTGCTTTGCTTTACTTACCAATTCAACCTTCCTTTATCAGCTGTATTCAAGAGAAAATAGTTTAGTGAAATTACTACAGCAAAATCTATTGGAGTATATTCATATATTTGACTATGAAGCTTGTTCTGGTTCTTTCAAATTAACAGTTCATATGCTCTGGCTGAACTTTGCCCCACAAATAACTATAAGACCAACTAGCTTAGATATTATTTGTATGTGGATTCTTTATACTGGAATAAAAAGGGGGCAAAGCAACAGGAGCCTGCTGTGTTCTACATCAGGCTACTAGAAAGTGTTTAATCTCTGCAGCTCTTGAAAATCATCCAAATTATTGCAAGATAAATGCTTTTCTCTTCCAGACATTTCTTAAAATTGCTGTGAAACTCTTTGGGTGTTTCTTGAAACATATATTTGTATTCAAATTTCTGAAGTTTGCTACTTATTTCCAGAAATATTGACAATAATTATTCCCTGGGAAGTGAAATTTAAAGGTACATTTATGTTGCAACATCAAATTAAAATGAGGAAATAAATCCAAGTGAGACATTTGTTTAAGCTGTCACATGTTTGTTCAGTGGGATGCAGTCTTTCAATGGCTGTGTATTTTTTTTCTTATCAGTTCCACTCCTTGTGTGCAGGATGTCCGTGTCCAGAATATTACTTTCTTCATAATTTCCTCATAGGCTTGTCATTATAGCATTTGATTTGAAGACCTTAATTAGTTTCTGAATAGCTAAAGCCATGGTAAACAGAGTGAAGTTGCACGTTGCCAGTGCATTTCACAGATATTCTTCTGGCTGCCAGAAGAATGAGACTTCACAGTTCTGGAGCTGGCCCCACACTCTCCCTCATTGTGAGGGTTGCTGTGGTGGGCACATTCTTCTGCCTCTGTCCCTACCAGACTGTAGTCACTCATCCTGTCCTATCTAAATCCATTGTTTCAAACTCTTTACTGTCTTTTGCTGTTCTTGTGCCAGTTTCAAATAGTTTACTGCACTAGTCAGCATTACCCTTCCATTGATTTCTTATTTTAGCCCAGAATCCTGGCCTGTGTAGTTTCACAGCAGTACCCGATTTTCCACATAATCTCTGGTCTTCAGCCTGTTATCTTCTTTGTTCCTGGCCCATCTTTCTTTTCCATAAAAGCTGGATACAGGTCTAATTTTCATCCTAGATCCACTTTGCCAAATTCTCTGCCGTTGCCTCTTAGCTCACCTGTTTCCAGTTCTTTGCCTATACGTTATGTACAAGTTTAGGGAATCATAAATGGAAGTGATTATGATGGAACAAAATAAAGCAAAAAAGGCATAAAAATAGATGCAGAATGACTGGGTATTTCCCATTTCCTGTTCCTTGAAGAAAGCAATGGCAAAGCATTTGTTTGAAATGTGGAATGGAAATGTAACAGTGGCATCAACAAAAACAAATTTTCAGTTTATTAAGAATATTATCAGTCATTGTTACAAAAAGTAGATCTGGATTTACTTTGTTGCATATTGATAAAAATGCAATAAAAATGTTTCAGAACAGAGTCTGCAATTTAAAAATCAAACAGTTAACAGTCATTTGGATTTTTCAGTGGCAGGTGGCAATTCCAGCAACAAACTATGCCTCTATTTTGAACAAATAACTACCTGCACCAGGTAAACTATAAACCAGTGTTTATAGTTTATTAAATCTTTGATCCCTTTGTTTCTTTTTTACTCAAACACCACTTTTATTGAAATCTGTACTTGGATAGTTAATTTCTTCTGTTATTTCTCCAGATTGTGTGTGCAACTATAGTTTGTTGCTTTTGTAAGCATCAAACCAGCATTTTAAAAGGTGGGGAAGTACAAAAAGTGCCATGTTGTTTAGGCACTAAAAACAGGAGAACTACACACAAGCTACATAGTTTGACTGCTTGGAAAACAGCAGCTCATTAAAGAATGGCGATTCCCACTGCATAGAAAGGTTCACAGATTAAAAAGTTATTTGGAAAAGCCTTTTATGACATTGTCAACTTGCAGAACTGTTGCCTGCTTTGGCTTTTCAGGGCGTTGCCTAAGGAAGATTTCATTTATATCTTCTTTTTAACCTTTAAGTGATTGTTTCCACTGTAGGTGTTTATGTGGTAGTTTGGCCAAACTGCTTTGTACGTGTGTAGTTTAAAACTATGAATCCCAGTATTTCATTAGATTGTTCATATTCCTTGAATGGTGGGAACGGGGAGATGTAATAGATTAAAGTCATTATTAGTTCATATTTTTTAATATAAGCATGCTGTGTGTTGAATTGTATTTCAGTTATCTGCATTTTCTGTTGACTGCCAGTCTTTGGTCCAGGCACTTCAGGAGCTGCCTCTACATCTAAGGCTGAATATAGCTGCTGAACTTGTGCAGGTAATGCTGTGAATTTTCACAAGAAAAAGCAAATATTTTAAGTGAAACAATCTATGCAAGAATAATTACTTTAAACTTGGTCTTCAAACATAAGTAGGATGTGTTTTATAAGTAAATACTTTTCTTGAGCCTGGCATGTCAAATGGCATGTAATGCAGAATTGTCTCTATCAGCACTTTTTATGCTTTGTTGACTTTAAACAAAGTGCTTTGATGTGCAGCACATTAGATCTGAAGCCAGGAATCGGAGTATTTGACGTGGAATGATTGCACTGGTTTTGTGTTTCCTTCAGTTAGCTGCTGTTAGAAGCTTGCACCAAAATTTTGAAAATGCTTTCACATTTTTTCCTCTTAATTATTTTGTGATATACTCCGTCTACATATTAACAAGAACAAATATGTTTATTCCATGAATCAAACTTACATCTGTGTTAGAACAGGTAAAACTGTCAATCAAGCAAGTGAAGAAAATGTCATTTATGCTCTGGTGGAAGAAAACCAAAACATCTCACAACAGAATATTGGGAAAAAATGTTTCTTCAAGCTGTGAAAAATAAAATATTTATGTAAGGGCAAAAGAATCAACAAGATGTAAATAGAAAACAACAATTCTTAAAAAAGAAAAAAAAAATAATCCAGCTGCTCCAGCAAGGGGAAAAAAAAACGTGACCCCCTGCAGAAAAAAAATTTACTTCTGTTTGGAGCTTCATGAAGTGCTTCTGTGTCTGACACAACTATGCTTTTCTAAGGGAAGCTGCAGATAATATTGCTTCCAAACACAATTTTCTTCTTAGGAATTCTAGTCATGATCTTTAACTTTAATCAGTTATAAAGTGTGTGTTAAAACATTTAATCTTTGCCGTGTCATTCTCAGTGGTGATGTGGTTATCACATATGCTGCAGTGCTCTTAGTGCCAGGACATCCTGAGAAAAGCAGAATCTGTGTTCCACGGTTAAATAATGAATTGCCAGTTCTCCTTTCACTGTTTGGTAATGTTTTATAATGTAGTTTCAGAAATACACAGCAATATACTGTAGCTTATCCAAATGATTTTCAGCAACCCATAGTATGGTTTGCTTTCAAGGCTGGAACTTTGGAGGGATGGCCTAACATGGGGTAATGTTTTCTAGCCAAATTCTGACTTCGGTCATTCCAAAATTCAGAGTATTGATGGGATTTCATTACAGAAGAATTTATTAAAAAGTAACTCTCCAGGAAGTATTTATGAAACAATGGAACTTGCTGATTTAGCATAAAACCTCATGTTCCATAGTAAGGGATAGAAGGAGTTTGTATTTTGTGGTTGCTTCTGTAAAATTATCATCAAGATAACTGTAGTTTACTTTTACTTCTGAATCCAGTTCTGCTGAACTTCACTGGGCCACCTTAAGTGATTAAATGTAGGAAGCATGAATTACAATCCAAATTAGAATAGTGAAAATGGAGATGATAATTAGACTGAAGTCCTTTCTTGTACTCAGGAGTCAACACCTGCAGAGCTCCCACAGATGAAATCTAAGATGACTGAAGACAGCAAGAGAAGAGGGCTTCTATTCCAACAGTCTCTGGCTCAAAGCAAAACAGGGTTGGCCTGCCTTACCACTGAGGGTTCTGTTGCTCCATCAGGCCTTGGAAGCAAAAATGGTCCTAGGGCAGGTGCAGCGGAACCATTTCAGAGAGCCCATCCACTATCAACGCAAGAGACTGACCATTTGGAGGAAGAACTCGATCTTCTCCTAAATCTAGATGCTCCCATTGATACAGAAAATAGACCTGACTCAGTGGCATTATCCTCCAACACATCAACTGAAAAAGATTTAAAAATGGCGTGTGAGGAAACTGGTAAGATTTCTCCCCAGCATGCCCTTATTTACTTTCCATTGCTCTCTATTTTAATGATGTTTTTGAACTCTTCATAGCTACTCACCAGTAGGCCTGTCATCATCTCTGTCACACTGCATTTCATTCATATGGGGGCTATGTTCTGACCCATTTGTTCCTTTTCAGTTTTAGCTCCCCACAGAACCAGTCAGGTCATTTTAAGCATTAAGAGATATTCCCCTGCTGAATAGCATCGGTCTTATGATTCAGCAAAATTTTAAATTAAAAAAAATTAATGTACCGCTAGAGAATTTCAGTGAGAGGAAGATAAAGTTTTTATTTAACGTTATCAGCCCTTAGTTCCTTGTGCTAATAGCATACAGCAGAATTGACAGCTCTTTCTGATGGTGTGTTATAAATGCTACTTTCAAACTTTAGTAGATTTTGTAAAATCAACTTTAGTATGGAAGCAAAACATAGACAAAAATTTTCATATTTTGGAAAAGTCAGCAAACCCTTCCTTTTGTGTGCATTCCTAGAAGTTATACTACTGGTTGTTAGCTTTGATGGAGATAGTTTGTCACTCCTGCCCAGTCCACAATCCTGTGAAAGAATATTTAGCATCTGACTTTGCGTAGGATTTTCTTGGGTGCAAGTTGCCACCATAAGCAATACATCAGCCTTGTTATTGGAGACAGTCCTGAAGTGCTCCGTCGTGTCGGTGATCCGGCATCCAGTGAAAATCCCTTCAGAAGGCAGTGCCAGCAGACTGGAATTATCCCATGCTGTAGCAACCACACAGGGCAATCTGCTGTTGGGGCCTCCTGCTCCTCTCCTGTGCTAAACTCTACAGCAGACAGGATTGTGAACAGCCACAGCAGGGAGGTCACTTACAGTCTGTCTTCTGCAGGCCCTGACCCCCGTGAATCAGATGGAAGCCACATTGCTCTGGGTGAGTTTATTACGCTGCCTCGTTTTGTTTTTTTTTTTTTTTTTTCTAATAGCTACTACTATATTTGGAATATGACTTGCTGTGCTTCAGGAAAGAGAGATTGTGTTTAAATAGATTCAGTTGTGTGTTAAAAAGAAAACTGGTCTGGTATGGAATTGTTTCCAGGTTTTCAAGTCTGTTCTTCACTTTTCTATACCTCTTAAACCTAGATATGCCTGAAGAGAAGAGTACAGCATCAGAGCAGCAGCCAAGTACATCTAAAACTGTTACTGAGGAAGAGCTTGAAGACTGGCTGGACAGCATGATTTCCTGAAGCTCAAGTTTTCTGTGCGGATTATTGAATATAGCAAAATTTAACTAGAAAGTGGAATCTTTCACTTTGTTCAGTATGCCAAAAGCTTGGTTTTGTTTATTGGCACCTAAAGTTCTGTGCAACCAAAACTCTCTTAGATGTGATTGAAAATTGTCTAAGACTAATATTCTTAAAGGTCTAAAGTTTGTGATGAAATAAATTAAGATTTTTCTGTGCTAAAGACGCAGGCTACAACACACCAAGAGAACAGTTGTTTCAGTTTGTATTTGCTCTATGTAGTCCTTAAAATAAAGCTATGAATGAACAATGAATACCTGTGGTTTTAGTCACTGTCCTCATGCCACATGCACATATTGTGGAAGAAGGAGAAAGAAAACAGACAGTGTTATATTTGGTTTATGATACTTTATTGCAGTGGGCACTTTTTATTAGAGGAAAGAAAAATATGCATAATCCTAATAGCTTCTACTTGCAGGTGACCATAGAGCAGTGTTTTATTTTGGCCTAAGGTTTAAATTGTTTTCATTTTGATACAGTGTATGTCTTTTAACAGCAGCAGCTAATAAGCTGTTATTGAAGGTAGTATATAAACAAACTTCAAGTGCAATTTCATACAGAAAGACAGAAAAGCAAATACAGTTGATGGATCTGTTCACCTAGAACACTAACATAAAAAGTTTGCATAGCTATGTCTACAGAGGTTTTAAGGCACTTAATGTTTCAAGGTTGACGTGTTTGAAAATGTTTTCTTTTTGACTGCTTAAAGCTTTTTAAGCTGTATCTTAATACATTCACTAGCAAATACTGGGGGGAAAAACTAGGCAGCAGTTAGTTAACGTTTTTTTTTCTGAGGCATGGACTCAGAAAATGGTTCAGTGGTTCAAGTTCTTAAATGTCAAATGTTGTGCAATTAAGACACCTTTTAGCCCTTTCAACTGTACTGCCAAACACTAGGTTTAATGCTGTGGTTAAAAAGTTGCTATCATTTCAGGCCATGGCTGAACTGGAAGGATTAAATTAATCTGGCATAGTGTTCTTTTTTCTAAATAAAAAATTCCAACAAAAGACCTGTTTCATATGTGGTAGTTACAAAAAGCCTATGAAATAGTAGTGTCAGATTTTAGGTATGTCTTGAAGTTTAACGTATTTAAAGCAAATATAAGCTGTGTAATTACTCCATGAAAAGAAAAGAAGGTTTCTTGTATAGTGGATCTCAACAGTTCATAATTTCTTTCGTGATGTTAGCCAAGTTGATCCTCATATTGTTTCCGGAAGCAGTCCCCTGCTGGGAAGAAGTCCCAACATCTTTCTTGGTACATCTTCCACACAAATGACTCCTGTAAATGATAAAAAGTATTTATTTTAACCTCTCAGTTAGTGCTCCAGATAAACTCAGTGATAACCAGGTACTGTGCCTATTCCTGTGGAGCAGGAAACTCAAAGACACGGAAACTCAAAGCTCATAAGAGTGTTTGTGAAAGTCTGGTTCTGCACTTCCCTTGATACAGCACTACTGAAAGTTAAGCCCTCTTAGAAATACTGTGGGCATTAATCAGTCTAGTTACATCAGAGCAAACCTGTACACAACCTGCATCTACAAGATGTGGTTTATTTTTCTTGGAAAAGGTACTTTTGTAGTGTTTGCATAACTGCTTCCTATTTGAGATAAGGTATAATTAAATCCTGTTTATTTCCTACATTAGTTCCACAGGGTGGTACACAGCTACAAGGCTGGAGAAGATAAAAAGGTGGAAAGATAATCTTACTTTTTTTTTTAATTTTTATTTTCTACTCACCTGGCCAGTATGCTCAGTTTCATCCTTGTTAATGAGATACATTAAAAAGAACCTGAAACAAGCAGATGAAGCAGGTATTAATGCAGAAAATGTAACATCTCTGCCTAACCTCGCCTAGACTGTGGCATGTGAGGGAGATTATGCCAACCAGCAAAGTAATGGTCCTGCGAGGCTTCTGAAGTGCTGCTGTTAAGGGAGAAAATTCTATCCTCCAGCACTTCTCCTGTGCAAGAGCCAACAGATGTACAATCTGTACAAGTAGAAAGATGTGGTTTAGCTTTTTCTTCATTTCACTGCTAGGAGCAATACCTGAAGTAGACATGTGCCAGCTCCTACTCACAGAGGTTCCAGTGTCTCACCTTGGAAGAAGTTACTATGGCTACTATGCAAGAAGTTAGAAGCGTGGCAAGTATTCTGCTGCACCAAGATTTCCAGGTACTCTTGCCACACAGCTCATATGCTGAGTCTGTCCATCACAGGTTCCTCTGGTGACTCAAACGTAGAGAGCCTGAACTACTGAGGAAGGCTGTAGGGTATTAACAATGGTCCAGTGGTGTGTTTGCATGGCTCTTGGTTAGCCACTTTGGATGCAGTGTGCTTTCATGTAAAGAAAGGAATAGATCCCGATTTTCTACCATTTGTCTAATTAAGGGGCATCTTGGTTAGATAGTTCATCATACATTCTAATATTAAGGAAATGGCCAGTTTTAATTTACTGCCAATTAAGTGATTCAGTATAGCAAGAAGAGCTCTGAGGTTGTAGACTGGTAGAAACTGGGTGTTAATGGCAATCTGCCTCACAGAGGTAACGTGCACTGACTCTGCAGTGTCAGCTGCTGTGTGGGGGGCGACGCAGCCTCCGTGCCAGGAGAGACTGGGGAAAAGTTCAGCTGCAGTATTCCAAAGCCACACTTCTGTAAGATACCACCAGTCCAGTCCCTGTGGCTCTGCTGGCACAACACTCATGTAACTGTCATTGTCATTCGAGTAATTAAAGCCACTATATTAACTTTTTAAATGTCCTTTTTGACCTGCTCTGTATTTACTAATGAAATTGGAAGATCACTCTCTTGGGAGTCTGGGCGATAGTATGAACACACTCAGCTCCTGATTTCTTCCAGGCTTTGGAAAGCTGCACTATCATGAAAGGATCAGACATATAGATGATTTTTTGTAGCTTAACTTTCACAAAACTTCCAGAAATGCTATTTTTGTGTGTGTGTGGTTGGGTTTTTTTTTTAGCTTGTTCATTTTGATGTTTTGGTTTGGGATTTCTTTTTTCTCAAATTAATGCTAATTTTCAGTGGTGTCATCAACATTACCAAGCTTCCAGAAGTCACAATCACAGCTTCCAAACTAAAGCAACTTACTACGCTGTTGTCCCCTATAATTACACATATCTGGGTTTTTTTCCAGAGGAATAAGGAGCTGGTGTGTCTTCACGGCTCACTCCACCAAGGGAGCTCATGGGTAAGGTGAGCACTTTAAAGATAACCAGCAGTGTGGAGCAGAGGAGGGGATGCCAGAAAGTAGTGCAGATATTCTTCAGTTCCACAGAGTTCTGCTTTAGGATTGTCAGGTCTCTTTATTGTAATTCCAATTATAATTGTAAAATATACTTACAGATAGTTTGCCAGGTTGTGTTCTTGCAGAGTGTGTGTTTCAAAGCCATGTGGGGTTGTGTCAAAATAATCATTGCCGATTCCACAAATAAAACATTTGGTCTGGAAACACAAGTTGTGGTTGCAAATGAATTTTAACTCAAAGACACTGTTTTAAATGATAATAGTCTAGATTATTAGACTATTATCTAATAAGAGAAATGAAATATGTAGTGTGCTTATACCTCCATATCTTCTCTCACTTGTTCTTGCTGGTCTCTTAATTCACCAAAAGCATCAATAATCAGACCTGTTTCAAATGGAAAGGTAGCAACACTTCAGTCCTTAGCAGTGTTCACATTTTGAGTAATGTCTGTCAGACACCCCTGCACTATCTTTGGTGTTTGGCATACTTACTTGCCTCCAGGGTGAACAGTTTGTTACACTCTATCAGTTTCCAGCCATCTAAACATGTTTACACCACACTCCTAAGCAGTAAGGATTTCTCTTAGAAGAACAATCTTGAGAGCGGCAAAACTTTTCTGTATGTATCTTTTGGTCAGTTTAAGCTTCCAGAATCTCATCTCTTTTGTTCCCACGAAAGGATTTAATTTTTGGTCTCCTTCTTGTGGAATTCCTGTATTCCAACTTTTGTTCAGCAAAGATGAGACTGCTCCCACAGGCCCCTGAGCATGTTTGTGATGTTGTCTCATATTGGAAACATTATTCCTTCGCTTCCAACGTATTAAGAACAGAGTTGGATCGTCCTAGGGACTGTGACATTTGTAACTTTTTCTCAGTACTAATGTATTGTTTCTTTCTTTACCAACAGATTGTCAAAAAAAGGTGTTTTTTCCTAACAGCCTTAGGTCACTTTATACAATGAGTGCTGAATACTGACAGTCGTTAAAGAGAGGCTGTTCTCTGTTAGCCACAACTGCAGACCAATCAAAATGGCAAATCATCCTCTAAAGAAAGGAGGCAATGGTTATGTGGCAATGGGGACTTTCTCCATGTCATTTCCCTTCCCGAGGGGAAAGTCTCCTTTCCCCAGCCAGCTGTGGTGGTTCCAAACTAAAGGTGTGAATAGTCTGTACAACAACGTTCTCCACGTTTAAAAGGTTGTTACAGGAAAAGCAGTGATCCTGCACAAGCTGTGTCAGTGCTGGTTGGTTGTCAAAGTATTCATGAACACTGTAATCCAAGCAAGTTATCTTTCTTGTGCTCTATCTTTCCGTAGTACTTGGGACAATGCTTTATTTATAAATTAAGTATAAAATCATTACTGTCAGAATTAGTGATTTTATCAGCCCAGAAGAAAGTCCTTATAGCAATACTGCTAAGTTTAACCTCGAACACAACTATGGTTTAAATGCGTTGTAGGACTTAAGTAAACTAATTCCAACAGTTTTTACTAAGGTAAGTGACAGTACCTTGAATAATGGCCAGCAGGATAACAATGACAAAGAAGAAAAACGTGATGTCAAAGACAATTCGGTACATTTCATAAGGGTCTCCAGCAGGATCCTCAATTTCATCTCCAATGCCACCACCAGCTCTTACACCCACATACATGTGGAACAGGTAACACTGAAAAAGAAACAGGGAAAATTCCAGCTGTATTTACAATGAATGATTCTGTTTTGGGTTTTTCTTTTTAAAAAATTATTCTGCTCTGCCAGTTCTCCTCACAAATTATAGTAACAGAGAACATGTGGTATCATTCTCCCTGTATCACACACACCCCACCAAAAATCTGTGACTGGCTTAACTAATGTGATTACATCTACAGGTATACTTACTGAGGGGGAACTGTCATCAGCTGTCGTCCTCTCCTCACTCCCTAAGTCTTACTTAGAGACTAAGACCACATGGGCAGCATTATTCTTGTGTTTGTTACTACAACATTCAATTATGTCCTACCCATTATATTAATTCTTAATGTTCTAGCTTGCTCTGAGCAAGCAGAGGACATCTTAAAATCTTGTAATGGAGCTTAGCAATGTTGGCAAATATTTCCAGAAAATAAATATTGACATATTCACAACAGGTAGATCTACCTGTGTTCAGGCGATTTCTGGATAATTTAATTTTGCAGTACTAAATGTCTGGGTTAGTATATTGTAAATTATTTATGATCTGGGAAATACAGCATGTGTTCATTTTAATGTGGAAGAAATCACTTTACAAAAATGCTGCTGTTTGCCATATTTTTTGAACATACAAATATTCATGGAAAAATATTTTAAAATCTGGACATTTAAGCTATGTTGGATTGGTTTCTTCTGCTGGAAGCCATATACTACTAATGCTCCTCCTCCATCAGTCTGCTACAGAACCTTGTAAACCCCCTTTAGCCACACAACTTGGGTTAAAAACAACGGAAATCTCCAAGGCCAGCCAGTGTTCTGAAATCACATTAGACTGCAATAATGGTGTTAAATAATCAGCATAAAACCTGGCAAATCTGGTCTTTCCCAAGCAAACACTAAACAGAACTATACATCCATTTTTGTAATACAACTTCACTTTGATGTAAGATGCTGGCAGTAGTTTAATCATGCTTAAAAATGTAACTTGGAATTGATTTAGCTCACTTGGTAGAGTGGTTCCAAGTGTAATGTAGTTTCATTATTCCAGTATGCCTGCATGTATTTTCCGAGCAGACTGTTGTATCCAGTTTGCAGAGGGACCAGTTAAATAATACTGCTTGGGCAATTTTGATCATTTCTATCATTTGCACATCTGACTTGCATTGAGTGCTTGAAAGAAAGTTCAAGGATGGGGGAAGACAATTTGTGAAGTTTATGACACACTTCTGTTCTGTGGTATTTTATTCATTCTGGCATATAATAAGGGGCAGAGAGTGACTGTTTCATGGGATAAATGAGCTGGCCACAAACTCAGAATAGCACATTTTTAGTACTTGGATTTAGGCTGTTTTCTGTATACAGTGAGAAGATAAACTCCTCATCATACCATAGTATGTATCATTAGAGTATCTTTAACTGACATAAATAAAATTATATGGCAACAGGTGAAAATCAGAAGGGAAATTAGTAGCATTAGATTACCACCTGTAATAAGTTTTAATTTCTCCCTTCTGTACTCACCCTAGATTTCCTCATAAATAAGTAATTAATGGTAAGCAGTTTGGAGCAGGCTTTTATAACTAGTGCTTATCACATTGTATACTTTATATAACCTAAGCAAGGAGGTGCCTGCACACTTGCAAATACTAGAACAACTTTGGTTTATTTGTGCTGTGACAATATAGCTGCTTTTTGCAGGGTTGAGCAATTTGTAATGAAATTACTTCCCTATATTTGAAGGGTTTGCTATCTTCAATAAAAGAGTTGCAGCAAATCGTACACCACAGATTTAGGAGAAAAATCCAGAATATCTTCCTATACTGGTGAGTGTCATCTATCTACTGTTGATTTTAGACCATAGGAGAATACAAAGGGAAATTAAAGACCATTCAATATTTTCAAAATTACATTTAGCAAGAAGAGACCCACAGATCTAACAACAAACACATCCCTCCTTACTTATCATCCTAGCTTAAGTATCCATTTGAAAATTCAGGATGAAATTTGAAGCATGCTAGTGACATTTTAGTTACCGTCATCATATCATCACACTTCATGTCTGGTTCATCTTCGTCTTCACTTTTGTTGTAGAATTTGCGGAAGAAGTTGAAGGCCACCACGGTGTAGAGGTACACCACGACAGCCAGGAGTCCTACCGTCAGCACAAGCTGTGTGTGGAGACACGACATGAAAGGAGGTTTCAGTTCCATGCTGCCAGCAGAGACGTGCTGGTTGCATAGAGATAGGTTTAGCAGAATTGGAATTGGCAGATGCAGCTCTGGGAGGAGTTACTGAAGGTTACATATTTTTAAAAGTGCTCTTTTAAAAGAAATGTAAGAGTATTGAGCAACGAGCTGATTGTCAGTTTATTGCTTTCTGCAGATCTGTAAGTATGCTCCCACCACGAACATTTCAACTGAAAAATCTGCAGCTGTCTTTCAGTATTTGTATCTCCTAACAAGGAAAGGAACAGGCTTAAAAAAACTACTCTTCACTTGTTCAGAATGTGTACTAAAAGCTGTGGTCTTGGGTTGGAAAATTCTGCAAATTACGCTCAGTTTTGCATACTACATTTAGAAAGCATCATAAAGAAAATATATTAATAATTACATTAAAAGTAGTATGACTTTGGTCATCCTAGAGGAAAATGAAGGGGATGAACCCAGAGATTTCATTTGTTTGAGCAATGATACTGAAAACATTCTCTTATATACTATTTTAGAAATTTCCTTTGCTGATAAGAGACGAAAATTCCATTAGTCAATTTTCTGCTGAAAGAAGGGTTAAGCAAACACAAAGGCTATATCAGAGTTAAGCAAAGGGGATATTCTAATGCCTCTTCCAAAACATTACATCTTTTAAAATGTTCTGACAACTTACTACGTTTGAGAAGGAATGGAATGTGTATGTTTGAAATTAACTTTTGGGGAAGTTCTGTTAGATTTCTTAAACATAAGTTAAAAAGCATGTTAGTGAAAAGGCTGTTTTTGTTGGCATGCTTGGGAGGAACACAGAGCCGTTAGAGATCAGAGAATGATGCCCTGTGTAAGTTTCAACAATTAGTTTTGGAAGTAGATGTTGTTAATCTGAGTTTTGCAAGACAAAGTGATGTAGAAATGCATGCGAGAGTACAGAACGCTTGCACTTCTGAGCACACTCTCAGTAGTTAAGTATTAAAATCTCAGTGCCCAGTTCATCATTACTGCTGTGGCTAAGGAGAGATTGTGAATTCTTAACAGCTGTCACCAATCAGTTCATCACTGAGCATAGAGAAGGAGCTGGTTAGGTCAAATTTCATATTGTATTTTTCTAAAATGATGCATTTTTATATTTTGTACAAAACTTCAGCTATGGGCACTCTGAGGGTATAGATTACTATAATTTCATAGGATTTAACAAGTATTAAGTGTGCTGCATAAGACACAGTGAGGTCTGTTTAATCCAGTCATGATCAAAATGAATTGCATTCCCATATTTCCTAGGTACCATAAGGTTTTTTCCAAGACTGTTACAAAACACATTCGTTTTCAAACCTTTGCATGTAGCACTAACCTGTTTGCCATTGTGAGTGACTGAAGACAGAATGGTTCGCAGCGTCTTGAAACCCATGGCAATATCCAGCAGATGAGCAGCGAAGAAGAAGTTGTTGTAGTGCCCAAGGATAGACATAGTTGTGTACCAAGCCAGGTATAAAAATGACTGCAGAGAAAGTGCAAAGCGGCAGAATGTTGGCAGGTGCTAATGTGCATACTGGATCTAGGCTGTAGCTTCCTTTCGGTCACCCAAGGGACAAAGTGATACTGTCCTGGTCTGATCTGAGTCACAGGTCTGAACGTTACACCTCTCTTTTACATGTTCAAAAAGACTGTCTTGCTGCCTATCTCTTATCTCCACTGTTCATTTCGGGAGTGTTTATTGCTTAGCTTTGCTAATGAGACCTCTATCTTTACATATTTGAATGCAGTCTTCAGCATCTATGTTATCACCATCAAAACCCCCTACCTTAAAACTGTTTTGGCTGGGGAGGTTGTTGCTTTAAATTTTAATACTGATTCTGGAGGACAGAAAATGCCCAGTATTACTCTTCAGACACTTCACATCTCAGACCACATCAGCTAGGACACCGGGAAAACCTACACTACATAATTCAGCTTATTCTTTCAACAAGCAGTGAACCTGAAGTCACTTTGCTCTGAAAGTTCACTGAAGAACAATGGTTCAGTGTGCTTTTAGTGCACAATGAATTTATACAACTTCACTCTCTTCACCTTGGCCTTCTTGCTTGTTTGGGAATGCTCAAGAGGATGCAAAAAGAAAGATTCACAAAAAAAGAAAAGGATTTTTAATACATGTGTGGTCCTTTCAAAGGAGAAGGTAAGAAAGAATTAGCCAACCATGTCAAACAGATGATTCAAGACTATAAAAGGATAACTTCCTGTGGACTGGGATTGATTTTAGAAAAGAGACCTTTCTACAAAATTAAATTAAGGCACCTTTAACTTCCAATGTGCCGGCACTTTATTAATGGTGAGGAGGTGCATATTGCCCTTTATAATCCAAAAGAAAATTCTAACATAAAGTAAAGCAATTTGTTACAACACAAGACAGAAAAACTTTAAAATGGCTCTCTATTGCACTATTATTTGTGTATGTTTGTTTAAAATAAAAGCAGATGGTGGAAGGCATACAATCATGTTTAGAGTAAATTGAAGCATATTTTTCTAGGCTGACATACTCACATTATCAGTGAAAACAACTCCAAGCTTCCAAATGTGGTATTTTGTATCAATGGAGCTTAACCTAGAAAATACAAAGTATTTTAACTGCATTAATGTAAAAATTAAGTATTGAATTCTGTAAATATAAACAACAAACTAGGTTTGGCACTTTACATTTGTTTGCTGAAGGTAGAGATATACATTAGCTGTTTATTTCTAAACCACTAAAACTAGTGGAACAATTTTAATGGGAGTGATACTGCCAGAGTTCCAGATATAATGAAAATTAAAATGTGTATTAAAAGTAATGAGATGTGGAACACAAATTGTTTGATTTCAAGAGTTAACTGTTCTGTCTAGTGTAAAATGTTGCCAGAACTACTGAGAGAAAAGGTAATGCCTTCTGCAATGTTTTAAATATTTTATTAGCAATTAGATGACATGTGAACAAAAACCCTTCTTCTTGTCTGCCTTAGGTATCAAGCAACCCAAACTCTTGTGGCAGGCTAAATCATTTGGGACTTGGATAATTTCAAAGTCTCATCTTCACTTGTGGGTTAAGTCAGGAAAACAGACACCTGGCATCTAGATGTTTATTATGAATACTTTTTCCATCCTATGGTTTGTAAACTAACTGTTCTAACACTTAAAGAACTTTTAAATGCAGCATTGATTATTGTTTAAAATAAGAGTGCCCAACTGTATCAGTTGGCATCAACTCCTTGATTTTTTCCTTACTTCTGTAACACAAATATAAGTATGTTGTAGACCAAACAAAAAGATTTTTTGTTTTACTTCCACACTAGGAAGGCTTCTCCATTTGAATTTTCCATGCCATGAAAAATAATTACATCACTACAGCTTCAGTACAAAGTCTGGTTTTCTCTTTGATGGTGAAGTTATGCCAACGTGTGATTTGTTTGTGAAGTTCAGCAGCTGTACCATGACACAAGAGATGCCTCTTCTGGTTCACTCTCTTCCACTGGACTAAAATCAAGGGCACTTTTGTCCAAACCCAAAAGCTCTGCTATGCGCTCTGCTCCATATAAGTCTCCATACTTGTTAATAACCTAAACATAGAAGAGAAGTTTTTGCTCAGAGAAAGACCTTGCTGACATTGTCAGAAACTTAAAAAAGGAAAAAAAAAAAAAGTCTTTCACAATTAACACCACTAGAACAATCAGAACTCCCAGGAAGAGAGGCAGGGGGAACATAAAAAGAGAAATAGAAGCATTAAAGGCTATTATCTGAAAGCTTATGTATAATTTGCCATCATTTAAGCTGGCATGTTTTTCTTTTTTTAGGGGTATGAGGGAGCTTTGTATCCTAAAGATGACATTGACTGTAAATTAGACTTGTGTGGCTGATTGACAGAACAAACTTCTTTGGAACGCCTGAGTCTAGGAAGGAAAGCACAACCTTCTGCCGTCCTCCCTCCTACACTGCAGCTGCCTGTTCACCCAGACATGTACCACAACAATGACTTTCATAAAACAAATTTCAGTTCTCAATTATTAGTTATTTATCTGTACAGAATTTTATATTACACATTAACTGAATAGTAGATTATTGCCATGATTAACATAATAGAAATATAAAACACCTACCTTCCGTTTTACAAATTTGTCCCAGTAGTTGTTAGGGAAGGACCTACATAGGTAAGGCAGAGATATTTCAAGTTATTGAACTTGTGAGTGGAAAGACAAAAACAACAAAAAGAAAATACTGTGTTCCTGATCACTGCAGATTCTGGTACAATTTCATTCCCTCACATAGAGCACCTCAAATTACGAGAACAATTTCACTTCACATGGACAACAGCTGTTTATTAATCACCGTTTGCTGCACTAATCAGCTTTTTTTTCCCCTGACACTTTTCTTTTTCACATCCACAAATACAATTTGCTACAAAAGGACAGCAGGCTGAATATTATCATCCAGCCAGCCTCTGTCACTGTAATATCATTCATCTCCTAAATAAATACTTTATTGCTCCTAGACATAAAATCATTATGGACAAGAACTTTCAGAGGAAGATAAGAGTCTTATAGCATAAATAATTTTTAAGTTCACTGGATTATATTTCAAATGGAAGCTGAACACTTGGGAATCGGGACAGTTTGATAGAATAAAATTAAAATTTAAAGAATATTTTTTAAAAACCCTGAAAATTGCAAAGATCATTTGGTAAAAAGTGAGGTTAGTGGTAATCTTTTTCCCAGGTCTGGCATGTTGTTAATGGATCTGATATCCAAGAACAAGACACCATAAAAAACATTTATAATTCTAAAACTGCAGGACAGTTCAGCTGAAGAGCGTTTTGCATCATCTGCCTCTAAGCAGCCATGCCAGTGCTGGTAATTACAAGAAAAGCTGTTGCATATGCAAAAGAGAAAGAAATGAAGCAGCAAAATCCTCAATACTGAAGAGGTGTCAGGGTATCTTTTATTGACAATCCCCTTCTTTTGAGAGTAGTGAGCAACTGTGATGCTTCAATAAGCAACCAGTGTTATCCAGGGGAGATCTTACAACAAGACACTGGGAAATACATCAGCTTTGACCTATGGGACAAAAACACAGTGTTCTCTCTTACCAGTGACATCTCCCTGATCTTCAACACGATCATAAAAAATACTGCCCTTGAACTGTCTTATGAACATCAGCACCCAGGAATTCCTCAGTCTGATGGTCTTACTGTATGTTATGCCCATTTTGAAGAATGCAAATTATCAGTAAACACTACAAAATTTAAAGTTTTTATATTGCCACTTTGCTGTATGTAACACTGAGTTGAGCAAATTGGAAGGTAAAAAAGAAAAATAACTGCTTAAGCTAAAGAACAGTATTGGTGAAGGAACATCAGAGGACTGGGAACGCTGGGATGTGAGGCAAACTTTGCAACTACCGTTAAGTGAGTGCTCAGGTTTTTCATTTTTTTCTGTACTGAAGTCCTGAATGAAATTATTGCAGATAAAGGCAAATGGTACCAGTGATTCAGATCATACATTCTGGAACATGCATTCCAGAATGCCTTTCCTTGATTTCTCAGCAAAAGTATGTCTCTAATGTAGTCAGTTTGTTTCTTATCTCTTTTACCACAAACATTTAATGGTGCTGCATTTATCAGGGTACCTCCATTTCCCTTTTTAGTTACTTTTTTTTTCACTTACAGAAAGCACATTTCAGTATATACATAGCACTTAGTACCCTGCAGCAGCAGTTGCCCTGATGGTAAAATACCTGCACTGAACCTCAAGAGTAAGTTCATATCAGAGGGAAGGATTAATCTGCTTAAATTAGACTCAACCTTTTATTCAACTTCAGGAGCTAGTGCAACATGCTGAGAACAGGGTGTACAGCATGTTGTTTGGGGTAAGCTGACAATATATCATTAACTCATGCTTGGTTTTGCTGAGGGTAAACTTACTGGATGCCTAGATAGCTTGCTATCAATAGGTAAAGAAAGGGGGAGGAAATTAAGCAAACTCTCCAGTTTTCCAATTACCTCCTGCTGGAACTTCAATAATTTGTGCTAGTCTGTATTTCTAACTGAAGTTATGGGAAATTCTTAAAACTCAGGTGTAAGAAAACAAAGCATTCAAGGATATTTTAGTAATTCCAATTTCAATGAAAGTACTAAATACTATTTCTAATGTACAGAAACTGAGTGTGACTGATAAGATAGATATTTTGGCTGTCTGGCAGTATATTATCACTCTGATGCATTTAGTTGTTTTTACTGGCTTGTTTTTTTCAATCACACACTTATGCCTACACGTACTAGCCACAACTACTTTATGACTTGTGGATAACTTTGCTTTTTTCCAGCTTTTGGTCACCACCCATAAATTATGATACTATTAGTGAAAGAGAGGAAACTAAGCCTAAGTGTACAACTACCAAAATATGATTCTAGTTGTTCTGAAAGAGTAAATTCTAAAACATAGCCTGTAAACAGGGCACTCTTTCAACAGAAGAGGGTTGACTTGCTTTGTTTCTCTGTATCACTCCTCCAGCCCGCTGCAGCTTACTGATATTTTTCTTTTTCTTGCCTACGCTCGTGTCATTCACTCACAAAACAGCAGGTGAGTCTTCTAGAATCAGTGTATGACTGCTACACTATTTGCTAATGCATGCAACTTGACAGTAGTTCCTGCTAGACCTACTCATTGCTGTTTTACACTAGATTTATTTCTCTTGTCATATAGGAATTTTTTTAACAAGAAATGGAAAAGAAAGGCAGGAGAATGCTGCTGTATGATATGCGTGTGAAGTCGAGTGACTGAAAAGGATGGAAGCTACCTTTTAAAACTTTCTCAGTAGTGACTAATATGTGAAAGGTCATGGAGAGAGCTTGCAAGGTAAGATGCACAATCCTTGCAAACCCTAGAAAAATGAAAAGGGGGTGGAACGTACATGTTATCATTATATTTCTTAAATAAAAATATAATGCAAGATTTCACATTAGAATCCACTACTGCAGCATCCAATATAAAGTGAAAAACACTTTTCTTTTAGATGAACTAGGTGGTAGGTGGACAGGGAAGGTTCTAGATGAGTGGTTTAATGAGCTGTATTATTTATAAACAGTTTACATCTAAACATAAAATTTTACATACGGAGTATTTATAACCAGGCGATCCCACTGTCCTTTAATATCATCTTCAGATGGCTGTTCAGTTATGTATAGTCCATCAAATTCCAGCTTTCTTGCTACCTCTTTTTCTCTCTTGAATACAACCAGAGGAACCTATGAAAATTAGGGTAGACATCTTTGTCATGGTCTGTATATTTTTAGAAACCATGATATCTACCTACAGTATTAAGTACTCCTTATAGTACTGTATAAGACCAGATATAACACTGGCACTTCCCACAAGCAGATCAAGGCCTAGTCAGTCTCTGAAGAATGGCCACCTTGGAAGTCAAGCCTCCCCCCCTCCCTCAGTTTACATTGCTGTGCCTGACATTACATGGTGTGGAATCCCTTGGGTCAGTTCAGGTTTCTTTTAACCACACGTCTAAACCACACACTGCTACAAGCAGAGTTAACTCCATCTCTGCCAGATTAAGTACATGAGGAAAACATCTACATATTGAATAGGGAGAATGTGTAAAAAGCTAGGTACAAATAAGGCATTCCAGTATGAGCTCCAAAAAATCATTCTGGGACATAGCCAACATTCTTTAACAAGTAACAGATTAGTAATAAGATGCAGAACTTGCCTTCAAGCAATAGTATCCAATCACACACACAAAAGAGATGATGGTATGAATAACTGCCAGTGCTCTGAGAGCAGGTGCCATGTAACCAGTACTTTCTTCTAAAACAAAAAACACCATGCCATCCTCCTCTTCCTCTTCATCAAAAGAGTTCCAGAGATTAGAGTCTTCCTCTACTTCGTCAAGTGGTTCTTCTGTCACCTGAAATTCAAGCACATTGAAAACATCAATAAACTTACAAGCTTTTCCTTTACTGTAACGATAAGTGACGTTTGCAAAGCCTGCTCCTAGGAAGATGATGAACAGTGATATTTTGACAGTTACATTTTGACAGAAGTCTCCAGATCATCTCATGTCACTGAAAAGAGAATCTAGAAGAAGCAAGTACAGGCATATAGAAGTTTAAAAATGCCTTTTTTAACAGTGCCATAGCAAACCCAAAAGAAATAACTACAATGTTTGCAAAATGCAAACGTTCTCTTGGAAGAACCAGGTGATGACAGGGTTATCTCATATGACTGAATTTTGACTTGTAATCTACAATGTTCCCGATTACTGGAGTCTAGAAAGAAACAAAGTTCTCAATGTTATCAACTTGAACATCGTCCATAAATTTTTATTTCATTACTTAGTGTAGAGCTTACAAATTAATGCAGTATTTAATCAGTGTTTTGTAAACACCCTAAGCCATAAAACTGGGGTATTTGTGAAACATAGTGCCCTGAATTCATCCATTGACTCTCAAAACCTGGGCTTTTACAAAAATGGCCTAAGTGCCCTTCTTTTGACAGCTTCATCTGAAAGCTGAAGCCCTGTTTAGCTCCCATGGACCCTTTCCTATCTACAAGGGCTGACCCACAAGACAAAGCAAGAGGGAGTGGGGACAAAAGGACTGGCATAGACAAAAGCAGACTTCTGCATATACCTTTGAAGTCTGCCTTCTCTACCCATATGGGCTGGAAAGAGAGGGGCAAGAAGGGAGCTTTGAATATCCCTGAAGGTCTTTCTGCTGGGATGGTGCACATATTCTACCCAGTTTTCAAGAGTCTTTTGCACGTTCACCTGCCCTGTTTCCAAGACAGTAACTGTTTTAGGAATTGCTTTTCAAGATATTTGAGATCATGATTCAGTTACTTCTAGACTGAATGTTCTGCCAGCTGCTTTTGTCTTCTTTGTGTTTGGTTGTAAACAAGAGAACTAAAAAGCATAATACCAGAGAATACACAAGATTCATCAGCTTATTGTGACTTGCACCCTGCATCTAGAAGGGGTAAATCAGAAGGGCCAGACTCCAAGGTAAAGCTAAACGAGGACTTTTCTTACAGACTTCAGATCTCTAAGGAAAGGAAAAAAAATTGAAATAAGTCTGTTTTCATTTGCTTTTGAGCAAAATAAGAACAGAGTAGGTTTAATAACACAAATTTTAGTTGCAAAATTCAATATATTACTTTAAATACTTCATATCTAAATACTTCAGTTAGTGTTTGAAGGGCTTGTAATAATGGCCTTATTAAACAAGTATTGAAACTATCATTAAATATTCCTCTGGAAGCAACCAAAAACCATTTAAAGAACAATGCATAATCTTACCTTGTAAAATAGAAGAATAAAGTTGATGGCAAATGCAACAAACAGAGCAAGAAACCTTAGGTTATAAAAGTTTCTTGCCAAGTAGTGCTGAAAGTAAAAAAAAAAAAAAAAAATAATATTAGAGGTGGCTAGCTCATACCAAGAAAAGAAAAGTAGGCAGTAAAGTTTCCAAGAAAGTAAATACATAATAGTGTTGTTTTCATACACGAGTTATAATAAGCAAAGATGTTTCTTGACAGCCTGTTCTCCCATCTCACAGTAAGCAGGATGAAAAACAGCGGGCTTAAAACTGCAAGAGGGAAGACAGGAATAGAATATAAAATAAAACTTTCTGGAAGGAAGTCTAGAAAAGAAATGCCAAAATACTGGAATAAACTACTTGAGAAGATTTCAGAAACTTTGTCATTTGATATTTCTAAAAACCAAGAGAAATCTTCTAGAACATAGAATTACAGATTCTAGAAGTTAGATTGTGGAAAATGGAGCTCATAACATTGTTCTGTTAGACCAAGATGGGAGAAATTACACACAGGAAGAGTTTATTTATATAACTATGAAGTATTACGAATATCACCAAAGACTGAATATAGCCAGTCATTTGAAAACTCATGCCAATGTTCCTTTTAGGATGACATTTCTCCCCTCAGTATCAAACAAGTGTTCTGTGTTACAAAAATAAAAAGTCAATGACTGGAAGTATTTAAAAACTTACGAGCATTTTTGTTTGATAAATCTCCACAGCTTTGAAGAAGTTAGCCATGACAGCCTCCGGTTTCTCAATTTTTTGTCCATGCCTTCGCTTCTTTTTCTTCACTTTTCCCTCTTCTAGCTGCTCAGATTGTACTTCCTTTGCTTTATCTTGTTTCTCACCATCTTCCATGCTAGAAGAAAGGTTGTCTAAACAAAAATACCTATCCAAACTCCTGTATTGTAAACACATTCATTTAGAAGGAATTCTCACTCCAAAAGTTTGGCTTTGAAAGTTTTGACACTGGGAGAAAAATGATTGTAAATAGAAGACTCCAGGTAGACAGTAAAGTCAGAGTAAAAACAGTCACCTTAGTTTCAAAGGACATACAAGGGTCAAGTTGATGAGCTGAGATTAAAAGGGTGAAAAGGCAAAAACCAAGCAGAAGTTACTGTGCCAGGTGTGAAGTGGATAATATTTGCCAAAACCAGAGGTGTACATATATAATCAATACAAGCAACATATAATCTTTAAGAGTTCACATATACTTTCTTGAGCCTGGGGGTGAAAAAGAGAAATAAAGCTTCTGGGATTTGGAGCACAGTGTCATAAAGTTAATAAATTTCAGTCAACACAATCACTGTGGTTACAGAGATCAATAACAAGGAAGTTTTCTTCAGAGGGTCACACCTTACTAAGTATGTGGGAGATGACAATCATGCCTCCTGCATCACTGAACTGCATTTATGAAAATTAAGTATCAAGACTACATGTAGTAATAGGGGAATTTAGTTACTGAAATGAAAAAGCAGCTGCATTTGCATATATGTAAAATAATAAGCATTGAGGTGGCTGAAAGTTTTAGGCATGAGGATAAAGAAATGCTATATGTGGTTCACTTTATCACACTACTACTGCAGGAGGAGTCATATGATGGGTGTCTAAAAATGTGTTTATTTTCCACCAAAAAAATGTTTCTGTTGCAGCCTCAGAGACATAGGCTATTTAAACTCAAGTTCTTAAGCTAAGGGCAATTTCAATATGCTGAGAAAGTATGAGGGGATAATTAAGTGTGGCAAACAAGAGAAGACAACAGGGAAAATAAGTTACATAAAAGAATAGAAGTAGAAAGAGATCATGCTTATGAAAAATAAGAGGTGAAAAAGCCTAAAATAAGAAAATAAGTGACACAGGAGATTCTGGGATAATTCACAGATTCACTGAAGCACTGGCGAGTATGCTACTAGTGCTTTGAATACTGAGCATTGCTTGAATTTTTTCTGGTCAAATTATCTAGTATTAGGAAGCAGCAAGGAATTAAACAAGAGTTGTGTAAAAATTACTTACTCAGCCTTCTCAGCTTCTGCTTTTTTTTCTCGTTCGGCTTTTGCAATTTCAGATATCTGCAAAAGATATTTTAACTGTCAAAATGTATCCATTCAAATAAAATTTTGGTAACTTTAGTTACTGTTTTCTAAGAAACAAAATAATTACCACGCTATATGTTTTGTACCACTTTGCACTTTCAAGGTGTTATATTTTTAATAACGGATAGCTCAGGCTAGACTTTGTGAAACTACAGAAATTCTCCAGACATTCTTTTTCAGCATAGTGTTATTAGTGCTGTAACCAGCCTGTCTGAACCACTTAAAGGAATTACACATGGTAATCAAACAGACCATGTGACAAGTTGAGGATTAAGGAAACTACATCCAGATCATACCCTAATACAAAAGTCACTCACAAAGATTCAGTTCAGTTACTGAATGTGTGGAAAATGAGTGTGTTTGCCTCATTCCAAACACGAAATAAGGCATAATGTATCAGATAGTGTCAAAAATCTATGTTATGTGGAATTGTCATATGTTCCAAAACCCAATTTCTTTGTTGATGAAATGATGAAAATTGAAACAGACAAATATTTAAGCAACTTTTATGTACCCTTATTTTTCTTCGAACTGTTTTATCTCCAGTGAGTTGATGGACTGATAAACCTTTACTAGCACCCCTCACAACCATCTAAGCGTGTGTTTACAACATTCCCTTGAGATAAGGAAACTCCCAATATACAGTTTTAAAAATAGCTAACTGCAGCAATGAAGCTAGGCCTGGGTTTCAAACACCTTTAGGTTCAGTGTTGCAAAGCCAAACTGATTTCAAATGCACTCTGAGTATCTAAGCCTCACTGGAAATCAAACAGATGCAGCCTGTGAAGTCCTACACTCACAAAGGAATCTAAAGTACCTAAATTTATTACCAAAACCTATCTTAACTATCTGTTTCAAAAACTGTCTGAACTCTACCCTCTTCTGAATTCTTTCAAAGTGCTTAGACACCAGTTCTCTGTTGGTGTATTCTCCTACACTTCTGGCTAAGACATAAGTACAGTTATCTAAACCTTTCCCCCAGTACTCCCATGGATGCCCCTCTCAGACACATACGCAGTGGAAGAATTTACTAAATCAGTTTTGCCTTGCTTATCTCACCTCTTATCTGCGGAACCCCAGCCAGTACCTTGGATGGAACCATGTGTAACTCTTTCACAAAGAACTTCTCTGTCCCCTAAGATCTCAAGCTGGTGGAGAGTAATTAAAAAATTGTTTGATGATATGTAGTTCTTCTAAGAGGTAGGATATCCATCCTCTTCATCCCTCTATGATATGCTCTCATTTGTCTCCTTTCCAAGCTGAAGAGCCTTAACCTACTTAATTCCATTCCACATCAAGCTTTGATATCTTTTTGAACAGAAAACCAGCATTTTTAAATACCAACCACAATACATTTATGCTGAGTGAGACAGGACTTTAAAATACTGTAATTTTTAAGTACACATATAAAAATGAATTAATAATTTTTTTAAAAAAAGAATAAATAGAAATATATAGTTTGATCTAAGCAATAAAATCTTGGAGAAAAACATAAGAATGAAGAGGAAATAATGAACTAAGAAGTTGTACAATGGAGGTTTACCTTGAAAATATCTGGAAAGTGTACCATAAAGAGATGCATTAATTATGAGAGGAAAGAGATATTTGAATAACAGGTAGAAACAGGTCTGAAGTGTAGAAAGAAGCATAATGCTTTCTGAATATGTCAAATGAATTTGGGTTTTGACATTCAGTTCAATCCATTTTTAAACAGAATGATAAATTATATTTAGCTCAGCTGAGTGGAACAAAATATATTATTCAAAAAACAGAATAAAGAATAATTATATAATAAACATTAAAGTAACAATTCAGGCAAAATTATTTCCAACAATAGGAAAAAAGGATATTTGATTGTGGGTGATCAATAAAGCATGTAGAATAAAGACAATAATGATAAACCATCATTAGGGAGAAAGTAGATTTTGTAAAAGTAATTGAAATACACTGTGAAAAAAATGGTGTATGCAGTATAAATAAAACTCTAAACCATGTAAAGCAAAAGCCGTGCCTGGAAAGCAATATTTATTTTGAATAAGGTCTAAATGAACAATTACAAGGATTTACTGCAGTGAAGTCTAAACACACTGGGGTGAATTTTTATGCCATGTAATCTTTCATGTTTGTTTTTAAAAGCGTTTAGAATATAAATATGTTCTCATCAAGAACATTTTTTCATCACTTAACTGGCAAATAATTCATTTACCAATATAAAATTCATTAATATATTTTTATTATCATTATTTTCTTCAAAGAAATACAAAACCTCTTTAACATACCTGCAAGTCTTTTTTCTTATGAACTGTGACTTCCAAAGACTCCTGGATTTCAGTACCAAGAATTTCTGCAATATCCCCAAGTCCAGCGTCATGACCATGTTTTGAGCCACCTTCTTTCTTTGTATGAATGCCAAAAATGTCTGAGATGATGTCAGCTTCTCCCTTTTCACCCTTCACAAACTGCACAAGTTCAGCTCTGATGCCATGCTCAGCACCTTCAGCTTTTTCTGCTTCCATCACATCATCATGGATTCCAAACTGTGTTGGGTCAGGCATGTCCCCTAATATTTTAGTAACCTTAATGTTTTTGGCTCCTTCAACCAGACCACCCCCAAATACAGTGCTCCAAAGGATCTGGAAAATCCCCCACACTATACTAAAGAACAGCTGGAACATCCCTACGAATAGGATCCAGAAAAAGGAGAAAAACACTTTGACCATCTCTTTTACTGTCATCTTTCTAACTTTCCTGTATTGTTTCCTTAGGTTCTTCGCAGTGACCATTTTTAAAAAGTGGGCAACATTCTTCTTCACTGCAAAACAGGCCATTGCAAAAGCTGAAGCAGATTCCAGTGACTTTTCTTCTTCCTCATCATCTCCAATATCCACTACATAACAAGGCTCTGCCTCTTCCTCTTCCTCAGGTCTGTCAGATGAATCCATTTCAGAGATCTGGGATGCTAATTGCATTTCAAAGATTGTGTCTTCACAGAAATTCACAAAGAGTTCCATTTTTTCTTGTTCCCCACCTTCATTTACAACATCAAATATGAACTGCCTTTTGGATTCCTTCACCTGTGGCTTCTCCCACTGCGTTCTACTGGATTCACTGATTTCAAAGTAAACTCTTTCTATTTTCTTAGCTCCACCCATTATTTCAATACGGCCAAGGTATGGTTCAAAATAATTAAGAACACTTTCTGCAGGTTCGAGTAAGCTCTGAAGGCGTGAATCATTAGGCATGTGCTCTGAAAGGTTTGTTAGCAATACTGCCACGTTAAATCCAATGTCTTTGGCTGGTTCATGGAATCTTTCAACAAAATCAACATAATTAAACATATCATTTTCATCCGCTTCAACACAGGACAGCAGGAATTCAATCTCTGACTGCATGTATTGTTTTTGAGCCTCCATTGATTTCTGGAATTCCTTCTTTGAAATGATGCCTTTACCATCTGGGTCATACTCTTTGAAGGCATCTGAGTTAGTCAGATCTTTTAACTTAAGGAACATGTCAAAGAACTTCAAAATCATTTCTACATTGCTAGATGATTCTACGAGCGTGTCTACCATTTGTTTTCCAATAGTTCCATTTACAACATTGCCTAAGTAGTGGGTAAAAAAAGGAAGTTAGTTGGTATTGCTACATTAAAAAAAAAAAAAAAAAAATTCATGCTGAGAATAGAACAAAAATGTTCTTAAATCTTTGTAATTTTTCTTTCAACATGCTTTTCTGTAGCAGTCCTCTTTTTCATGACTGTGTATATTCCAGAATAATTGTTCAATAAATATGAAAATAATTTTTTTCCTGGCATTACATAAAGGCAATTAAAAATACAGTTTAGAAAGATTAACATGAATATGGTATTTTACATTATGAAGCTGAAATAATCATATTTGACCATAAAAAAAAGACAACTCCAACCTTCAAGCAGTGACAAGAGCATCACTACCATATCCTTTAGCAGATCTAGCAGTTCTTTAAGCAATTCAATCTGTGCGGAGTCCTATTAAAAAAAAAAAAAAAAGGCTATTTTTTCTTTATATTTATCTGGAAAACTAAACACATTTGGAAAAAAACGGTATGCAGGATGGTCATTAAATATAGTTTACATTCTTCAGCAACATTTAATTGTCATTTTATTATGATTAATATCAGAAGTCTTGTAGAGCATGAGTATAAGTTACTACAGCAGAGGTGTTAAGATCATAAAGATAAGCTTTAATAAAGCATTAAGGAGTATGGAAGTGCAGATAAGGGACAGCAGAAACTCACAAAATTGATTCCTCCACAGATCTGGCAGTATGCATCTCAGATTCCATCCCTTCTCAGGAGATATTTAACGGCATAATGCATTACTCAAAGAGACCTAGAACTGTTTAACTACAGAACATGGCAAGTCTAAGGTGGATTTGTAACTAAGGACCTATAAGCTGTTAAGTATTCTCAAAATTCTGATATACTTCTGTAGGGTGGGAAGAAATCTTATGAGCAAGTCGGAAGGTAGCAAAGACTACACATAAGAGTGAGGGAATGACTCTGCACTGTTGCATTCAGTGCCTAGTAGCTTGATTGTACGGGTACATTAAGCAGAAGTTGCAAATGAAGATGGAAGCCTGAAACTATGAAGAGGGGTGGGAGCCCACAGTGCCCTGCACAGTAGAAGAAAAACTGCCTCTTGCCCTTCTGCTCAATGCCTGAGATAAATTAACTGGACAAGCTGACTGACTGTACATTCCCTCCCTCTTTGACTCTTTCTCAGCTTTTCTCTTGCCCTACTTAGCTTTTTAGATAGATAGCTTTTAGCACTGTACTTTTAATGGTGCTGTTGCTCTCACAGATCATCAGGTTTTGGCAACAGGGAGGAAGGAAGCAAATTGCCACTTTTATTATCAGAAAAGTATAATTGAGTTGGCAATAGTGAGTTTGATATTAGAAGGGGTGAATGGACAGTGGTGATTAATGCTAAAAGGAGTTATACATAGATTCCAGTCCTGAGATTCAGTCTTGCACCTCTACAACAGGCCCATAAACAACAAAGAAATATCAGCACATTAGCTGCTTTGCAGCTTTCAATGTGCACCTGGCTGTAGTTTATAAACACATGCAAAGAAGGATTACTTGACTGCTGAGATTACCTGTGAAAGTTTCATCTGCATATTGGCAAAGACATGAAGAAAGCCAACAACTGCATCCCACAGCCTGCTATGAGCCAGACTCTGCTGATTACCTATGCAAGGACCCTAAAAAAAAAAAAAAATCAGAAATAAAATATTTTTTCTTTATATAAAATAAAATAAACCAAAACAAATCAGACAATTTGCTTTCGTAAGATTTCTCCCGGAAAAAATACAAAAAGAAATGAAGTTTCCATGAAGCTCCATGCAAAAGCTTCCCGAGGTCTCTCTGGTACCTAGTGCATAAATATTGGATCGTATCACATTAAATATGCAACCATTCAAATGTTTTAGCATCAACTTTACACTGGGCTGGTGATACCATTTAACTTTATCAAAAATAAAGCCAAATTTATAACAGGACATGATCAGGCCATGCAATCATAGAGCTTCACGGTTAGTACTTTGAGCAAAACCTTTTATTTACCTGGATGTATTCAGTAAGGGAATTGAATATTTGTTTGGTGACAGCCAGAGCTTTAGAGAAGTTACGTTGCCCTGATTCATCAATGACATCCTTTCCTGAATAGTACCAATAAAAGTCACTGATTGATTCCTACAAAAAAAACAACAGTATTGTGTTTTCTAATTTTGGATTCTATATGCAGTATTTCCTGCCTGCATTTGTATCAACAAAAGCTGAATCATCAGCAGATGAAATTTAGTATTTCTCAGTCAATCTGTTTCTCATTTTTGTATTTTTATCTAACTATGCTCCCTGTAGAAGTGAACAATGAAACAAATTAACAAACATCTGGTTTCAAATAGAATTCTAAAAGTTCATCTACTTTAAAAGGAAAGAGATGAAATAAATTAAATCAAATCAGAAGTCTTTATTTTAGATATCTTTGATGAGAGGATTTTCACATTTGATTCCAGTAAGATGTGAATTTACAAAAGCAAAGGAAAGGCTAATATGTTATATTCCATTTTCTTCTGTTTTTTTCCTCACCTGAAGACGCAAGAGATAGTCAACTGTACTAATGATAATATTCACTGTTGTGGTGTTGCCCATCTGAGTACGTAGGTAATTTTGAAAATCTGAAATAAGAAGTGATTTGTACTTGGTTAGTATATCTAGGAATAAAAAAAATACAGGAGAATTGTTTACACGGAGAGTACAGTCTTTTTAAGTACCTTGTTGGGTACAGGTGCTTATGTGATGGAAATTGAACTACAGTAGATCACAACGTAAATACGCCTGAAGAATTGTTATCCACATGACTTGCAATAGGCTTTACTATTAATGATTGGCAGAAAAACTGAAATTACGTTAACACTTAAAATTTCAAATCGAAATCTGCAATTCAAATTGCTGACATGCCAGTTTCCCCTCAAAAAAACTAAATTAATTAGAGGGGAAACAACTCATTAGGATCAGTTCAATTCCACATTTAAGAACAGGCTCATCATGTGTTTTCCCCAAAATTAATTCAGTTCACTTACCATTGTTATGCCCTTCACAGAGCAGTTGTAAGAATCTAAATAGATCTCGAGTGAATTCATCATGCTGCAACACTTTTTCACCTTTAAGATACATAAATATGATGATTGTGTGACGACTGTTACGATTAAATATGCAGAACACATAATCTTACAGCAACCTTTAAAACTGGAATTCTAATAAAAAACAGTTTTATGAAAGCATTAAAGCAGTTTAAAAGAGACAGACTTATAATAATGAAAATAAAAACTGAGATAGAAAAAGCAAAGCCAAAATATTTAGCACTCCAATGCATCCATGGTTTAAAAACAAAAAAAAAGAAGTTAAAAAAAAAAAAAAGAGAAAGAAAGAGGAAGCAACAGGATACATATCTAATAAGTTAATGGTTAGTCATAGCTAAAATCATGCCTTAAATATGAATGACACTCCTTTAGTAAGCATCAAACTATTTATCCAAGCTGAACACACAACCTGCTGCAGACCATAAAGCTAAACCTAAAGATATCTGGGAAGATGCAATGAGAGATTACTCTGCATTTGCAACACATTTTTGCAACAATAGTATCAAAAACTGTAAACCCAAACATACCACGCTCACGAACGATGACTGTGGATCAAAAAAAAATAACAAGAATACAGGATAAGAATATTGGAAGTTACAATGTTTTTCTTAGAAATTATTGCTAAAGATTTTGTAAACATAAAGCATGTTCAGAAATCAAAGCCTAGAATTACATTATAATAAGTTTATCAACAGAAACCTCAAGTCTCAGTAAATAACAGACTGAGTTAAATAAGGAAGCAGGAATAATTTTTTAAGCACTGCTGGAATCAGTTTAATTCTACTTACGAGTTCCTTCTTCAGTAACCATTCCCAGGCCTTCTGCTTTATTTTGTCTTTCAAATGCATTCAAGTCAAGAACGCTTACATTGAAAAAAAAACAAACAAACAATCAAACAGGAAAAAGTATTGTAGTACACAATGGAAATGTTTTTTTTTCATCTAGGAAATCTCTGGAGGTCTTGAACAACTACCCTTGACCCACTGTGTCATGCATTGCCTCATATTTTATTTAATATGAATACGAAATAAAAGGGCTTGTAATGAAAATAAGGGTCTGAAAAGAAATGGGTCTCGGGTCAGGTCTCACCACTTACCTAGCTTCACTTCCAGTAACATCATTCATGGTTTCATATATAAATGAAAAGTGGACAAGGCACCTGAAATACTAGTCTTTATATTGACTTAAACCTGCCTGCCAAAAGGACATTAGTGCAGTTATTTCTCAGTCACACTGTTTTCCACTAAATTAATGCTGTTATTTAGCTTATTTTTTTTACTGAATATGTTATATATTATTTATTCGGAATCTCTGGTTCTATATTCAGGAGACATATATAGAAACAGAGATTCCATGTCTTCCACGGTCAAAATACACTGACACCTGAGTTTTCTTCTGCTGACTTTTCATATACCAGCACATGGAATAGAAGATGATTCTTCTCAGCACCCAGTCAGGATACTTTCATTCAAACAGTCCAAATGTAATTCTATTATTATTTGATTTTTTTCTTTTTTTTTTTTTTTTTTTTTTTGTTAAACAGCAATGTATTCATATATTCTACTGTCTAGCAACATCAGTAAAACAAACAATTTCCAAGCATCGTTTTCATTCTATTGTCAGTGTTGAAGACATTTTATCAAACCCTTTTTTAATGAAGTTCTGAACTATACACATAAACAATTGGTGGCATAATCACTGCAGGTCTTGTTTGAGCAAGTCCTTGCTAACGTGTTCTACATAAATGGAAAATTTATGAGATAGATGCTATTTAATGAGGCTGCAACTACTCAGTGATAATTTCTGCAGTGCAGGTCACCATTCCATCTACATTTTTTCCTGCCTTCATAGAGCTTCTGCACTTCTAATTCCCAGTCCAACCCTTCAGAATCCTTCTGTTGCTTTAAGATGCTGAGATAAAGATGCCTACTATAAGAGTAATTGGAAACGTCAAGAGTTTTCCACCTTCTTCAGGGGAGTCTGTCACCTTAACTATTTTGAACTTCTGCTTTACCAAGAGAACAGGTTACTGCAGTCTCACCAGCCACATGCCATTTCCAACAAATCCAATATATACACAGAGGATTCAGGTGAAAGGAGATTATGCAATTTGTCAGAGATGTGCAGAAACTGAAACCTTCATAAAGCCCCACTGACCTGTATGTCCTTCAGTGACTGGCTTTTTTCCCTCCTTAGAACGACCTAGATGGAAAACTTGAGGCTTCTGAGGCCAGTAGAGGAACCATTACATTTTACTCTTCTGCCTCTCCAAGCTAAGCCTTCAAAGGCATACAGTCTTTGCTTTATTGTCTCCTTTGGAAGAGTACTCTAAAAGATTCATGTACTATTCCTCTGATTCACAAAAGTGTTGCTCAAGAGTTCTACAGTCTGTGGCTCCTGTAATTTAAATCTGTCAAGTCCACCTGCACTTAGCAATAAGCCATCAACCTGAATAAACTTTATAATAATATTATTTGTGCTCTTACCTGCAGGACTGCATCAAGCCAGAGAGACTTTGAAAAAATCCGGCATCCTTTTTCTCCTTCAGGTAGTCTAGCATTTTCTAGAGGGTACACATTTGGGGTTGAGAGGGAGAGGGAAAAATCTGTATTAAAATTATATGAATTAACAGCTTATTTAATTACCACTGGAAATTGAAATCACTGGCAAACAATAATAACAATGTTACTACAAGAAATAACCTGATATTTCTTCACTCTATAGCTTAAAACTAAATGCACTAAAATAAAACCATGACAGAGTACTAAAATTCTCAAAATTACTTGTCTCCTTTATGCAGGCATGATTCACAGCAGTTAGAAAAGCATTACCTGTTGAACTATGGTATTCCCACCATTTAGAATAGCAATACCAAGTTTTAGTGTTTCAACAACCATGGGTCCTGTATGGCCTATCAAAAAAAAAAAAGGGGTACAGTCATTAAAACTTGCAATTATGAACTATTTAATCAGAAAAGTAGTCTGGAAATTTTACCTAGTATAGTTGTAATTGACATTTATTTTGCCTCATTTTATACAAGTTGTATAGGATATGTACATGTCACAGGTATAATGACATAATACAGTGTATCTGCGTATAGCATTGTACTTATGTATGTCATGGATAAATGTAACACTTCACAGACCATTACCTTTGCTTGCACTAATCATCTGAAGGACCATCTCAGCAGCTCCACGATCATGTAAACGAGCTTGCTGATAGAGAGTTCTCTGTTTTTCCATTTCTTTCTCCTGGGTTTGGGAACAACAATGAGAACAGAATACAGACAGACTGGAACTGATTCAGAAAAATAAGAAGATGAGAAATCTGAAGTTGCCAAAAGCCATCTGCCTCCATAATCCGTGGGTTGTTTGGTTCCAAATCTTCAGAGCACATCATCTTTCTTTTGTGTGACTAACACAGTAAGCCAGCACAACACACACGGTGCTACTCTTGCATTTATTCTAGTGGGTATATTTAAAATACTTGCAGATTAGGAAATGACAAAGTAATGTGATTTAAACTCTCACCTCAAATGTCTTTTCTTTTTCTTCTTCTTCCTCTTCTTCTTCTTCCTGACAGCTCTTTTTATGGCAGAAACAGAAATCACAAGATTTTGGTTATTATGAAACAATGTCTATTTTTACTATAGTATTTCTACAAAAATGACCAAAGAAATTTTTTCAAGCAATAATTAAATGCGTTAAGAAGCTTTAACATCCCCATAATATCTGTGCTTATCCAAACTAGGAAGCTGATATTCCTGAATGTATAAGTACTTCAGGGTACTCATCCAACTACATATACAACCTGTAACTGCAGGCTATGTGTTCTTGTGTTGTATCTATATTTATATCCATAATATTTATCTTCACAGTCAGACTCTCCTCACCGTGTGTCAGCTGTAATCAGTACGTTACAAAAGCTGATTGTCAACTTATTTTTGACAGCCTTAAAATATTAACTCCAAAATGCTTACTCAAAGAATAAACATGTTAAGTTTGCTCATTGGCTAATCCTGTACCAAACAAAGACCCAAATTATATCAACAGAACTGCACCTACTGGAATCTTATAGTATTACTTTAATGTAGAAAATTTCTCATTTTATATATAATTCTGAACAGCATCTGCTTCATTAGAAATATAAAAATTACTAGTATCTAGCAGTTCAAGTAAGAAATAGAAGGAAAAGATTTTTAAAGTACCTAAAATCAATGGGAAGAGTCTGAGTGGAGTGAGGGATGGAGCTTGAAATTAAATATTTACCTTTGCCATCATGGCAGAGTAGGCGATATATAAAGGATCATCTTCTAATTTGCTACAAAGAGTAAAAAATATTTTAAATTATTTTATGATGTAATACAAATATATCATACTCCTACTGATATTTAAATACCATTTTTATTAAAGGGATTTTAATTAAAGTAGATAGATACACATCTACTTGAAATGCTCGTATACTTAAAAATTTTATTATAAATATATTTCCTTATCTCAAACCAAGTCTCTGTAATTTTTTAATTAAACAATGTAGAGGTGTATTTGGACATCCCCATAGTCACGTTGGGTAAGGTGGGATCACTGGCTGTTGCTGGTGCAGAAAACTATTATGGAGATACAAGCTGAAAGAATTGTAACTATCAGATGATAAGAGGTAGTGATATGTAGTAAGATGATAACATTAGTAATATCGAAAAAGTATGTAAAGCACTGGAGTACTCTACTTGTACAAAATACATATTCTAATCAACAGTCTAAATTCAGACCAGAAACTGGCACTAGAAGAGATTCATGCTAATCATCAGTGAAGCCTTTTCTGACAGACTGAATAAAATGTAATGAGTGCCAACAAGAACACACATCTATTATCAGCAGAGACCAGGGAAGGTACTCTGAATGAACCAGCACTTCCTGCACACTTTCTATGAGAAATCATGCTCAATTATTTCTGTATTGGGTATTTACCAAGCTTTTAAAATGTCAAAAATAGTTAATATTTGTCTCAATATAAAGGTTATATGAAATTTTAATACATGAAAACTAATGAAACTGAGTGGCAAAAAAGTATTCGCTGTGCACAATGGTGAACTGCAGTTGTGTTAAATCTCTCTCCTGTAATGTTACCAGAAATTCAATTACTGTGTGCTTTCACTCAGTGTGCTTTTCAACACCTCTCTTTTTACCTTCTCTCTGTGAGAGCACTGCGACTAAAGTAGAGGATAATCTGATGAAGTGGATCAGGCTGTTTTTTCTCGGTCTCTTCCTCTTCTTCTTCCTCTTTTTTTGGAGGTGTCTGTCTCACAAATTATATCAGAATTAAAAAAAAAAAAAAGCTTCATGAGTAAGGAAAAAAAAAATGAGTAATTAAGCTTAAGAAAGGATTTCAGTAATTTTATTCTATCCAATTTGTATTAACTTCCTCTATTCATTTTATTCAGCAGCTTACAGCATAACCTGCAACATTATGTGCCTGTATGACTGAGGAGTGAAGAGTATCAGATTGTTATTAATATTTGATATTAATATTAAAGTTTCTTATTCACAAGGTATTGAGCATGTGACAGTGAAACTCTTAGGAAACCTTATTCAGCAGAAATTAGATGTTTCCAGTGGACCAGAAAGTCCCAGCAGAACTATTTAGCAGGAAAATTACTGGTAAATTGAATTTTTTGGAATAATATCACCAGATACATCCTGTTCAGACTACTGTTTGCTGCATTACTTACATATATTGTTTCTAGAGAACCTTGATTCCACAAATGTAAGGACTGCTCTTACTATCAACATGAAACATTTTTTGGCAATTTGAAATACAACGTAGCGAGTACTGGCAAAAGAACAGCATATCAACTTTACCTTACTTGTGTTATCACCCCTTTGTAGGGACTGTAATTATTGCAGAATTATTGTAATTATAGTAATAATTGTAATTAAAGAAGTTCAATTTACTTCTCAAGTAAATCTGAAAGAATTGTAACCACTGTTTTGATTAATGGCCTCATTCCTTCCTTTAGAAAGAAGCAACAAAGTCAAACAGAATGTGACCATATAATTGTCCAGAGTATGAGAAGAATACATTAGCTGTGATTCTGAAAAATCATATAACTTTCTACATGACAAGATCTTTAAAAAGCACAACATGACTCCATTTGCTAACACTGAAGCATCTCCTGATACATCTTCATGTGATCCATGAATATATATTTTAATTTTTATGTTGTTCAGATCCTATGGAGATAGGCCCTTTGGAAGTACTGTAGTACTTTGGAAGTACTACAGAGAGGGAAGAGAAAAAGCAGGAGGCTTTCTGAATCAATATTCAGTAACAAAATGCTGAAGTCTACAAATTGCTTTTATCAAGAACACACGTACAATTCCTTTTATCAAGAACACGTAAACTAAATTTTTGCTGAATATGGCTGCACATTTTTACTTCTCCTTATGATATATCACAAAAAACCAGCAAAAATAATTTGTATCAAAGCTGAAAATGTCAAAATTAAATATTATGCATCAACAAAAACTTTTAAAAGGGGAAAAGGATCAGCTGTGTCAAGCTTTAAAAAAACCCAACACAGTAAATAAAATATAGGAACATAGGAATTACCATAATGACAAAAATAGTCTTGACAGTTCATCTAATCCATTTCTCTTCCCAAGAATAAGTATCACATAATTTGTCTGAAGGCATAAACCACCTTAGTGCACTTCAGTGTGCATCACAGGGCGAATGCCTTTTTGACCACAGCAGAAAATGACCTTATGCCCTGAAGCATAAGGATTAGTATTTTATAAGTTTATGCATATGCATACAGCACATAAAAATTAAATATCGGTTATATAGATACATAAAATATACACTCAAGTGGGCACTGTAACATATGCCCAATTATGTCAGTACTTACAGCCAAATCCTGAACTAGTTTCTCCTCAAATGAATATTCCTCTGTTTCTATCCAATAGTTCTGATAGCCATGGAGGAAGAGGTTAATAGAACGGTGCCTGGGGGTTGTGAAAGTGAGATCAAGAGGGGTAACGGAACATCGTATAACAGCTCAGGTGGTTAATGGTTAGTAAGGATACGGATTTGTACAATTCTGATCCTCTGATTGGTCAGTGGAACAAAATGCAAAACATAACTAACATTCAGTGGCAAATCTGCATGTGCTTTCAAGCATTCTCACTGGGGGTTTTGAGGCACATATTTAGACAATACTTTTTGTTTTGAAGGCTTTGTGAGTGCTAATATACCTTATATGTGAAACTGCAGGACTGGAACCTTAAAGTGAGCATGGGGAAAATGCAGACTTGAACAGACCCAGAATGAGTGGGTGGATTTACACCTATGAGATGCAGTTTACTAGACTTAGGACATTGAGACAGCAGAAGTTAGCCATTTACACCAAAATAATTATCAAGTGCTTTCCAGCATGTTATCTGCAGACAACGAGTGCCATCTTCCACAGAGAGAAGCCTAGCCTTGCTTTCTTGTCTTTCTGTTCCAAATCAGGGCAGTATTAATATTCTTCAAAAAAGCTGGACTAGGAATACACAAAACCTGCTCTAGAAAATGATCAATTTTAGAAAACTCTTAAACATATTAACTAATACACAGTATTCATTCATTTAAACTTTCCACAAAAAAAATATAACTCACAGCAGTAAGACTATGCATAATAATGACCAAACCATTCCATCTTTACATTACCTTTGGGGGAAAATTTTGGGTTTAGGTGCACTACGTGAGGTTACAAAGCTTGTTCCACATAGCCTTTTCATTTACTTCTGTTCTGCACCACTAACAAAAGCTATACAAATGGCTGTATACACTTTGACGTCTTTAAATACACTGTGAACATGAATTATTATTATTTTTAAATAGAGTAACTATTGAGACAACCTTCTAGACACTCCTGCTGGCAATGCTGCCATTTTATTATCAAATTTCAAAAACTGACCAATCAGAATCCCCTCTGAAAATTGTACAAATTCATGTTTTATGGTAACATCAAATCATGGCTGGGAAGGAATAAGTGTGTGCGTAAATAAGCAAGAGGCTCTCCACAAGTTACATTACCGTTAACTTGAGTATAAGCCTGTCATACTGAGTTTTTTCATGTACTTTTTCCAGCCAAACACGTTGAAAGGTGCTCAGGAAGAAATTGCTAATTTTGTGTCTGAAGAAAAGCATATAGGTTTTCATTGAAGAAAGGCACAAGTTAAATTCAATAAAGTAGTCTGAAAGAATGTATTTGTAAACTGTGTATGAAAAATTGCCATGTAGAACTTTGCTGTATCTATGTGCATATACAGATGACAGACAATAACACTGCTTGTTTGTTGTTTTGGTTTTTTTTTTAACAAATTAATTTCCTGAAAACATCAAACATAAATACAAATATCTCAGAGAAAACATTTATCACATACGACACTTTTTCAAAGCCAAGCACATTCATTAAACAGTGAACACGAAGAATTAGTATTTCCTAAATTAACTGATGTTTTCTTCCTTGAAAAATAGAAGTATTTTAAAATACAGATATTTCGTTTGCATCTCCAGGCAATTCTTGGAAAAAGGAGTACTTGGAATATTTACAGTAGAAGTAATATTTCTATGATTTAACAAACACCTACACATCAGTAAACATTTCAATTCCTGAAATATCTTACTGGAATTCATAAAATCTAATACATATAAGAATGTATTTTGAAGAAAATCAGATTGAAGTATGAGATAAACATTAAATTACATTGAAAGCCACCTAAATTTCCAGAAAATTTTCAAAAGAAAGAACTTGTTATTCACTGAAGACAGTATTTTTAATGGGAAAAATGAAAGGTTATCACCATAATGTTTGCTTACTGTCTTTTAAATTAATTTGACTGTAGCACTGAATTTAGAACCAATGCTCACAATATAAAGCTGCAACCAAAGTGAGGAAATACACAAGATAAGGAGAGCTGCATTTGAAACTCTAGTTCAAAGGGATTTACACAGTTCCTAGAATTAATCACACCCCCTACCTGAAATAGTCCCCTTTGGGTTCAGAGATGTCTTAACAACACAATCAATTTAAATGATGGAGTGAGTTACAGGTGTGTAATAGTGTGAGAGTCTTATTTTCCTGTCAGAATCCTATAATTTATCTAGAAAGAATATGTGCTTATAAGCTAACAAATTTTACAACTTTGTTCTGCACATATCAGTTGAGTAATATAATTAGAAGTGCTCACTCATTTTGGGGGGTTAGACTTGATGACCTTTGAAGGTCCCTTGTAACACAAAACTTTCTATGATTGTAAGTCCAAAGTGGTTTTTTTATTCTTTCCTGTTTTAAAGTGCAGACACCACAAGTACTGGCTAAAATAGTTTTATGGCAGTTCGTTTTTAGCATCTACAAGGCAAAATAACTGGACAGCTTTTTATCACATTTATATTTAAATGAGAAGTAAACAACACCAAAAAAAAAATACCATAAAGTTTGAGAAGAACCAATTTCAAACTTTTTAACACATTTTTATTTTCTGAAAATCACAGATAATATAAGTGTTCTATTTCAAAGAGTATTAATTTGTATTTTCTTGAAAATGAAAACACAGATTCACAACCCATTTTGCTCCTTGGCAGGTGTTCCATCAACTTTGAAAAAAAAAAAAGTGTTTTTTTAAAGTTAAAAATAAGATGAACTATTTTTATTGAATGCTTCTATATACATATGTAACATTTAAAGAATTTGTGAATTCAGAATATGGTTGTAAAAAAAACAGTGCTCACAAAAATCTTATTCTGAAATGGGTGCTCTTCTTAACACTTTCTCTTGTTTTTCCAAACACAATTCTTGAAGATGAAATGGTTGATACTACCCAGTTTGTTCTTATCCTGTACTTAAACATTTGAATTTCTCAGATACTTTAAAGATTGCCTGGCTGTAGTGTGACAACTTAGATTAATTATTGTTGTCTATAACCATTATGTTTTGTAAAGGAAGGGCGTCTGGTTTTTTACAGTACAACTGGCTTTTTTTTTCGTCTTGTGCAAACGTAATATTCTTCCAGAATGTTAGTGGCACAGCTACAGACCTTTAGCCAAGATAAGGCATGTAGATTTGCTTTAATAAAGGCATTTAAAAATGCAATGCAACTCTTCTGTTAAATACTTTGCAAACGATCTTTGGACAAAAATATTGAATGTGAAAAAGTACAGAAGAAGGTGAGAAGCAAACTTAAAGATGTGCCTAAGCTGTAGCGGAATAAAAAGCAGATTTGCTGAGAAGGAACAGGGTAAAGGAAATTACCCCGATGCCACATGCAATAGGACAGGAATACAAACACAGGAGAAAAAAAGAGCAAAAAAAGGAACTAATCAGAGACAAAAAAAGGACAGAAACAGCAACATCTTCACAATTTTCACAGATAACTTGAAGAACTATGCAGTGTAACAGCTGACATAAATGAAGCATTTTGATTTGAAGCAATGTAATTCCTATGGTCTTTCCTGCCCATTATTTGTCATGAGACAAGTATTTTGCCACTGTGAGGAATTAGCTGATAATTAACAAACTATTTTTATCTTTTAAAGAAAATTACATAAGCCAAATAATCAGCAAACTCATGGGTATACACACAAGCAATATTTGCACTCAGAAATATAAATTAAAGTTACAAAAAAATAAACCTTTAAGCCATTTACCTTGGCAGGTTGTATAATGGTGCCATTCTGAAACATGCAACAACAGCCCTTTTGCGTTGCTTTGAGAGGAGTTTGTGCCAAACAGCTTTCTTGGATCTCAGTGGTTGTTCAACCTATGGGAAAATATCTTCTAGCACATATAGTGTAAACTCTTCACCTTTTATTCAAAATTTTCTTTTTAGCTACTGGTTAACGTAGTTAGCAAATTAGAAAAATGTTACAAACACTTCCCATCATATAAAAAAAAAGCTCTTTGGGGGTTTTATTTTTTTGTTGTTGTAGTTTTTGTTTTAAAATTAATAAGAAAACATACTGGGAGCCATATAAATAGTTCCTATCAGGTTACACAGAAGAGCTCAAGATGTCAGAGTACCACATGTATGGGACTCCAAAATAGTTATTTTGTTTGTTTCTAACTCTGCATATTCAATTGTTCATGTGAGTGAATTTCTGTATTATATAATTTGTGACAGAAAAGGATTAACTTTATGTGGGAAGAGTACAAATGTCTTGTTGTATTTAAATTGTATCATTTGAACAAAGAGCCGACTGATTCCTAAATTGCTACAGCATCCTCAGGCGTAGAAACAGGAGATGGGTTAAGACTAGTACATTAAAATAAGTGCACCTGCAAATATCTCAATATCTCTTCCTAAAATTACAGAGTTTTCAGCTACTGAATGGTAACTTTTGTATACTATATTTCTTGCAACTGTTCACAAAGTTTTGCAGAGGCAAATACATCCTGAGTTTTCCCTGAAGCTAACCTGAGACATGTCGACAGACTCCATTAAAATCTGCATATATATACAGCTGTACGTGCATGTGTGTGCACAGGCATGCACAAAAATAATTTTTATCTGGACACTTTGATAATGACAGTAACTAAAGCTGAAATAATCTCTATAAGAAAAAAACCCACGCTACTTTAAAACAAGCACAGTGTAGACATTCCACTCTTTACCTGTTCTAGATGATACAGAGCAGCTGATATCCTCTGCACGCGTTCCACGTTCCTCTCAGGGTCAGTGGGTTCATCACTCTTCAAAATGTCTTTGTACAGATTTAACTGCCACTTCACTGCTGGATCATCAGACTAAAAACCAATACATTTTGTAAGTAAGCAGCTGAGTAAGACACTGAATTTGACTACTAAACACTATTATTCTCATAGTACATTAAAAAAAGTTATAGATATTCCCGCTTCATCTGCTCCCTTTTAGTCAAAATTAACATCTGCTATATGCTCAGAAAAATGGCATTAGATTCTATTTATTTTTGGGTAACTGAACTCAATTCTTAAGCAAGGTTCTGTGTTTTTATTTCATGTAACCAAATAAAGCACCCTGGGATGCTGTATCCCATTAAATGCATTAAATGTAAGGAAGCACATTTAGTACTGAGACTGAGTTTAACTCTTGTGTTAAGATGACACAAGCTTTTCTTATTTTATCACAGTCACTTTAAATTGCATATATTCTTAGAAATACTATTTAATCATTAGTAGAAGTGAAATTCAAGAAGAAAAGCTGAAGTACTCTAAATTTTATTTTCTTCTTGGATTGAGAGGTTTCTGAGTAATTATAACTTTAAAACTGTATCAACATCTCTATTCTTTACACTTATCACATTCCACAGGATTTCCTGAAACTTGAAAATACCCACCAAAGCTACGTTTATTGTCATGAAAAAATTATGAAGAAAAATGGTAAAATGTCAATTTTATGATAGCTTTTCAATGTCTTTATTTTTTATGTATCATGATAAGCAAAACAATTGTGACTTCTGTGTTTTAAAAGTGCATATCAGAATTTTTAAGATAAGATTTTTTTTTGTATTACCTTTTCCTGCAAATGTAAGTTGTTACGTATATGTTCTTTGACTTCATCATCAGTGTCCCTCTGTAGAAAAGTAGAAGTATTTTTCAATTCAGATTATGATTCATCTCATAAGAACATGTACAAAATAAACCAGCTATTATTTTACATTGAAACATAACCTCTTTTGTTTTCCAAGTGCATAAGTTACCAGAAGGACCTGGGACAAAGGCTTTCTTTAATTTTGACCACAAGCCGAGGATTCAACTTTGAAGAGAATTAAAGCTCACAAATGGTATGTCAGTATTTAGTCCAAACAAATAAGCATATGCAAAAATGTACATTGGTTATAACTGGGAAAAGATGTGGAAATCATTGCAGCTGTCTATACACACCAATTTTTCTTGTGAAAGCACAACTAACAGCTGTATTTACAGTACATTGATATATTTATTTATATTGGCTGCTTAAATATCTATGCCTCAAAGATCAGCTTATAAAGTTCTGCTTATTCTGCATAAATTAAATATTCCAAAGTATACACTTACATGGCTGTATCTAGTCTTAGCCAAAGAGATGAGCTCTTGATCTCCAGGAGTACACATATTCAAACCAATAGGAAGCATCTTCTTAAGTGCAGCTACAATCAAGGAAGTCTGAATGGAGTACAAATCCCCTCTGCGTTTTGATTTCTTTCTCTCTTGATCTTGTCCTCCAGACTATAATTAAAAAAAAAAACAGAAAAGTAAATTACTCTAATTCTCTGATCATACACTTTTCCAACATGCTCTTCTCCTAGTGCTTCAAGGAAACTATGTTCCTGATGTAGTACAATTAATTAAAAATGCTACATTAGAGAAAGGGTGTCCAGTCTTGAGCAGGAAATGTGAAGGAACAGTTTTGATGTGTGCCAATGCACCAGAAATTGAAATTTAACAGTAGCATTTTAATAGCGGTAACATATTTTCTGGATCTTAACTCTGAAATCAGAAACAACCCTAAAATTAAAAGCTGAGCCAGTCTCAGGAGACACAATTAGTTCTCAGAGTTACAGAGACAAATTTAGGATGTTTACATTTTCATTAGAAATTTACATAAAGATAGTCATCCAGGGTCTGAATGTATGAATATTGTGTGATTTGTCTGAACTGAAAAAATACCAGTATCTAAAAGGCTTTGATTCAATGCAATAAAATGCTGATGAATTAGTGCCTCTGGGAAAGCACTGCCCTTTGGCTTTGGCTAATGTAAGTAACTCTGGGATGAAAAATTAAGCCTTTTGCATCTTTGGAAATCACAAGTGATAGGAAAACGAACACAAAGGAAACGAAGAAGTAAACAGCACCACAGAGTAACATCTTCCCTATCTTCTTGCAACAGACACTGTACAACAGTATTTTACACACAACTTTTCATTTATGAGACAGCAAACCAAAATCTTTAGAACAGACCCATATATTTAATGAACATAGGGTAAACAACAACAACAACAAAACAGCCCAGTTCTGAATTCTGTACCTAGATTAAACTCCTGCTACACTCAAGGGGAGTTTTGCCTAAGATAAGATTTCAGGACCAGGCCTCCAGGCTTATACAACACTACAAAACAGCAGATGCTTGCATTATCCCTCCACATCCTTTTCCCTCTGTCAATTAAGTTTTACTGATTACTGTTTTTATAATATATTGTGTAGCTACACATCAGGATACAGCAGAATCCATTGCATTTCATTATTTACCAATTATTAACACACTGTTATCACAGTAACCACCAGAAGTAAAAAAAAAGGCAGCCATATATACTCTACTGAGTGGTAAATTTTGGCAAATTCAGTCTTCTAGATGGTGAATCTCTGTGTACATAGCTGGTGTTGAGCATTTTGCAGGTCAGAGGGAACACAAAATGGATGTGGCTTCTTTTCTTAAGGAACTAACAATTGCAAGAGAGTACCTTGCCTCAAAGCTTTGCTTTTGGAAGTGCCTTAGAAATAGCAGTGATGTAATGGCTATAATAATGACATTATTTGTATTCTATATTGACAGCAGACAAACAATTCCCACAATGTATCACTGTATTCCAGTGGCGTCACTATGTATGTTAAATAGGGAATAAAAAAAAAACAAACAAAAAAACCACCCCATTAAAAAAAAAAAAGAAAAGAGGATAGATAGTGGTTTACTTTACTGCACCTTTATGCTTGTAGACATTTTACATATCCAATTTTCTTTTTAATTCCAGATTAATAACTAGGTATGAACAAAATAGGTGAATCTTAAAACCTGAACATTTTTCAAACATGAAAGGAGGGTCCATTCTGCCTTTGCCATGAAATTCTGCTGTCTGTGAATTCACAACTCCTGCTGATAAATGTGTAAGTAGAGTCACAGACGGAAACCTAAATGCCAATAAAATGATGTCTCTTTCAGTTCTAATATGCACGTATAGGAGTAAACACAGCACCTTCATTTCATATGTAAAGAGCATTAAATATATGGCATATTTTTGCCTAAATAATTAACTGTTCTAAAAGGACCTCAACAAGAAGAATGACAATCTGCTTGCTTAACACCACATAATGCTCTTACTTGTCTGAGGATTTAAACACACAAATTTTCATTTCAACAAACATATACAGAAAAAGAATTACAGATTCTCCAGTATATTTATAATAATTAAATGTACAGTCCAAAGAAGGAAATAATTTATTTATACTAAAAAAACCCAAACAACCAAATCAGCTAAAACTGGTTAACATGATGGAATTTTTTTTTTTTTTTTTTTTTTTTTAATTTCTAACCCTTCTTAAGCCTTTAATTCTCTGAGATTACCATGAGAGCATTCACTAAATCCTACTCTATATACCAGGGGAACTTTCACAATAGCAAAGCATGAAATTTGGTCTATTAGTTTAACACAACTGCTCACTTTTTAACTTATGCCTCCAACTTCATTGATTAAAAAGTCTTCACGGCATCATGTGTGCTTCTCAGCACACAAGGTGAAGGGAAAGATGTCAAATCTCACATCTTTAGTAAATGTAATTTTAATTTTGGAGAAAAAGGTAGGATTTGAACTCTGTATCTTATTTAAGTTTATTGCTTCTAAATATCATAAGCCAAATACGTGTTTCTGATGACTCTACTTAGGCATTGCTTTTATGCTTTTACACTTTTACAACCTCTGCTTCCATGTATGAGCAAAAAAAAAAAAAAGAAAATCAGAATGCGGAAAGATAGCAGAGGCAGAATGTATATCTAAAATAATTACAGAAGGTAACTTCACTAGACATTTTCACATTAAGAAACATGGGAGTGCCAAAGGGAATTTCAGCTATTTTGATCAAAAACTGACACTTTAACTCAGTAGGTGGAACCTGGACCTTCACTTTGTGACGCCACTGCTATGATCAATGGAAAGAATGCTTTGAGCCTGATCATCTCTAAATCTAAAACATAGACACATCATGCACTTTGACCTGTACCTTTACTTGCATGGCCTGTATGAAAGAAAAATAAAGGGAAAAAAAAGGTAAGTAAAAGAGATGAAGAGATGATATTTTTACAAGTTAGTAATAAACTTACTTAGCTTTATCAGGACAATAATAATATTCTAAATTTTTAGCTAAAACAGTAGACTGTAAGCATATAATCAAATGAGATCTTACTGAAATAATTTTTATTCAGCTTAATCCTCATTGGTGGTTAAGCTTCTGAATTTATCTCTTGCTATTCAGCACTACCATTTGTTGCTCCAGCACACAAGGCAGTACATAAGCACATCAATATACTAATTATTGCATCTTTTCCCAATATTATTAAATGGAGGAGGTTGTCTGGAACTCTGCACAGTCCAATAACATAAATACTATTTTCATCAAAATTGCTCTTCCTACCTCTTTTCCCCAGCAAAATATGGCTGAGAAAAGTCATGTTTAGAAATAGAGATCAAAGTAGCACTATGAAGATGCAACATTTAATTTACAGATGTATTTTTCCATTCTGTAGCTCATCAATGTTTTGAAGACAGCCTGAGAGAAAGCTTATGTTTGTATCTTAGCAGTACTCATGTTGAGAAGGCTATTATAAATTAACTGTAACTCGCATACATACACAGTTTTCTTTTTTCTGCATTTTGTGTTAATACCATAAATGCACTTAAATAAACATGTATTCCACAGTCAACACTATATTATAGTTGTGTCAGGCAGTCTTAAGAAGATAACAACAAACCACATAGTTATGGTAAAATGGAAAAAAAATTGACAGTTACTCAAAGGAATCCTTGATCAGGCATAGGAAAATACTATAGAAAACTGCTGGTTAAAAAACAAACAGAAGAACCATAAACATGGGCCTATCACGGGCCTTCTGTGATACCTAACAGTAACTTTGTTTTCTTGTGATATTTGAATTAGCCTCAAAATGCTGAAGCCAAGCTATTATTAAAAAGTCAATACAAGTCAAGAAAAATTGAAAGATTAAGAGTCTTCAATAATTTACTCAGACAAATATCAAATTTTAACTGTAAATTTCAATTATGTGAAATATGTAGATGCTGCACAGACATGGCTCAGCCAATACACTAAAGGTATGTAAAGACAACATGTTAATTGTATTTCATTTATCAGTGATGGCCATAAAAGTAACCCACTCGTAATTTACCACAGTATAGCTAAAGGAAATACATTCTATTCCATTGAAATAGTCTCAAAGAAGAGATCTAAAGTTCTTGCAGAAAATACTAACATGAAATCCTCTAATTATTGTATACTGGCAGACAATATGTATTACATAATACAAATAGGTACAAACCACAACGTTGTTTCATAATATAAACTTGGACTTTGTGACTGCCTCAGATTTCAATAATAGGCTGCCGAAATGCTTCTTAAAAATAGATACAAAAAACTAATGAGGGCCAGTCGAATAAAACTTCTGTAGGATACGCAAGTGTTTAGATACTGAGTTTTTATATTCAACCACACATTTATTTAGATTTCAGAATGTAAAGAAAAAAATTGCCCACAATTTTATTACACATTTATTATGTCCATGTGCAGGTACATGTTTAGTCTCTTACAGCAGTTAACTGTAAAACACAAAAGGACATCTTTGCATCTTAATCAAAATACTATTTTATCAACAAACCTATGAAGAGCTCAAAAATAACAGATTAGTGTAGCTGAATATGCTTAAATTCTCCATTTCAACACTTCAATTACAAATCTGTTATTTCAATGTAATCTAAGTTACCAGTCTCTCTCAGACTGGAAGTTCTCTAACTTACCATTCCCCTCCGAGCAATCTGCTGCCATTTTTTTAAAAAAGAAAAATTAAAAAACTTGCTCAGCTGTTAATACATTTATTTGATAAAATATTAACAAAGTTAATATGGTATTGTCAAAATAAGATGGGTATTTAAACAATTTCTTGATTGCAATGATGAATCATTTGTTACCACTACTATTAACTACTGATAAATAATGTAATCCTTATCTTTCATCATCTGCATAATTTTGTTTGTTTATGTCATGTAAAGGTATAGAACCTTCCATACATGACATATCACACATTACACACTAGCATTATAACAGCATTCTTCCTAAGATACAAGATACTAAGTGTCTGTTGTAAGACAGTGGCCTAAAGCAGTCTGAGATCAGCAAGGGGCCTTACTCCTTTAAGAGACCCCCAAACTATTCTAGTCTTGGGTCGGATATTAACAGCCAATGTTCATATTCCCAGTTATCTATACATTGTCATGCTTGATAAATACTGGATATGATCACTTCCACTAAAAATCATGTGAATAAAGAGGAACTCATGATAAAAAGTAAAGTGCTAATTATTCTGTTAGCATACTACTTCCTAAAATGACTTAATATTAAAGCGAGAAATTATAAAAACAGTGTTCTCTAATGCAATGTCCTCTACTGACTACTCTCTGAGGATATAAATAAGTAGCAAACCTTGTAAGAAAACTTTCAATTCAGTTATTTAGAAAATTTCTTGTTTATTCTAATCTATGCAATCTTTTAAAAACAAGAAAATTATTCAGATCTAAATGCGTGCTTTGCTATATATGCTGGCTTTAGAGCACTTACGTTTTATATCATGAAATGTTATCAATTTCCTGCTTAGAAACCATACATAAAATTCAAGTACACCACTTCTAAAAGATGTCTCATGCATTGAATCATGCTTTTAAATCATCAGGAAACAAACGCCTGTCTAAATGACCAGCTGTTCTGCAATCACTCCTGCTGATATGGTACCATATTAATAAAATATTAAGTCATGAACAATACAATCTTTTATGTCTTCCTATATTAGCAATAACCATGCACAGCATCCTTGAATGCTATGTTTAGATATTATCATGCTTACAAAAAAAATTGTGTAACTAAAAAAAAAATAATCTCCCTGTACTGTATACTCATACGAAGAAAAGTGCATTTACATATGCATCTACATCTCTGTTATGTATAAATATTTATACAAGTATTTCTATATGTCTGTATATTTAAATGTACACAAGAGGCATTTGAATGCGTAACCTCAAACCCAAACTCTTTCAGATTTGAGTCTTATAGATTCTTGATGAAATATTTCTACAAATGTTTCTGTATGTCTGTATACTTAAATACACACAACAGGCATTTGAAAGCATAACCTCAAGCCCAAACTCTTTCAAATTTGAGTCTTATAGATTCTTGATGAAATATTTCTACAAATATTTCTGTATAATGTCTGTGTATTTAAATACCCACAACAGGCATTTGAAAGCATAACCTCAAGCCCAAACTCTTTCAAATTTGAGTCATATAGATTCTTGATTTTAAGTTCCTGACATTTCATCCAAATTGGAGCAGTATGAAGGATACCAATTCTTTATATTGTGAAGATTTGTTTTGTCATTCCTGCCATGCCAGACTGACTAAAATATGACACTATTTACATAATATCCTATTATCAATACTGCAATGAGACACAATTTTGATTAAATATGAATCAGCTCATTCTAATCTATAATATATTTTTAAAAGGTACAGCTATTTCTTGGCTCCACAGGCTAATTCTACTGTGTAAATGTTGAAGTATACGTATTAAATTTGTCTGTACTGATTACTGTACGATAAAAGTACAGAGCTCTGTTCTTGTACAACTGATCATCAAATAGCCTGGACCGTACCCATTACTCATCATGCTACTGAGAATAATACAAACGTTTCAATTCTATCACAAAATTTCCAGGAGCTGCATCTTGAAAACAAGAAAAGACAGTAAAAGTTTCCTTTTATTCAAATATGGAATCTCTATATAGTTTGAATTGCTGTTCAGAGCCAGTCATGGACTAATGATCAACAGAAAGTCTGTTATTTTTGCTTGTAAACTCTCCAATATCAGCATTTGGCCTAACCAAGTTTCAGAACTTAAAAAAGTATAATAGAAAAGAAGCAAATGTTTTTTAAGAGAAATAAGAAAAATAATGGCACATTTTATTTCACTCTCTGGTGTCTAAAGTTGGACTTACAGGTTACAGCCAATCAAAACACAGGTAAATACGAACCAGTAAATCCCACCACTTCTCTGGATCACTTTCAGAATAGGATTACTCCAAACACATTACAAATATGAATAAAACAGTGTTGTTAGCTACATTTACAAATACTAATTTGTAATTTGACTTCAACTGGCTTTAGCTGAGTAAGCAATCTTCCTCAGCTAATGTCGAGGCAGATTTTTTTACCTTGACAACATGCATTTTCTCTATTATACAGGTAACAAATGTACTTTCCAGCCATCATGTTGGCATCTTGTCATATTGGAAATGAACAAAAGAGAAATTCATGTGGTCATTAATGAAAAGCCGCACGTGGCCCGGTAGGTGTACGAATAAAGAGGTACATGGAAGGTCAGCATTCTTCCATCAAGTCTGACACAACAACACCGTTTGACATTCACAAGGAAAACATCAGGCAGTCAGTGGTTCTTCACTTGCAATCAAAAACCTGGATTATATATTACAACACATATTCTCTGATATATTTAACTTTTTCATATCAAGATCTTAATTTTTGTCTTTGACTACTAAGCAGATATTTAATACATAACTTTAAGGTACATAGCCTGTATTTTGCATAGTAGCTGTCACATCTATCATCAAGAAACAAGAATATTTTTTGTTTCTTCTACCAGCACAGCAGCTGCAATCCAAGTAGATTTGTAGAGCCTTCTTACCACATACTAAACATATGCTGAAGATTTAACTGATTCATAATTTATTAACTTACTTTAGACATCTTGCTCTTGCTGTCTCCTGTTAAAAATGCCAAATTATTGATTTCATTCTGAATCACAAAATTTTGTTCTTCTCTTTTGAAATTCTAAAGATGAGGGGGAAAAAAAATCACCAGAAGTTTAATTCCTCTGCATGTACCACATTGATATACAAAGACAGAATGAAATGGAAGAAAAAGTATATATCTGTTCTTACATGTGATTTACACCACAGGATAAAAACTTCAGCTACCATTCGAAAGAGTTCATCAGAATCTGCATCTGGTTTCTTTAGCCAATTTGCTCTAGTTACAAAAACAAGAGAAATTTTAAATAAGACATTTTAAATAAGGCAACTGAGTATAAAAGTCTCTATTAAACAGGTTAGGTTACATTTCTATAGTTAATCTTGGAACTTAATGAGAGTCGCTTCAGTTTTCCATGACCATGGTTAGAGAGACCATTTTTCAAGGCAGTTTTATCCATGTCCAACAAAATTCCTAATTCTCGACTACTTATTTCTGCCTTCTCCTCCTCCCCATGATGCCAACACATATTTTATTTTTGTGCCTGTTCTGCAAACCAAACTAAGAACCAGACCTGGCTGTATTTTTCTGTTTCTTTTTTCTTTCTCATAATAGAACTTTGTTATCAAAATTTTGCGTTGATCCAAAAGAGAACACTGTGATGTGGAGAGGAGGAAGAATACAGGGACCTGAAGTACCTGTACAGAGCACAGGTACAGCTATCTTTAAAGCTGTACAGACTGACTTCTTCAATTGGTTTACTTTAGTAATCTAGGAACTTAACAGAACTTCAGTCTGGATCTGTCTCCACCAGGTTGCTCAGAAAACTTGGGCAAATGAACTAACAGATCCAGCCCTCCTATATGTCTCTATGCTAAAATGCATTAATATTACCATACATAAACTGGGCATCTGGCAAGAGACATGGGAAGCATTATAAGTTATGTTCATTAACTCTGTGTTCCAATCTAGTTTTGTTTTTTTGGTTTTTTTTGGGTTTTTTTTCACAGACCAGTTAAATCTGTGTTTTTTAAAAACAGGAAGTTTTTCCTTCGTGCCAAGGTCTGACATAGTGAAGCCACATGTTCATCTAGAAGAAGCAAGTCATTCTCAGTGTGAATTTCATTCTTGAGTATGCACACAATGAAAATGCTCCTAGGTAGCCCAATATGTACTAACAGCTAAAAGTCTCAGCAGGCAATGATTGTGTACAGAGGAACAATGTTGTTAACAACAGGATTAAGGTATTGTAGATACTGAGTTACTACAGACACTTCAGATACTCTTCTGAAGAGCATCTTGGGGTCATGTTCTGAGTCAAAGGAAAGTGAAAGTGTAGGCACAGAATAATCCTTCATTAAGTAGTTGAGAAGAAAAACGTCTGGTAATTCCAAAGGCAATACAATGGAAATAGAGTTTTTATTTCCATCTGAAAATAAAAACAAAACAAAACCAAACCCACAGATGATTAACACCTTTGTGGTATTACCTATAAATAGAATGATTCAATCCAGGTAAAATGTTTTTCATCCCTTCATTAACAATTAAGGCGTTTAGCCATTTTTTTTAATTTTTGAAAGGCATATTCATTTGTAATGTCGTTGGGGTGTGGTAGCATATATATATAACAAAGCTGGTCAGGATATGCATTCTCAATGATAATGCTGCAATTACAATACAATATAAGCCAAATGCATGTGAGAAAATGGTGTAAATTCAAGGTATATATTTCTGTAAATTAAGAATCCTAAAATAATGACAATCTGATTCTCAGCATAACATTAAATGCACTGTGTTCTTTCTGATTATCTGATCTTGGAACCTAGTACACTAACTAATAAATATGAGTTTAATTATTAGTTTTTATTTACCTGTTGTTGTCTACATAGCGTATCAACATTGGATAGAAGGCATAAAGGTCTCTACAAAGAACAGCAAACTCATCCAGAATGAGTAGCTCAGCTTCTTGGGTGTCAGTTTTACTATCTGCTTTAAGTTGCTCCTCTTCCACCACAATCTTTACAGCTTTCTTCTTCAATTTCTCCAGCGTTGGAATAAAGTGAGTTTTCAGCAGATCAGGCCTGGCTTTGCTGATGATGGGTTGAGCGTAAACTACATAAGAAGACAGACAATCCTATGGTTAATGCACAGTTGATGTTTTTCATTGTATTAATATGAACTCTGCAGTTCTAGAAAACAAAGATCATAGTGCTTCAGATATTTCTGGAGCATCATAAAATTATTAATAAAACTATGAATATAGGCTTGTAACAACTGTGTGTATTGGGAGATTAAAAGCCAATTACAGAGAATTACTCTTTAAAAATATTTACCATACCTGCAATTCTTTTCATCCAAGATGCTTCATCTATTCCCAGATTGTTGTTAATGATTTTTAGAATGTTTCCAAGAACGATGCTTAGATGCTCAGATGTTATCATTGTACAGCAAGACCCAGCACTCTGAGGAACACTCTCAGACCCTCTTTCCCACCAGTAGGATAAATAGTTGCATAGCATGGGTAAGATAACCTCAATTACATGAGGCATTTCAGTATATCTTGCTCCAGACTCTGCTAAATCATTAATTTCCTTTATTAGTCCATCCAAGTGAGGGATCTCTGGACACATCTCTTCTACTGTATCAGGCATACCTAAAACTGCAAGGAAGGGTAGAAAAGCAAAAGAATAATTAACAAAATATAAGGGAACATCTCCATTCATCTATTTTCAAACCCTAAACATACAACTAACGTTGACACTCAAGTGTTTTTTCTGTCACCATCTTGGGTGGACATAATTATTTTGAGGGACAGAGATCTACTCAAGAGAGTCCAGCGAAGGGCTATGAGGATGACCGGGGGACTGGAACGCCTGACTTATGAGGAGAGGCTGAGAGACCTGGGGCTTCTTAGTCTGGAGAAGAGAAGACTTAGGGGGGATCTAATTCATGTGTATAAATATATGCGGGCTGGGTGTCAGGAAGGAAAGGACAATCTCTTCTCACTTATGCCCTGCGATAGGACACGGGGTAATGGTCACAAACTGGAGCACAAGAAGTTCCACCTCAACATGAGGAAGAACTTCTTTACTGTAAGGCTTACAAAGCACTGGAACAGGCTCCCCAGGGAGGTTGTGGAGTCTCCTTCCTTGGAGACTTTTAAGACCCATCTGGATGTGTTCCTGTGTGACCTGCCCTAGGTTAGATGGTCCTGCTCTGGCAGGGGGGTTGGACTCAGTGATCTCTGGAGGTCCCTTCCAATGCCTGACATTCTGTGATTCTGTGATATAGTAAGATTCTGGAGTATACACAGGTCTCTCATCTCCTGGTTGATGTCTTTCTGATGATGCACATATAGCACTGAGGCAGACAAGAACTGCCTTGGATTTACTATAAAATGCCCTGCAGTTATCTGGTGAGCAGTCCAGCTATTAAAGTGCAGAACTGAGAGCTTATATCAATAAACTCTGGCCATTGTTTCCATAAAAATTTACAACTTCCATGTCAGTTTGCAAAAGACTAAGTCCACCTCAGGAAAAAGAAAACAAGCAGCCCAAAATTAGGGATACAATTAAAATTAAACTGTACCTAGTTCATGAACTCTGCAGATCTATCTCCCAAGAAAAATGTCACGAAAGAATTTCACTTGTCAGATGCTTCTATTAGAAACTGAAGGTTGTTTATTCAGAAATTAACAATCCATCATAATCTAATGCCAGACATTCTAGCAAAATTAGTTGGAGAGAAACAACACTTTTTTTATATCTATTTTTTTTTTTTTTTTTTTTTTTTTTTAGTAAAGACCAGTACTTACTTGCTCTTTCTCTTGCACTTTTTGTGTTGAAGACAGACAATGGGTTGTAATGATTGAGAGAAGGTTCAAGGAATGCCACTGGAATGGCTGCTGCAAGAGATGCTAAGCACTCACCAAGTGCAGGACGCTGCCTGTATATGAGAGACACTGAAAGTTACCTGAGAGGAAAAGATTTTCACTAGATTTTCAATGTCTAGCATGCATTATAATCAGCATTAACATTTACTGCTGATTTAGACTTTTTAATACGTTAGAAACTATTAGACAATTTCAAAAAATTCTATTTCTCATGTGAACAAAACTACTGGAAATTACAGTGGTATAGAAACAAAGTTTAATAAAACCAGCCTCCACCAAATATTGTATATCAGAGGTAAACTGCTCCACAGTACATCTGTGCAACTACAAACTATGGAAAATGTCAAATATGCACAAAGAATGGATTAGTAACTGCAAATTCTTATTATACCTTCAGTTTACTTAGGAAGCAAATTCATAAAATCAAAAGGAATCTGTTTTGGAAATCATACTCTTGTTCAAGATTTCACTTCTTTTCTCTGTGTGTGTATCTATATCTATATCTATATCATCTATATCTATATATCTATCTATATGTTTCTTCTGTTTTGCTCATTATACCACTTATAGTCACATGATGAGAAACACTACTGCTACTTATTGAAGATTGATTTCATGACTTTATGGCATTCTGTGTGGTGTGTTCTGAAAGGGGCAATTCTACATTCCCACACACAACCTTCCCACATTATTTGTCTGTTCTATGCTGACACTAAAACTCAGACAGCATCTTGATAAACTGGATGAAGGATTTGGTCCAGCAAAAAAAGCACCTCACCATAAAATCAAAACAAACCAAGCCAAACCAACAGCAACAAAACATGCTCAGCATTTGGCTACATAAACACTATTTGCCAGAAAAAAAGAAAGGGATGGAAATGTACAGGTGAAGGTGCAAGAGGAGCTGAAACAGGCCTTTTCTGCATAAGACCAGACTCGCATTGACTTAAAACTAAAGCTAGTGTACTCTTTTGAAGTCTTGAAGCACTGTTTGTACAAAATGCCTTACAGATTTTGTTATGCTTGACATACAGATTGGGTACAGATAGCACACACCTTTCACCTTTTGGTGAGCCCCATGGATTTTTTTTTGGAACAGACATGGACCTGTTGGAGCAGGTCCAGAGAAGGGCCACAACAAATGATCAGAGGGCTGGAACACTTCTGCTATGAGGCTGAGAGATTTGGGGTTTTTCAGTCTAGAGAAGGCTCTGAGGACTCCCTTCTCACAGCCTTTCAGTACTTAAACAGGGCTTGTAAGAAAGATTGGGACAAACATTTTAGCAGGGCCTGTTGCAACAGAACAAGGGATAATAGTTTAAAACAAGAAGAGGCTAGATTTAGACTAGATATAAGGAAGACATTTTTTACCACAGGGGTGATGAAACACTAGAAGAGATTATTTCACAGCCGTGCCGAGATGTGAAGAGTTATGCAACTAGATACCCTCCAACTTTGTTGCAGGAGGAACAAAAGAAATTGGCAAAAGCAATGGCCTTACAGAATTTAAAAACATTACAAAAAAGGATTTTTTTTTTACTTAGGTATTTCATGTAACGATTCATATATTACTCTATTTCAAGGGTGATTGCTCATTTGTTCTCTCTATGGAATTACTACAGTTTACTGTTTTACTGTTATCAAAGGAAATGCAGAAATCAATTATGACAAAATTAAAAAGAAACTGTGCTCCACCTATATATCTATGTATCCCTACATTATGGTTATCCATATAGTATACATTTTGCAACAGAATACATGATATATTACTATCACAGAGAGCAAACACAGAACATTTCATTAACATTTTTTTTAATACTGTTAGAATTCCTAGAGTACAGCCATGTTCTCTTCCAATTCAAATTGTAACAAAAGGTGTAATTATATATATAGGATATTTCGTAAAATTTTCTTAAGGAGGAATCTTTATTACATCTTTGCCTTCTGTTGGACCAAGAAGGAAAAACTTGGGGGGTGTGTTTGTGTATGTATAGGTACGCAAAAGCATAATAAAAAGCAGTTTGAAAAGACTGACATGAAATGCACTGAGGCTATTTAATCACATGCATGGTGTCATAATGCGCACTTGTCTTTCTGTATGAAAGGAGGATACCAAGAAGCCAAAAGAAGGGAAGGTGAACAATTATACAATGAGGCTATGAAAATTAAGTACGCAGATGTTCTTTATCATATAGAACTCCTAAATATGAGAAACCAAGGGAAAGCCTATAATTTTGCAGGATGGAAATTAGAAAAGACAAAAAGAATTTCAGACCAGATAGTCACTGACTTAAAAAGCAAATAACGTAAAATAAATCACTTGGGGAACTGAGTGGTTCAATAGAACTAGTGGAGTAAAAGGTACATAAAAGCCAAATTAACCTTTTAGAGAAAATATGTTAGGAAGAGAGCTAACTGGAAAAACTTATTCCAAAGAATGAGGAAGAACTGTCAGAGTCTGATGTACAAGCCTTGGAAGAAGTGGAAAAGCCCTGAAATTTAATCAAATCAATCTAGGCTTTGAAAAACCAAAGCAAGATAAACCACCACCAACTGATGGCAGTCATGAAGGAGCATTTCTTACTATACCATTGTTAGAATTTCTTCCATTTTTGGTAGTCGGCATTTTGAGAAGCCTCAAACAGGTCAAACTGAAGTCTTAAATTGAACAATCTGAATATGAACATATAGCTGAATACAGTAGTTAATTTTGCCATATTTAACTACTCTTGTTATGGATACAGCTATTTATTTATTTGTTCTAAAAATCCTTCAGAAATGTGTATCTAGAAACTAAAGAGGAAAAGACTAAGACACCATAAAGAGACATACAACTTCTGGGTACAGTGTACAAGAAGAGAGTTATCTATCCCAAACTTAGGACATACATTCCTGTTGCAGTGAATGAAAAGAGGTGAGTACCTGAGTATAGAATTCACAGTCAGAATGCCTGCAGCAATAATACTACACTTGACAGCAGAGCATTAGGGCTCAAAGTAGTGAGACTAATGCATTTTGCATCCAGTCCTCAACATCTATGAAGCACAGAGACATTTAAGGAAGAACAGCCCACAGAGAAATCAGAAACATTTTCAACATCCTTAACAAGCTAAACACAGAGGATAAAACCCTTGACAAAGGAAGCTTGTTACAACAAGGCAGCAGGAGCAATCCAACTTGGTATTATTTCTGAGCCCCAGCACCCAGGAGACTTGTAGAATCAGCTGAACTATTTCAGCCATGAAAAATGATATTCTCCTATAAAAAGTGAACTCTGACTCATGCTGTAATGGGAGTTAAAAACTTAATGTCCCTGTCAAAATTTACTAGGAGAAAAACTGTACTGTGATCCTAAATCTCAGCATCGTTTAACTTGTGTAACTGTTCAAGTCAGCTCAATCATTCACTTTTAAAGTTTTGCTGAAACATTGAGCAGTGTCTTTGAAATCCTACCTCCCACCTAGACACTGATATCTGCCTACAGCTTTAGTTTAAGAGCCTAAATGAGTCTAGAGAAATCCAAACTAAATGAAATCCACAGTAGGAAACCTCTCACACAGCTGTAGAAGACTAATTCACTTCTTTGGATATATCTCACCTGATAAATCTTCCCCTCTAAGAAGACAATTACAGTAGGAAAAGGTGAGCTGCTAACATCAGTGTTTAATGTTCAGTGCTTACATTTCTTGACAGTTGATTGGAGGCCTGTAATGTGAGCTCCTCTTATTGAAAGGCAACTTAAACACAATCATCTTTTATTTCCTGTGAGAAGACCTTGACTCCTAGTCGGAGCAGGGTTAAGGCTCTTCCTATTTTCCCTATCAGATCTGTGCCAAACAGTATTTGAGATTTGCAATCCAAGAAAGAAAGAGCATGGATTTGTAATTTAGAGGTGGATGTATAAAGGACTGAATGCATACATACGCAAGAATGAGCTTGTGCGCACAGGCACGTGCATGCAGTGGGAGGAAAGAGACAGTCTGTCCACCAGACCGATCTTCCATTTCTCATGGAAGAATTATTGAACCAACTCTGGAAGGAAGTGGAGACCAGCACCCCTCATACTAGGCAAAGTCTCTCTTAACCAGACTATGGAGTTGTATTTGCTCCAGTTTAGTCTCTCGGGCCCAGTGGATCTTAAACTTTTCACTGTACAAAAGATCATGAAAAGTGCCTAACCTAAAGCCTTCAGAAGTGTAAGAAAGGATTATGATTATCTTGGCTCTTGTCTTGTGACAGACACACCAACAGTTATGGTTCTCCTTTTCTCAAGTAGCACATGATAGATTTGAGTGGTTTCCTTTGTAAAGTTCAAGCCTGTCAAAATGTTCTACAATATGCTCAGGAATTTATGCTCAGTACAACTATTTTGAGAACTCTGTATAGATCTAGGTGAGAGACAGATACAGCCTACTTAGTACTCAGCCTACATGCCACCCCACCATGAAGTAGCTGAACTCTGGGAACCTTAATGGCAACCCATGGAAAAATATAACTTTCCCTATGGGAAAAACAAACTCCCTGCAGATACACTATCATATGCAGCATGAGTTGTCTGCTTTTATTTAGTTTGGGGTTGGCTTTTTTTTTGTGTGTGTGGAACTGAACTATAACATAGAAGCAACTACATTCCAGCTAAAGTGTATTTTAAACATGCTCACATTGTTTCAGATTTGACTTTCATTCAAGCTCCTTTATTACCTTAAGCAACACACTCCTAAAGAAGAGAAAATTTTACATGCTGAGTTTTTCATTCAATACCTTTCAACATAGATGTTCTTCCCAGTCCCAAGGGAGTAGAGGCTAGAAAGAATTCTGTAACATGAAATTTGTACATCACCAACTAGAGGAAAATAAGAAGTAGATTATCAGTATTTATTCAACTAAAGACTACTTTCCAAATATAAAATAGCTGGTTTTACACAATCTCATAAAGAATGTCTAAATCTTATAGCACATGTATCGCTGAACATTATAGGATGTCAATACTCCACACGTGTTATCTATCTTCAATTATTCTGATACCTGGTCTGACATCCACATTCATTCTAAAAACTAACAGACCATAGGACTTTCTAAGGCTAGCAAATACTTGCTAACAAGACATTGCAGGTTATCACACTTGCAGAGTACATTTTCAAGCTAAAACGGCATCAGTCTGTGTGTCTAACCACTAGGAACATGATCTAAAGGCTTCCCAACTTTTAAAACAAAGTCTTTTCATAGCTATCAATCTTTTAATTATCTTCTGCTTTGGAACTGTGATCACCCAAATATATACCAAAGTTTGGAACAGCATATTGCTGAATCTCAAAGAAGCATCTCAGTAATTTTAAACTAAATGGTGCTAAAAATAAGGAAAATTTAAATTAAGAGAACTAAAGCAGTTTTCAAATATAAGAAAAAAATCACAGGAAATTTACAATAATTTGTCTCCTTTAATCTAGAGAAATAAAAATATGTAATAAAAATAAGCATAGTTTGTATAGGAAACTAGTCTCATCCACTCAGTTGGTTAAAGGAGCACTTCAGGGGAAATTTTAATCTCTCTCCCTGTTTTGATAAATATTGTACAAAATTAACTTGAAACATACTATTATTTTTAGACATACACTAGAAATAAGGCACTGTACAGCTATATTTCAGCTTTAATGCTGGAAGTATATATGTTACTGAAAACAATTTCATCCTTTCAATTCATGCAGTCATTACTAAAAAGCATCTGCACTATGATAACATGGTAAACTTGCAAAATAAAATAAAGACTTACGAAGTAAATCAATTCCAAACTGATATTGTGAGATGTGTTCAAAAATTGATGTCAAGATTGGTAACAGTGCCACTGTAGTGTAATTGATATTCTGTGAAACACCCTTTATTTGTGTTCGTGAATGGGTGAATTTTCCAAGTTTAAGATTTTCTGAAGTTTTTTCCAGGTCTTCAGCTGCATTTTCAAAAAAGGCACGCAATCCAGCTTTAACAAGCTCAGATCCTGATTTCATAACAGTTCTGAAAAATAGTGAGGGGAAAAAATATTAATATTGCATTGATCTTTAGTAGTTGCATAAATATATATGTACGGTAGCTACATTCTATCAGTCTTTGAAGATCATAGAACTGGAGAATGTTAGGGGTTGGAAGGGACCTCTAGAGATCATAGAATCACAGAATGTCTGGGCTGGAAGGGACCTCCAAAGGTCATCTAGTCCAACCCCCCCACCATAAGCAGGGATATCTCCAACTAGATCAACCTACTCAGAGCTTCATCTAGCTTGATCTTGAGTGTCTCCAGGGATGAGGCCTCCACCACCTGTCTGGGTTGAAAACAGGAGATCTTTGATTGTGGGTGTTCTCTGATGCCTGCTCTCATTTCTGTTTTGGGGAGGGCAGACTCTGACACCATAAATCTGCCTCCTGTTCTGTCACCCTAATACTCCTTAACCTCTCAGCTTCCTCACTTAGCTGTGCCACCATGCTGAGGAGATCATCTAGTCCAACCCCTGCCAAAGCAGGATCACCTAGGGCAGGCTGCACAGGAATGCATCCAGGTAGGTTTTGAAAGTCTCCAGAGAAGAAGACTCCACAAGCTCTCCAGGCAGCTTCTTCTGGTGCTCTGTCACACTCTCAGTAAAGAAGTTTCTCTTCATGTTGAGGTGTAACTGCCTATGTTCTAGCTTATACCCATTATTCCTTGTCCTGTTACTAGGCACCACAGAAAGAGCCTGTCCCCCTCCTCTTGACACCCAGTTCTCAGATATTTATAGACATTAATAAGAATCTCTAAACCCTCTCTTCTCAAGGCTAAACAAGTCCAAGTTCTCTCAGTCTTTCTTCATAGGAAAGATGTTCAAGTCCCTTAATCTTCCTCGTAGTTGGACCCACTCCAGTAGATCCCTGTCCTTCTTGAACTGGGGAGCCCAAAACTGGTTACAGTATTCCAGGTGTGATCTCACCGTGGCAGAGTAGAAGGGAAGGAGAATCTCCCTAGATGTTCTGGACACTTTCTTAATGCACCCCAGGATACGATTTGCACTCTTGGCCACAAGGGCACACTGCTGTCCCATGGAGAACTCATTGCCTACTAGGACTCAAGGTCTTTCTCCATGGAGCTGCTTTCCAGCAGGTCAACCCCTAATCTGTACTGGTACCTGGTGATAACCCTCCCCGGATGCAGGACTCTACACTTGTCCTTATAGACCTTCACGAGGTTTACCTTTGCCCAGCTCACTAGCCTGTGTAGATCTCATTGGATAGCAGCATAGCCTTCAGGTGTGTCAGCCACCCCTCCCAGCTTGGTATCATCAGTGCATTTTCTGAGGGTACACTCTATCCCCTCATCCAGGTTGTTGATGAAGTCACCGCACAAAACTGGACTCGGTACTGATCCCTGGGGTACACCACTGGTCACAGGCCTCCAACTTGACTCTGTGCTGCTTATCACAACCCTCTGAACTCTGTTGTTGAGCCAGTTATCAATCCACCTCACAGTCCAATTGCCTATCCCACATTTCTTAAGTTTATTTATGAGGATGTTATGGGAGACAGAGTCAAAAGCCTTACTGAACTTGAGGTATATGACATCCACCGCTCTTTCTTCATCTATCCATCTATCCATTTGGTCGTGTCTTCATAGAAGGACACCAGATTAGTCAAGCAAGATTTCCCCTTAGTAAATTCTTGTTGGCTACTCCTGGTAACCTTCTTTTCTTTCATATGGTTAGAGATGGCCTCCAGAATGAGCTGCTTCATCACCATTCCAGGGATGGAGGTGAGGCTGAATGGTCTGTAGTTGCCTGAATCTTCCTTCTTGCCTCTTCTGAAGACTGGACAGATGTTTGCTTTCTTCCAGTCCGCAGGCACCTCTCCAATTCTCCATGATTTTTCAGAAATGATGGAGAACAGCCCAGCAACATCAGCCAGCTCTCTCAGCACATGCAGATGCATCCCATCGGGGGCCATGGATTTGTGCATTTTCAGTTGATCCAAGCGATCTCTAAGATGATCCTCACAGACCAGTGAGACCCAGCACATGTCAACCACTACCTGTTGGTGTGGCAGAGCCTCTGTTCCCTCACGTGCACTCCCCCCATGCCCTGCTGGCTGTCTTCCAAAGAGAGAAGGCTTCGTGCCAAGATACTCAGGTGTATCAGTGAACTTTACATTATGAACTGAGAAGGATTGTTACATTTACACAGCAGTACAAACAACAGTTAGCTTGGACTATTGCATACAAGAAAATAACAACAAAGAACTTGCTTCTTCAGTATCATCTTTCCAGTTTTTGTGATGTGCTTTCAAATAAAGTGGTGAGAAAGCTTTTCCATACAATATACACAAGAAAAATAACTCTTAATCCCTGAATTTTCAGGGGAGCCACAGTAACTAGATAGGTAAGCAGGCATCCTGACTTGCATATCTTCAAGGTACCCTAAATCTAGACAATGAAACTGCAATACCAGCATCAGCGTCCCATTCCTTAGTTTTTCTGTCATTATTCTCCAGCTCCCTAATGACGCTTTCTAGTGTTGTTATTCACAATGAGTTCATTGTCAGGCTGCCGTATATCTTAACTAGGCTGGAAGAGAGTTCAAATTAGAAAGCTATCCTGGCCTGTGTTTTAATCTGCATAAGGTTTTCAATGGTAAACAGTAAAAGTTAGCAAATGTAACTATGACCATATATTAATACATTTTGCATACGTCTAATACTAAATTTTCCAGTGTGCACTGAACTGTCTCAATATCTATAGGTATGAATATTTGCACTTCCTTGGAAAGGGTGACAAAAGTTTTCGGTGTTTCAATGACGGATATTGAACAGAAAAATGTAGATGAAAACCTTTAGAGGAAATCTGCTAACATGGAGGTCAATATAGGAATTATTAATATTGCTAATATCATTAATCACAAATAAGGTATGTAAAAAAAAAAAACCAAACAATCCAACTGCTCCTGTAAAGCTCTACAACACCTATGTATTTGGTAGTTGGTACAGGTGTTGCAAACTTACCTTGTGTCAAGAGACTGAGCTAAGATGTGCAGGCAGTTCACCATAGTAGCAGAATCACTACCTGGTTAGAAAAAAAGACACAATGAAAGCACAGTAATATAGAAAATGTAGGATCAAAAATGATCAAAAATCTCATTTTGGAGATGCACAGGTTAAACAAGACATAAGTCTCCCAGCTTAGGTCACTGGAGGGAGAGTTATGTCTGGTTCTAGAACTAAGTTTCATTAGTTAGAAGGCTCATTTTCATCACTTCACCCTGCAACATTTTGAACTTTTTATCTTGTAGCACTTATATGTTTTTATAATTTTCTTACCAATATCTGTGAAATAGGTATGTTATTTTTTCCTTACATCCCCCTAGCCGATTGAGAAACTAATCTATTGAATGCAACAGTTGGATGACAGAAATCAAAATAATTACCATGACTTTTGAAAATCTAAAAGTAACTGCAAAGGCATGAGATTTCAGGTAAGATAGAAGGAATAATTATACATTACTTGCATTTTTAACTTTAACAAGTTCTTTCTTAAAAACTTACCAAAAAGTGAAATCCTATGTCTAACAAGAGCTGCTAGTTTGCAGAACAGGCTAAAGTAGAAAAGAACAGAAAGAGCAAAACAAGACAAGACAAGACAAAGATTAAAGATTTATTTAGAATATGAGGTAGAGAGCAGTGGGGATATGAAAGAGAAAACACAACATATTTTCTGGAAAGTGTATTTTGAATCATATGTAATAACATCCAGTCAACTGCATTAAGCAGAGTAACTTGGAAGCTTCTGAATTTGCTCATTTTCTAAGCTTCACTATTTCAGAGATGACTAGAAATGTGACACTCTCTTTTGATTATAGTGGTTTATAACAATTGCATATTATATGGTTGAGTCATTCTTTATGTCTTTTATTTCTAAGAGAATTTTTTTGTAGGAACAAGAAAAACTGAGTAACTTGTAGTGTTTTACTTGGCATTCTGCAGGAGATGCATTACAAATCTTCATACTATTTAAAACAATTTCCAAAGATATCCTTTGTAAATAAATAAATCTGCGTTTAGCCACTGTTGATGATGAGATGAAATACATAAAGACTAGAAGAGCTTCTGGCAAGTATGTCAGAAACTTGTGTATCTAATCTATCTTCCAAAATAATATGATCATAAAGAAAAAAGAAAAATCATCAGTTCTCTAAAGATTAAAAGCACTAGGTCAATTTCTAAAACCAAATACAACTAGGCAGACTTGTTTATCATCTATGCTATACATAACAAATGAAATTAGGATGCAACAAAATTAAGGCAATATACCTAAGGAATTGGTATGCTCTGTTTACCAAGAGCTTGTCATTGTTATCTTCACAGTAGTAAGGAATTATACTATAAGGAATCTTATAATTCCTATAACATGATGGCTGATAGTCACTTTTCTCAATGAAGAATGGACAAAGAATTTCTTAATTTATAATAGTAGATACGCAGGCTAGACAACTAATTTCTTTCATGTACCTTTATAAAGGCTTTTTGTACAACCCTAGCAGACATCTTTCTGGCTTTATTACACCAACCTGACTGACCTTAGGTAAATAATGGGAGCATTCAGGGATAAAGCGTGAACTTGAAATTAATTGAAATTAAATGAATGCCTGATCTTATGTAACAATAAGTAAGTAACCTTTACTTTCAAATTTTATATCTACTCTTCCACTGGAAAAAGTAGTCAACTCTGGTGAAGATGACTTCTAGTGAGGGAAACCAAAAGAAATTTGAGAAACTGGTAGTTAAAATAAGAAAGCGTGAGAACAAAATACAGCCTGAAAGATGATGATAGAAAACAAAGTTGACTGGCAGCACACTTTTAAGGGGGAGAAAATAACTGGTAACAAAAATATTAGATGACAATCACAGTTAAAAACAAATTAGTTAACTTGATTATTAGCTATTAATTTTATTATGCCTTTTATTAAAAGGCAACTGTCTCTTTTTAACTGAGTTTTCTAGAATAATTTTGAGTCAAACGGCTGATTCCAACCACATCTAAAACACTACAGACATCTAAAAATTATTAAATTCCAGCAATTTCTGGGCAGGTGCAGAAGTAATTTTGTAGAGAAGAAAGAATCCACAATTACCCCTAAAAATCTGCATCATGGTATTTTCACATTTTTTTGGTATTTGAAAATTTAAATGTGAGACCATTTAAAGGACCCAACAGTAGGATAAGATTCAGCCAGAAACTGCCATCAACAAGGAAACACAAACCTATCAGAAACTAAGTTTTATTAGCTCCATTGATCACAAAATATGTTATTAATATTCTTGATGTTATCATCCACAACTGTAATATTAAAATATTATAATTAATACATATACTTAATAATTTAATAATAAATTTAAAAATAATTAAATGAGGAATTCTATACACTCATTGTAATTCTGATACAGAATAAATTATTCACTTTCTATCTGAGGAAACTGAACTTTTGAACTTTCTCTTTACTCTAAGAAGAGACCTTTAATTATCTATATAGAACCCTCCTGTGTATATCTTAGTTTTCTACTTACCTTGCTACCATTTCTTTTTCCTTATTTGATGCATACCCACTGCTACTAAGTGCTTTTGTTGGAGAAGACAGGAAGTAGAGGCAGTGATTTGTAAAGTACTGATCAACTAATGGTAAAAGAACCTAAAAAATACAGATACAAAATGCATTTTTCACAGAGCACAATGGTAAATGTAGCAGCAATGCTCTGATTGATCAAAGTTCATTCAAAGATTTTTAGAAGTTCTGTAATAGTTGTATTTTCTCACTTCAGACACAAAGTTATTTAAATTAAAACCTTAAGTTTTACAGTTTTAATAAAAAGTTGTGTAAACAATAAACACACTTATCTGTCTATTTTGGATCTAATATTGCAGGCTTCCTCTTCTCACATTCAACAGTGATAAATATCACTGAACAAGAGGAGCCTTCCTTTCCACTATCTAAATAACCATCCAGTAAAGATACAAAGGGAAAGGTCCTTTTTTTTAAGATCCTAAATTATATCTGAAATGTTCCTTACTTCAAATCTGATTATTGTAAATAATTCCTGTCAATATTGGTTGGTGGATATTATTCTTATTAGGTTTACAAATATGTATGACATTGACATGATAAGAATGCTTCTACCTGTTAATTAAATATACTGTTCACTTCAGTGATATATCAAGGCAAAAAAAATCAGAACTAATTTAAGTATAGTGAGAGTTTTTAATTTCATGAAAGAAATAAGTTGCCTCTTAATTTCTATGTTCCTTCTCATGTAGAAGCAAATATATTGAAATATTTTGAAATATTTGAATCCAGCAAATATATTGAAATATTTTCAAAGGTACTTTGAAATGTTTGTTAACATTATTTAATTGATTACTTACCATGGAAAAAAATGCAAAAGATATATATTTCTATTACTTGAAAAGCAGTCTAACATTACAAATTTCTATGTTCTGTATAATGAAATGTACATGTACATTACTTGAAATACTAAATCACTCACTTTGGCAAAGAATTTTATTTCTTGCTCGTGGGGAGACTTTTCAGTTTTTCCACTGGTTACAATGGCTTCTGCAAGCATACAATCAAGGCAGAAACAAATAAGAAGTTGTCTAAGTAACAACAGTTCTTTGATAAAGCCTTGCAAACTTAGTTTTGTTGAAATAGAAATGAATCGGCAAAAACATTTTAGCTAGTTACAGATGCCAAATAATTTAATCTGCAAATTAAAAGACAGAGTTTAAGTTTCTTAAATGCAATAAAAATAATGGTAACTACAAATTTAAACATATCCAAATATTTACATATCAACAATTTTTTTTTTTCCCCCAAAATAAAACCTCTGGCTTACCTAAATGCGCAATAAACTCTTGAGCTGAATCAACATATTTTAAAATTTTCTTCAGAAACTTAAAGGCAAATCTCTTTTCCATGGATGAAGCGTCCAGCTCCATGTCATTCAGACCCCTGTTTTACAAAATGTGAAGATAAATAGCTTTGATGACTGTAATAGTACGAATGATGACAAGATTAAGAAACATTCCATTCCTTATTAGGTTTTAATTATGGTAAATTCCCATAGGAGGGAGAATATTATCTTCCATAACACCTCTTATTTATCAGCTACATAGCAAAAAGTGTTAAATTTCTTAACTTCAGAGAGCTATCTTACTGCACAAACGAAGGCATGGTATATTTCAATCTAACAACGCAATGCTTTGGTCACTCAGTTTCTACTGCTGGCAGATTAAAGTGTCAAATACTTAGGAAGTCAGCAGTTAGAGATTTAGAAAATCAGTCTAAGTACTACATTTAATTTCATTATTCACTATTAAATTTCATTCTTGTCCTTGAATTCTTTGAAAGACAAGTCAAAATGACAAGCTACTAAATGAAAACATAAATGCAGGTAACAAACTATTACACTATTCAAAGTATTTGGAAAACTTCAACAGTATGTGATACTTTCTAAAGAAGCATGTATTATTTATTCTCTGAGATAAATTCATGACCTAAATTATGACTGATGCATGCAAGAATTTAAAGAGGAATAAAAGCATGTTTGGTTTGCTGTATCTAAATTTAGATTATGTTTGCCTACAAATGAAACCTACCTCACTGAAATTCTAAAATTCTTTAGGATCACAAAAAAAAAATAGGTTGGAAGGAACCTCTGAAAGTCATCTATTCCAAGTCTCATCTAAAGCATAGCCAAATCCAATGTCAGATCAGGTTGCTCAGAACCTTGTCCAAGTACTGAGCATTTTCAAGGACAGATATCTCATAACAACTCTGGATAGCCTACTATAATGGTTGACCACTGTCACAGTAAAATATTTTCACATATCTAACAGGCATTTCCCTTGTAGCAACTTGTTATTTTTGAGAAGATGGTGTTTGACCTCATTGTCTCTATAGCCTTGCGTTAAGCAGTTGAATACAGTGGTAGAATCATGTTGTAGTCTCCTGTTTTAATACTGAAAAAAATCTAGCCTCTCCTGAGGGCCTCTCCTGGCGTGACATGCATGCCAATGCAGCCACATGAAACATCTAAGTGGTCCCCCACTTGATTAACCCTTTTGCCAATGTCTTCCTTAGCACTGGTGAAAGAAAAACTGGACAACGTACTCCTGATACAGTCTCTTGATTGCAAAATGGCAAGGGAAAAAAAAGTCACCTCCATCAGCTTACAGACCACACTCACTGATACAGCCTAATATACAGTCACCCTCCATCATCACAAGGACATAGTCCTGATTCATGTTCCACTGGTAGAATTCAAAGTGATTTTCTGCATAGGTGCTGTCAGGCTCAATTTCCATATTCCTAGGTTATCTTAGGTTATTCCACCCTAGGTAGAGGGCTTTGCATTTACCTTTACTCAGCCTCACAAGAGTTCTGTTAGCTCATTTCTTTACCCCATCAGAGTTCTTCTGAAAGGCAGCCAAACTCTCCAATTTATTGCTAATGGTTCATTCCACAAAATTGTTAAGGATGCATTTGGTGTTTTCATCTAGGACATGAACAGTGATTTTTTTTCCTTTAGGAAGTCCTATAACTCTATCATTTTTAAAGTTATTCTGTGTTCAAATACTTAATGAATTAATGAATTAATGACTTGTAAAAACAAGTATTTCTCCTTTGTTTCCTTGAGTTTTTCTTGTATATTTGTTTAGTTTGCAGCTTCTTCATAGTCTCTTTATTCCAACATTAAGAGGGCTAAGCTGAATTTTATGAGATTTTCACTTGATAGATGGTGGCCTAACCAAACATTAAGGGAAACCTCTGGTCACCCATAATGGGTATTTGATTTGCTTCTATACAGACTCCTCAAATAAGGAGATGCAGAGACTACAGAGGGGCTGAACTGCATGTCAGAAGTAGGCAAGAAGTAAGGAACTCATAGTTGGTGGCACTGAGGCAAAAGCAAGAAAGGAACAAGAAAGCAAGAAAATTGCTGGACTCACTGTTGTGGTATGGAGGAAATGATCATTTGTCCTGAGATTCCTTAGCACTGGCATAGAAGTAAATCAGGGAAAATAAATGGAAGATTAGACTAAGGGTTGAAAAATAGCTATGAGGTGAATCCAAGGAAAAAAGTAATTCTGTGGGAGAAGGCTGATGTAGCAGAAACTTTAACAACAAAAACATGTAATACAGAAGTTTATGTTCTTGATCGTGTCAGAACATGGGTAAGAGGAGAGGAATGGTTATAGTTTGGGTAATAGAATCATGGAATGAAGGAATAAATTCCCATCCCATTTTGCACAAAACCATCAAAGGACTCTAACTTTCCATCTTAGAGTTCTATTGAAAAAAAAAATTTATCTATTTTTAGGACTCTAAAGAGTCCAAGTTTATGTATTTTTCTGATCTCCTATTAATAGATATATCACATGTGTAATCAAATGATTTGGTACATATTAACAGTTAAGTATGGTTTACAGACACCTCCTTCTGCCTCAATTTCACAGAGTATAATGCAAATAGTATATTTATCTATATTTTCAGTGAGATCACTGTAAATATTCTTTTTTTGTGCTTATAATAAGTCATGGTTGCTAAGAGATTCCATATACCTTCCTGAATATTGACAGACATTGGTAGTTCTGTTAAATAACAAAGGCAAAATCAAAAAAAACTTGTAAGTGCTTAAGAAAATACCACGTTGTTTCTAACGTATACTTGAGTAAGGCCTGAGAGATTTGTTTGTGTGTCATATAACACCCAAAAGTGCTTCAAAAGTGTTCTCAACAAAGAAAGAGGAGCAAAACCAAAAACAGAGACAGATGGTATATGTAAAGTAGACACACTGTGCTGCCCATACTTTTCTAATTATAAACAATTTTCATGTTTTAATGATCAGTCCAACATTTTTAAGAATGACATTCTGGAAATGTGATAATTGCAATCAGTACTTCAAGAAATTTTATATATACTTAAAATACGCACATTCATCTGAAGAAAACAGAGATGAGGACAATCTTGTTTTGCTGTGACACAGACAATTATTGCAAGCTCTTTGCCCATAACCCATTAAAAGTTTGAACAGGCTTTTTCAAGCTGACTTGCCCAATTAGTTAATACTGAAAACACTGTCTTCATAACCTGAACAGATGCAGCTGCAAAGAGTTATTAAAAACTATATTTGAGCAATTTCATTGTTTTTTCAGCAGACCATTTATTTGCAAGGATATAAACCTGCTTTCCTTCTTCAGTGGCTCTAAAACAATTATGGAGGATATAAAAATGTTTAGTGGCATACCTCCATTTTGGTTTCAGGCTGAAAGCCTAAATATGTGGCAGGAGGGAATTCTTCTCTGTAGTAACGCAGAAATGAAGATTTATAGCTGTCTTCTATTATCTTAAGAAATGTTATTAATTGTTGAAGCTAAAAAAGCTATCTTTTTCAGATCCTAATAATTTATATCAAATTCTGGGTGTATACTTTCACTAGTGGCAGAGACTTGAAAAGCAGAAAAAGAAAGTTCTGACTCTATGCCTGTCCAGAAAAAAAAATTTGACGAATACAGATTAGTTTAAAAAAATGCTTAATGCCAGCAAAATTGCAGTTTCCAATATGCTCAGGTTAAAAGATAAGAGTTATAGTAGAGGAACTCACAATTCCATCATATGAGGCCAAAAATACAGCATAATAAACTATTTTAATTTCATTGGCAGTGTAAGTCTCCAGAGGGCAGCTTACTTCCAGACACAGCAACTCAGAGTTGCTAATATACAACTAATATAGTCTGCACTTCTGCTGGAACAGAGTTAAGGATGAAATGGCCACAAAATAACCATTTTGTCTTACTGCTTCACAGAACTCAAACCAGCTTTTTTCTTAAAAAAATGGATTAGTAAGTACTCTTCCATAGATGTGTTTCAGTATCAGACCTCAGACTTATTTTCCCATGACCCTTATTGACACTGCTGGGTGCTAATTCAGAAATTTTGAATCATCTGTTTGCTAATTATGCTACTGTTGCATTTTTTATTTACAACGATCACATAGTTATTAAAACTGTTACTTGTCTATTCTGTTTCAGAAGGATCTTTCTGAACATAAAAATAACAAGGACTCGGATTTATAGGTGATATGCCAAATGACAATTATGGTAATAACTAACAGACTGCAGTGGGATAAGGACAATCATCATGGTATGTGCACTGAATGTCAGCAAGCATCTCAAAAAAAGGTGCAGCTTACCGAGATATGATTATACCATTGACTTGAAGGAATTTAAACAGCTCTTGTGCCTTTTCTCGGTCCCGTAATTTCTCCTTGGCTGTCAATGTGTCATAAGGTACCAATAAAGGATGACTACCTCCACCTTTAGAAAGTTGAAAGAACTGTAAGTTTTTCTACTCTAAGATTTACTTTGCTTCAAGTACAAAAAGTAACTGTTCAACTTTTATTGTCTCACATTGTCTTGTCTTGTTTTTGTTTCCTTGTTTCCCCTCCCTTATTTTCCTTGTCTTTTTTGGGTGACTGACAGTATTCTGGCTTACCTTTGCTTTCCAACTCCATTTTCTTCTTTTTGGCCCATATATTATGGTAGTTTTCTGCCATTACCTCAACCATTCCCTACATTACCATTAGAAAAAACAAGATGCGAAATTAGAATGTGACAATTAAAAATTCCATAATTCTGCAAAATTTTACAGTCTTGAGTGAAGTCTACACTCTTGTAAAGAAAGTTAAGTGTAATTTCCACATTCATCTGTTCTCTGAAGTCAGCACAGGCATAGGATGCGCATGTATCACATACTGTTTACAGTCCCTTCCCTAGCTTCATGGTAAATTTGCTAGGAACTCAGGAAGCACCAATGGGATAAACAGTTAAAATGTCTTCCTTAAGCATGTAAATAGTATGGCATGCACCTTTCTACAACAGCATATCGTAACTACAGTCACATACACCCATAAAACCTGACAAAATTTAAGTCATTAATAATAAAACCCACAACTCTATTTCCTTTCAGCACTACATATGTAAACTACAAACACAAACCTGAAGCTCCCTAGAGAGCACCACATTAGAGAGATCAAGTGGCATTGGGCTATATCCATTTCCCTGTGGGGAAAAAAGATCGTTATTTTCAGATAAAAGAATCAAATATTCAGCTACAACATCTCTGTTGTTGATCTAATTAGAGTAACACTATTCACATTTTTAAACTTTCTTGTAGAAACTGCGTCCACCTTTTGTGTGGCAATGTGCTGAAGTCACACAGGATGATTAACAGAATATATCTGCTGATGTGGAAATAAGGAAGTTGCTGCAGATATTTAGATCCCTCTATTTGCAACAGATTGCAAGCTGCTAATACAGCTATACTTTTCAGCCTAAGAGAGGAGACCAGTCATGATGCACACAAGATGTGTCCTCAAAATATGACAGAGCAGTGTGGCAACTGCCTGAATGAACTCCCATCAAGATATCACAACAAAAAGTTAAACTAGGTTATTGTCTCATGGAATTTACAGACTAAGGAAAAGGAGGAGTGTGATATATTTATGCAGCCTTCAAATGTTTCAAGTGTGAAAGCTCCAGTGCAACAAACCTACGTGGCACATGTTAAATGTGAATGGTCACATATGAATCAGTGATTTCAATCATGTACTGAAGTTAAGCATGTGCTAAAATCCTCTACCTGTTAACATCTTTATCATATATCATCTTGGGCAAGAAGGCCCAACTTCAGAACAGGTTCAACTGGCTGGAAGCAGAGATGCCAGAGACAGGAGGTCTCTCTGTAACGGAGTGAAATTTGCTGAAGAGGTAAGAAATGCTCAAATTTTTAACAGAGTCCTCAGGGACTCTTTTTGCATACCAAAAGTGGTACTGGGGAATGAACCCAACACAGACATAAGGTGCCCAAGGCTGATGCTTACAGGATCCATGCTGGTGCAAGCACGTATAAGGAATCAGCTCGTGACATATCTTTGCACACTCCCTGCAGAACCATTTAAGGGAGTAGGACTCTGGCCAATGCATTGCTCATTAGATCTCACTATATTTAAGCACAAATATGTGTTTAATACACCTCAAGGGGTACAATAAAGATTCCACAACAGGTGTCATAGTTTTAAACAGTATTCCCTATCCAACACACAGACATGTTGAGCAGCAGTCTCAACATGCTATTAGAAAAAATAAACTAAAAAAAAGTCTATATCATGGGAAAATGTTAGGTACTACAACATTGTGTGCAGATTTTGCCTGTGGATTTAACAAAAAGTATTAAATGTGCAATCTTATTTGTCAGTCATTGTTATGATCTTGGCAAAAGTCCATTTCAGGCTCTTCTGTTTGACCAAAACCGAAAATTACCAGCTTTATTTTTGTAGAAAATAAAAGGCTTTAAATACTCAGCTATGTACACTTTGAATGACTGTATGAAAATCCTCTTCAGGTCTGAGAAAATTGATATGGTCTCTGACAACCTTGTCATCTTAAAAGCTGTCTTTTTGGAGTCCTCTCCTTAGTGTTACTGCAGAGATGTTATAGTGATACAACTTGCAGCCTCAGAACTCTTAACATTAGAAGTTCCTTTTCATTAAAAAGAATGTGAAATTAACGTAACTTTGCATGATTTCTTTAAGTAAATTAACAAACAAGCCATTTACTTTCTAAATGTAACCATATCCACTTTACCTGGCTAGACTGAGATATGCTGCGGAGCTTTTCATTTTCACGCTGATGTATTGTTGCTTCTCCTCCTTCCTTGTTCCTTTCTAGGCTCCATCCCATGGCCAGCATGGTTTTCAGTGACTCTCTGGCAGGCCAACGATAAATTTCCTTTTCCTTTGAAGAAAATAGTGTAAAATTTCTCTGTGTTTAGCAAGTAGCAATAAGTCAATAAAAATGTTCTGTTCTTCTTTATAAATTGTCACACTATACAGAAGTAAACAAAATTTGTATATTTTTATCTGATGGCATGATATACTTTTTACATGAGAAAGAAGCTTTAAAATACTTACAAATTTTTTATTTTCTTGTTAGTGGCACTTACTGCTGGGTTATGTATTGCAAACTAAGAACACGCAGGTGAGCACTGGAGCAATAATATAGTTTGTATCTGGTAACTTACTGCTTCCTGCAGCCCAATATAATAAAATTTGATGGCACTTGAAATGCTATGAAATTAGATAGGTATGTACATTTGAATGGATCAGCACACAAGACATTTTTTTAGTCTTCCTTTTTTTATACCCTTTCATGGATAAAGAACATTACTGATGTCTACACGTCTTCATATAAATACACCCACTGATAAAAACAGAGGGAACAGCCTGTATGCCAACACTCCTTTGAAAAGGACATGTGTCATCAAAGGTCTGTAAAGCTGTAGCGAAGAAAATACTGGATATGTTGTATTAACACTCTCAAATCAACCTAATAAAACTATTTCAGTTGTTACAACAAATAAGAATTTTTATGACAGTTGCTTAACATGACAGTTTTTATGGAAAGACTTGATTTTTAGGTTCAAAAGTTTTAATCTGAAACAATTAAGAAAATTATCTTAGAACTGCTTCAGTAACAACTCAACCAACAATTCTTCAGCTCCTCTCCAAAGATTTCAAAGCAATTTACAAACTTTGATTTTTGTCATCTTCATGTTCTGAACAGGAAAAACATGGTAAAGATGGACAAATGTAACTGACTTGAGTCACCCAGTGAATCATTGCAAAAATATGTAACAGAATTAAAATTCAGTTCACTGTTCTGACAACTAGAACACATTAATGTCTAGTCAAGAAACTAAAATAAAAAATGCATTCAAAATAGTTTATGTGTTTTCCCTATTTTCAGCTGAGGCATATCCTATACCTTCTTTAAATTTTTCTACCATCTTTTTTTTTTTCCTCGACCATTACCAAGGCAAAATTGTAAGTGAAGTTTAACATATTTGACATCAAAAACCAAGGAGTTGCTGCCAGTCATTTCTTATCCAGGAAGGCCTGAAAACCCTTTTGCTTTTGATACTTTGAATACAAATTGGCCTAGGCCAATGAAGACTGGCTGATGGAAGAAAATTACACAAGAATCTCTGTAAGATTAACTGAACAACCACTTTAGCATATAGATATTGCTGTTCTTAACTGTAAGAACTCATTTGTCTCCCTTTTATAGCTATGTTTGAAATGGATTTTAAGAAGTACACAAATCAATCTAATTTGTATTAAAGCAGCTAAAATTTTCCCTATTACCTTTTCAGTTAAAGTTTTGAAAGGTCTTATTAACGGGTGAGTCTTCATATTTTCATCCAGTGAAACACCATATTTCCATCCACTATTAGTCTGAAAAAAACATAAATATACTGAAATGAGAACAACGTAGACGAGTAACAGCAAATTGGCAAATTTAGTTTGTCGTACTGAACCACTATTCTACTCCAAAAGCTACTCAGTGCCACAGAAACTTCTACTAAAAGGGCATGCACCCATCTGTGGATACAGCAGAACAAAACATAGCCCCAACAGGCTGGATGCTATCTGTAAGTAGTAGGTCTTTGCAACCATTTCTGAGCCTAGTATACATTAGCCCCTTTCAAATCGACTCTTCTGTTAAGATCCTACTGGCTAAGGTAGGATCCTACCAGCTTTTCTCTGGGGCTAAAAATGAGGAAAATGTAACATTAACAGATCAAGCACTAAAGAATGTAACTTTAATAAATCCTTTACAGTCTTAACTGAAATGTATGGTTTGAGGTTAATGTGTTTATTTACACATTCATCCCTATTAATTTGCATAAAGAGTGCCACATAAAAAAAGAATCTTTATTTTTATATAATTGTTCTATAAAATTCCTCTGAATTTATTATGATAATAAATTAATTAACCCCCTCTATTTTTTTCCTTGAATGAAAGAGGTTTAAAATGCATACCTAGGTTGAACAGTTGTCTAAAACTGCAACTCCATCAAACTTCATTTTGCTCAAATTCAACTCTAAAATTTATATTTATTAAAATCTATTTACAAAATTTTAACACTAAAAAGGCATATTAAATGTTTTGTTATAACATTAGAAAGATACAAAAAATGACTCAGTATATATTGTCTTGTTTTACTGCTGTTTTCAAGTCGTGAAACAGAAACAACAGTGACAGAGCAGTTGGAAAAATTATAGAAAATCAATACATAACAGCCTTCTAAAGCTAAAAATAAAGAAAAGCTGTAACTACATTTTCTGAAATAAAAAAAAAAAGGACATTAGACTTCTCAGGTACTCTTATATCACAGAACTGCTGCAGTAAAATTGAATCTCTGACTCCCAGATACAAAACGTCATTACCAGGCAAAACAAAGACCAAAATTTACATGTTCTCACTTAGGGAGAAAAAAAATATAATTCCATACCAAGTGCCCCCTTTTCATTCCACTCAAATTTTGTCCTTCCCCTCAAATTTTGTCCTAATAAATTCTGGTCACTTTGTATAACTGACAAATTTTAATGCATTTTCAGCAAAAGGTGTCTTCCATATATCCCTAAAGAAATATGCAGACATTAATGCATTCCAAACAAGGGCCTATCAGTTAAACTGTTCAGTTTTTCCTCCAATATTCACCCCAAGTATTATTTACTAGTCTTTTTCTGACAGTTGCCAATCTTAAAATAATTCCTACCTTATCAAAGGACCACTTATCATGGGAATGTTCAGCATACTTGCTGACAATATATTCCAACTTTTCAGGAAGTATAAAGCTGTGAACAAAGGGGAGTACGGTCACTCAATCATAAGTCACTGCAGTCTGATTTATTAAAAAAATATCAGGATAAAATAACACTGATCAAAATGCTTCACCTCCAGATGAAGGCAAGACATTTGGCTTTACAATTCCATTTTCTTTAGAAGAAATGTCACAAAACAAAGCAGAGCTACAATGGCATTTACAAGAAGTCTTGCAATACATTAACAACAGTTACATTTGTTAGCAACTGAAATCACAAGGAAAACCTGCTTCGCCATAACCTACAGATTTTTATTGGTAATGCTTAATACTGGACAGTATTAATATGGATGTTTCACAGTGCATAATGGTAGCACAAATTAAATCATCATACATAATCTGCTTATTTTGCTCTATCAGGTTTCTACAGATCAATTCTCAAAATAGTGAAGATTTTCTGAAAATCAGGCGGTAGGTCAATTGAATCAATTACCAGATTTTGATGATCTCGTACCATTTGTCCTAAGTACACTCTAAGTAATGACAGTATAAAGTGTATTACAGGTGTATAAATTCCAAACCTTTAAACTATTAAGTAACAGGGTATACAATGAGTATACAATTTACTATGCATTCTGCAGATATCATGTGGAAATATTTAACATCTGTACAGTGCTGAGAAGAGCATGTTTTATATCTCGTAAACGGGGTATGTTGAAATCAATTATTTGGCTGGAAGAAGCAAAAATCCCTACACTGCTTCTGAAACATACTAGTATCACTAAAAAGTCATTCACCAGTCAGCTCTCCCTACAGAGGAAAAAAATGTTAATACGGAATAGCATAGAAATATTTATGGAAAGGAAATTACTGTAATTTATAGGACTTACTTTGCAGTGTTAACAGGTTTGGGGTCAAAATTTCCTTCTGGATCCACTGAAGTCTGCTTTTCCAAAGTTGACCTGATACGTGTATCTAAATAATCAGGAGGCAAGGCACCGGCTATAGCACTTAGGCAAGGCAAAGCCATTCGAAAGAGCTCTGGATCATACTTCTGCAGGAGAGATAGGAACTGGTTGGAAAATGCAATAGAAAAACATGCAGAATGTTAGTGAAAACCAAGCAGCCACATCCACAGATATTAGAAAATGCAAACAAAGAGTAAAGCACATTTGAGAAATTAGACATAGAGCAAAATTATTCTCACATTTATATTTCTTGATATCAGCCTGATATATTTATAAGACTACTCAAATTAACCTGAGTATGGTGACACTTCCATCAGTATATATGATGCAAGTATGACTCTTAAGCTTTCTTTGGGCTGTTACTACCTAACACAGGAAGGGTCAAGGGCTGCTTGACTAGTTCTAGAAGTACGATCCTCTTCCTTTCCCTAACTGACTTCAGTCTAAATCATGCTGGTTAAAGGAAATTGCTTTCCTGTAGCAAAGTCAATTCATTATTTTTCAAAATTATCCTGCTGAGAGGTAAACTAGCACATTTACTCTTCTAAATAGTCATTTTAACTCTGGAGAGAACATAGAAATAGATGATATGTAAAAAATATAAGGTGTAATTACATTCAAAGAACCTATCCTTAGTAACTTGCTATGAAACACATTCAAGGTCAATGTTACACACGACTATAAAAAAACATGCTAGAGGAAGTAGCAGGAGACCACTGTAGGCAAAAGTTCTCCCTCCAACACTTAAACAACATTCTTAATATGCTTAGTAAAAAAATAAGAAAAAATTACTTCTTTATGAGTCCCCACTTTTAAAACAGGCACAATGATGAACACTACAGTGCAAGTGTTTGATGCTATTATAATGAATTAATTTTTTTTTTTTTTAATTCAGATAGCACTGGCATCTTTTTCATGTTATGATACAGGCCCCAATCAAGCATTTTCAAGAAAAAAATTTCATACTGTAAAAATATTTCTCTTACTACATTATTGGAAAGGGAGAGACTATATGCTGCTATAAATCTGAATGACAACTTAGTGCCAATAAAATGCTGAAGAACAATGTTAAGGTGCATTGAAAATACTTGCTGATAAAACTATATCCTTATATCACAGCAAGCAAGTGTCTACATTTTGAGGCTTTAACTTCCTCTAGTTTTGTTGTATGTTTTAGAATGTTGTAGTTTTGTTACAACACTCTTCAGTGTGTGAGACAAACATAAGAATTGAGATCACAGGGCAAATTACGTCCATTAAACAGCCAGAAGCCATGAAAATACCCAAGCTGTAAATATCTCAGTACAAAAGAGAGCAATAGAGAATACTGTAGCTCAGCAGATTTACACAGTTCTCCTTTCACTGGACTAACAAGCATTTCTAGGAAAATGAAAGGATAATTAGAGAGGGGCATGAATATTTTCAGAAATGTATCATCTTCACTCATCTGCAAAAAGCTAAGATGCACTAATTAGAAACATTCAGTCGTGTCAGGCCCTCCTGACACTCTTTGTACTTGTGGCATGAGTCAGGGAGATGTAAATGTCACTAAAATCAAATACAAATAAGGCTTAAAGAACAATTTTAGAATAATCCAAAGATCATGTTCATTTCCATATTATAAATCAGAATGCCTAGAGAATCAGTCATCTAAATCTGTTGATTAGAACTGGAACATAATTTCAGTGAGATTCAGTGAAAAACTTGTTACCGTCCCATAGCGAAAATTTTATTTTTGAGACCAATCATGTACAAAAAAAGGATTTACTGAGTAAGACATTCCTCCTATCAGAAGTGTAACTTTTTCTTAGAGAAAAAGTGAAAAAATCCCAAGATCATGCTATGGAACAGAAAAATGGAAAAACGTTTCTAAGAATGTTGCATTGTATTTCTTAAGCTGGACAATAACTAGAATATTAACAAAATACAAGTGTATGTTTGAAAACAGACAATGTAAATTTACTATGCATACCTCAAAAATTTGACAAGCATATGCATACATTTCTTTAAATTAGTTTTATGTCAGTAAGAAGTATTTTTAAAATTTTAGTAGAGCTAAGACAGGAGAGGAGACAATATTGACTTGTTAGTGTAGCAAGCTATCTGCCTCATTATTAGTGTAAGGCTATTTGGGTATATCAAGACAAAGTTTTGACATTTCATTAGTTTGGAGAGAATATTTCAAGATTCAGTATTCAATTTTTCACTAGAAAGTTACTAAATCAAAAACATTAATTGCAGTATCTCCCATATTAAGTAAAATAATTGTTAAAATAGGAACTTCCTGCACTCAGCACAGCAAATTATCATTGTACTGCATTTATAGACATTCCTTACTGTAATGTGAATTACAGTCATTACCTTATGAGACAGGGAATCAAATATTCCCCAGAAAAGTTTTTCAGTTAAATGTAATTCTTCTTCTGCTGCAATTCCATAGCTTCCCATTCCTGAAGGCAGACAATAATATTTCCAGCACTGCTCGTAGTGGTTTGTCAGAAGCTAGATTTTCAAGAAAATAAAAATGTATGTAAAACATTGGTATTTAACAAAATTACACACTGCTTAGTGAAGTCTGAAGTGCCGGTATCTGTTTAAGCAGTTACATGAGTTTTATTATTTATTTCTGTCCCTTCATTTCTAATGACTCATAAATATGGTCTTTTTTTTTGGGGGGGGTGGGAGGGGAGGGGGAACAGTAAAGCCCATGCTGTGGAAGTATGAAGCCTGTATTATACCCAACTGCTGCTATGGGATGTGAAGTGATGACAGAGAGTAGCAAAATTACAAGATTTCAGGATTGTCACTGTCTGAGTACAGATTAGTACTGAGTACATTACAAAATGGGTATAAAACAAGACATGATAGGTTGTGGTAAGAAGTTTTACAAATTCAAATTTATCTTATTTCTGTCATTTGTTGATGGCCTCAGTAGTATTCAAAACATTGCAAAAGGCACCTGACAGTACATTGTTTTAGCTGTGCTTGCTCATCTCTGGAAAAAAACTTTGGAAATAATTCTTGGACATAAGGCTGCAACACAGCAGTTAAAGAGTCAACGTATACGACTACTGGTGCACTTTCCATATAATTTCAAATTTGATTTCTTCTTTAGAACTAAAAATTCTAATCCTGTGGGAAATTCTAAACTTTCTTCTGGCATTAGAGTAGAATTTTGACATTTCAATTTTTCTGGCAATTTTGTTTAGGAAGGGAAAATAAAAATAATAAACAAATAAAAACCTTCCTCTTCATCACGATTTTCCTCAAAAATTATTGATGCTCCAGAACATATCTGTGAATCTGGTAGCTCTGCTTTACAGCCTCACAGAATTTCAATTCTACCATAAAAAGACCTGCAGACCTAAGATCAGACCCTTTTATACCAGTAGGAACAGCAGGCAAATCTGACAGAAAAAATATAAATAAAAGTTATCTGTCATCTCACAACTGTAATACTCTACTTATATAACAAGATGATGGATAAGACTTCAGCCAAAAGATTGCTCAAAAAAAAAAAAAAAGTGAATTCTGTCCCTTGAATCCTATTCTCTGTAGACATCATTAAAAATTTATTCCTGGACTATGCATCCTACCAAGAGTTATGGTTCATATAGCAGAAGAAGAAATATCAAGACAATGTTAACATTTCATTTGATACTTTCAAATACTCTTTTGCTGAAGCTGCGAAAAAGTCAACAGTTCATTGAACAAAATCACTTAATCAACTTACTATATACTTTTTGCATTAGGCAAGATTTCACCAAACCTTTGATCATTATACTCAGTTCAAAAGACTTTATAAAACAAAAACATTATTTTCAATTCAGAAATAATTTCACATTGCTTCCCACTGCTCCATTCTGGTTTTAAAAACATGACAATGACAGATTATTGTGAAGTAAGTTTTGCAGTGAATGCTTGTCAGAAAGTAAAACATTTACCTTGAGAGGCATTTTACAGTATTCATTGAGTAGAGGCACATCGAAAACGAGCCTTCTCAGCAGCTGTTGTAGCATAGAGGGACGTAAGTGGCTGTAATTGAAAAAATAGAAATTCTTAGTAAAATTCATATAGTCCAGTGCATATGAAATAAAAATTGAAAACAATTTGTATATTGAATTTCAAATCTCTAATTAAAATTATTTTGAAAACACAATGGTAGGTGCTTAAGGAATTTCAGTATGCTTCGTCTACAAATAGAAGGGTGTCGCACTGGACGATGTGTTACTTCTAGACTTTCTTAAGTGAACAGATAACATGTGTGGTTGTGCTATGTGACAGCAGAGGGAAAAGTGCTGAACTTTTTTCAGAATACACAGAGGGGACAATCTGAGTGAAAGAAACAGAATATTATCCCAACAGAATGGTTACACGGGATGGTGACACTAAAAAACAAAACACTCCTAACTGAAATTAGTTTATTATGATTATCCTTATAAGAAATAAATCTCAACTGGAAGACTGAATTCATTACCCAGCGTTTCTTTTCTAGCTGTTTAATTTCAGTGACCTGTAGACACAAAATCAATGTAAAAATGCTCCTTTCATATCTCTCTCTTAGTCATCACTTTTTCAGGATGAAGATTCCTGGTCTACTAAACCGTTCCAAAGGAGCAAATTTGTTTTATGTTTGTCCCTCTTGTTAGGCTTTTCTGAATCTTTTCCATTTCTCCTACAGCCTCCTTTTGGCAAGGGTCCAGTGCCATGCACAAACTGAAAAATGCACATTGCATTACTAATTTCACAGTCCACTGCACGGACAAGTAACACAACAGTTTATGACAAATAAAAGAATTATGATTCAGTTGGCAGATCTAGGTTTTCAATTCCTGATATAACTTCAGTGCTTAATTCGGTTTTAGGATATGGAAACTAATACAAACATGTTGATCCCTTAAATCCCCAACACAAATTCACTGTTAGGCTTGCCAGAATATTTTTTTGTAATTATTAGGTTATTTTGGTGTTTTGGTTTTTTTTGTTTGTTTTGGTTTTGGTTTTGTTTACAAAGAATCGGAATTTATCCTGTACAACATAAAGCTTGTACCAACATGATAGCTTGTATAATGCAGGACCCATAACAGAAAAATCAAGTCTGTTTTCTCTTAGGAAAAAAAGTAAATCCTGTAATACAGTCTGATCATTTACTTCATGCAAGAATACAATAATCTTGGTTCTTTATTATACACAAAGAAAGAGATTACTAAAACACATACACTGCACAAAAGAAATCAGTTTGTACATAGGTGTCATACATACTGGCAGATAGCAAGCAGGCATTCTTCAATCGTGTCTCTCTGTGCTTTTGTAAGGGAACGTCCCTTGGATAACCTGTATATTGTGTGAAGCATGGAGTCAACTAGGGAGGCATGATGCTCTGTTCCAGAAAAGAGGGGAGCACATCTTTTGAGCAATGGAAATACAGCTGAGCAAATATATCTATTTAGTGCGAGAGCTGCCTCTGTGGTACTCAGAGAAACCTGTATGAAGTAGTAAATAATTGTTAGTGTAATATGGGATAAGGATTACTAAGTATTAAGTCCATAAAACATAATAATCAAATACTCCTTAAGTCCCCTTAGCAGCTGGGTGCTAACATGACATTCCTAGTACACATGAAGACAAAATTGTTTTGTTTTTTCTTCAACTTGAGAAAATCCAAGTCATCCACTTATGTCCCATCTCCTGCCCCACTGCACTCTGAAGCAAGAGAAGCAAAAAAGAATATGCAGATTCTTTCTTTAAACAGGTTAGCAAAAGCCACAAAATATTAAGTAGCACTTTTAACCTCCATTTTTTCATACCTACACATATATGAATTTTCAGTGTAATTCTTGGAAGCACATATGAAATGAAAGTAATCATTGGGCTTATTACAGCATATCCAATGTACTTGCTAACTAATGTATGCCTGTATTAAAAGATTTTAAATTACATTTTTACTTCATAGGTTGTTACTGAATGCTTACAGATATAAATGCTATAAATTAATAGTAAATGAGTTATCACTATTTGTGTTTATAGTAAGCCTATACTACCTTTGCTATCTTTATAATTTTTGAAAAGGTTTTAACTTGAAATGCCCTTTCTTACACTTGCAGAGCCACTATATCCAACCACAGCACCTAAATCCCATAGCAAAATACTTACTGTATCCAAAGAGGCACAGGCTCTTAAATCTGGTAAAAATCCAACTTCCAGTAGGTGAAGGAGGAAGCTTTGGTCATTAATACCATAGACACGGTCCAAAAAAAGTACCATGGGTGCTTTATGATCAGGACAGAAATTTGCAGACATGTCTGGCTCATTTACTGTGCCATCTATACAAAAATATAATCCAATTTTTAGTAGTAGATAACTGATAAAACAAGAAAAACCAAAATAATGAAAGAGACTATAATTACATTTAATGTGCAAAATCACATATTCAATGAAAACTATATTCTTGTTCAGTTTTCTTCTTTTTCAGTGGAAAAGTACACTACATTTTCATTATTTCAAAAACCATACTATTTTGTAATTGATTAATCTTTCACTCTTAAGTGAAAGCTTAAGTATGAATGGTATTCTATTTATTTCATTACAGAGAATGTTTATATGTTAAAATGAAAAATAAATATTACTGCAGATTATTATTAATATACAGTGAACTGTGAAGTCAATGAAAGTTAAGAATTTTCTTTTTTTCTCGCATGTAAAACTAGAAAGAACATGGAATCCAAGGGGGAGACAAGAGTAAGACAGAGGTTAAATGTGTATCAGATAAAACATTTCTGACTGTAAAGAGGAATAGAAAATTCTTCTGAAACAAAGGACAACAGAAGTAGTAGAAAGAGGAAAAAGTTATTTTGCCCTATAAGAAAATTACAGGCTGGTAGTTTATAGTCCATGGAAATTGAAGAAGTTATTAGGAAACATGAAGATATGCTGTAAAAACCTCATCCTATGTTGAGTTTATGTGTTATAGAAAATTTCAGTTTCTATTATTACCTTGGAAGTTATTTTGTGGAAATAAATCCACCCTGGATAACCACACTTACTGCTTCTAGGAAAGAATCAACAGTTGTGTAACAAGCAAGGACACCATCATCAATACACCTCTAACTCTGATTCTGAATGATTTTTGAGTTGCGGAGTGAAGAGTGTGAAAACTCGAGTCTTCACTGACCTCCCTTTAACAAGTAGTGTTAAGAAGGTTGCTAATTCCACTGACAAAAACTCAATTTCAAACTCAATGATAGGTAAAGATACAGATACAGATAGGGAGCTTCACAGTTTGATGCAGAGGGAGCAGCAGGTCAATGCCACCCCCTGGGTTCATTTTTTCTATGTGTACACACAGTACACAATGTCTTGGTCTTTAGAGAGTAGTTTCATTCCCCAGAGGTGAGAATGGATGAATCAGAGTAGTAAGAGGAATGAGTCCTACAGCAGCACTGCAGCATAGCCTGAACTCCACAGTGGCCATCCTTGAGGTACTAAGCAAATGTTGGGGACAGAATGTATCTACCTGGAGAGAGAAGAGCCACTCCTTCACCCTATGTCTGTATATCCTATTGCACATAGGATTCTCCTGTGACAGACAGAGCCTCCAAGGATATGAAGCAGCAGGAAGTGGAAGTGGGAGGCTGCTGTACTAAGTACTAAGCTGGGTGGCTTCATGATGTGTAAGAGGATTCCATGATAACTTATCTATACCTTATGGGAGGACCTTGTGGGAGGCAGGCAGGGATCTCGAGTCTGTAAGGACAGGTGAGAGAGTGGTGCAGAGAACAGGGATTTAGATTGATTATAAAAGGGGGAATTATTTTGTGACAAGATGAACAAGTACAGAAATAGCTTGCACCTTAATAAAAAAGAAGTCAGGCTTCTAGGATTGAATGTTAGAGGTCAGAGTGGAACAATATACCTAGAAATTCGGGAAAACACAACAGGTGTGGAGGAGCACCTTCTTCAGATCAGGACAATCCCAAAGCAAATGTGTCTGGCTTTTACTTCCTCTGAAAAGGCCAGGAAAGAAATTATGGAGTTCCAAGAAACAAGAAAGGCAATTAAAATGCAACATGTATATGCAGCATTTTAATCAAACAGGGACAAACAGGATTCTATAGAGTCATCATTGACCTGGAGAAGGAAGCAAACAAAGGAACCCAGAAGTCTGTATACAGCACTAAATTCTTTTGTGTGGTTAAATTATTAACAAAACTGAGTGGGCAAAGTAGAGACAGATGCACTTCAGTGCAGACAACTCTAGGCTAATGCACCTGCATAAAAATAAGACATGCCTTCATGATGTGAAATGCTGGGGTTTGAACCCTGAGCCCCTGAATTAAGGTTGACATATGGATGATTCCCACAGCCCTTCATACAGAGGTGGTGAGTTTGCCTTATAGCTTCCCCTCAGGGTGCGGCCGGCCCTGCAGGGAGAGCCATAAGGGAAATGAGCCCCAGGGGTCCCGCATTGAGTTGACAAAGGTCAGGTGTCTGCTTGGGGATAAAAGCTGGGACCACTTGCAGGGAGTCAGGAGTGTCTGTCTGTGGAGTGCACTCCACAGAGCTTCCTGGTTCAGGGCAGACCTCCTGACTCTCCTGGAGCTGGGCCCTGGTCTGTTTAGGCCTTTGCAAACGCGGGCCGATTGGGTGAGAGTCGCCATGTGGACACCTTTTTCTTATGTGTTTGGCTTGGCTGTTTCCTGTGCCAACTGTGGGCAACCTCAGGTCTCTGTTTGTGCCACCTGTTGTGAGCCGAGTTGTGTCTTTTGTGGGATCGTTGGAGGTGGCGTCAATTGTATATCAGCTGGTTGACTTGTTTGTACCCCCAGAGGTCATAATGTTTTTGTTTGCAATATAGTCTGTGTATTGGATTCTCTTTCTGCTGGTACTATCATTTTTGTTGGGCCTGGTCATTGGCAAAACAAGATGCTAAGTTTGGAAGTGACATTCCAAAGAGATCCTGCGGTCATTACTGAAAATCTGTGAAACCATCAGCTCAATGTTTATCAGTGACCAAGCAAGTCAACAAGATACTGAAAACCATCAGAAAGGGGTATTTAGAATATGAAAGAGGGCATAATCTTGCTGCTATGCAGAACAGAAAATTAATGCATAAACCAAACTATTGTGTTCCCACATTGTCAGTAGAACCTGCTCATGTCTTGTGTACATCCCACAGCTGTTTTCTGTATCTCAGGACTGCAGAATAAAGATAGTGAAGGAACACAAAAAGGCAACTAAAATGACTCAGACAATGAAGCAGTTACGTTACGATGAGAGACTAAGAAGAGTTGAATTTCTTCAATCTGGAAAAATGAGGACTGAGATTTAGGAAATTATTAATGTAGATGACAAGGTGAACAAAGAACTGCAATACACCAAATGCCAAAATACTACAATTCATGGGTATTAATTAAAGATTAATTAATTTAAAAGTTTAAAAAGAATTGCCTCAAAATGATTCTTTATGTAGCAAATAGTGAAGTTCTGGAACTTATTCCAACAGGAGTTTTTGGGTACTGACTTTATTCCAAAGGGTTTTGTTACATTCTCAGACACCAGGTCCATATACAGATAATAACAGGCAGGGAGGCACACTCTCATCTTTCTGAACAAATGATTGAATGTTATGGAAGCACAAAGGGACTAAGTCCAAGCTTACACACTATACCTAAAGAAACAGAAACTCTTCAGACACTGCTGGAGGTGAAGTACTGGGATGCACAGCCCATTAGTGTGATCCTGTAAAGTATTTATGTTCTTGCACTCTCTGCTCCACAGGAGTAAGTATCTGTTCCACTGGAGCAGCTCTAATTGATACATATTTAATTAAAATCTGAAGAACAGGTCTCTGCTTGTACTCAGCTAAAAAAACTGCTCTATTTTACACCTGAATGCTTATGTGCCAAAAGATTTTTATAAAATGATGAGCTTGTCTAATAAAAGTATTAAAATTACCTTTGTTAACTGTTGACAGCTTTAGTGGTATACTTATAATCCCAACCAAATCTTCTGTTGGCACTAGAGATCGAAGGATTGACCTGATTCGAATAGCTTCTCCTTTTCCACTTTGAATAAGCTGTTAGAAAAAGTTTATCAATCAAGAAATTTAGTACTAAAGAATATAAGAAAAATTTCCTCAAAATACTGATTTTAATATGATTTTTTTTTCCAAACACTGGAAAGAAAAAAAAAAAGAACAGAAATGCAATTTATCCCAGCATTTCGAGTTGCTTATTTCAGTTGATCCCATTTCTGAATCTGTCCTAATTTTGATATATCAATAATTGCACAACTTTATAAATTCCCAATAACAAAATAACCCCAAATGAGTAAGATTATGAAAGATGTAATGAAACTGAAAATTTCCAAAAAAGTCATACTAATTACAGAACACAGTGCTTGGTTTTGAGCTTGCCTCTTTATACTATGAACAGATGCAAACCTGTCTGATTTATCTACAAATTCTTCTACTGTTTCTATGCAGTAAAAATTTCAAAGGGTATTAACAATGAGGTGGCCAATTTTTTTCAACTTCTAGCAGAAATTAGGTATTCATAACCTGTGTCTCTGAAAACATCTCGCTGTAACTTTCTTAACATGCAAATACTATCTCTGGAAACAGAGAGCTATGTACAGCTTTAAATCTAATAAGGTTAATAGCTTTGGTAACAGTAAATAGAGAGGCTCCAAGGCAAATATCTTGCTTCTTGTGTACTGAGATACATATTGCATTTTCAGTTGGATTTATAATACTAAAGAATTTTAAATACTGACAAGCGAGTGTCAGTCTAACAAACCCAAGCATGTGGCTTTACAGGCTTTAGAGACAAAACAGTTATGTTACATATTTTTCCGTGTATTGATTTGGTGTACATACTATATTTCACTAGTGCACAAAGTAGCCCTTCTTATAAAAATTATTTTTCTGGCTTTCTAGAGAAGAGTGAAGGGCCAGTTTCAGTAATTTGATTGGTAGCATAAATGTGCTAAACTAGTAATTCATCTTTGTTTTGATTCCACAGTCATATAAATATTATCAAAATTTTAGATAAATAAAAAAGGATAAGGAATCCAAAGACCATGATTCTTTATGAACAGCTTGCAGGGAACACATCTGCCTATACACTGAGAAATGCAATAAAGTCCACCTTCTGAAGGGAAGAACCCTTTGAATAGAGAACAGTTTAGTTAGACATGTATAGTTCTGTTTAAAAAAATCTACATTTTCTGAGGAAGTGACAAAATGAACTTACATGCATTTCCGGTGCACAGCGTCCAAGTAAATCTATAAGAGCTGAGTAAAATGACATGATTGCATTGCCCATGTGCACAATCTCCTCCTCCTCCTCCTCATCATCATCACTAAAAGGTAAACAATACCAATGAACATTTTTGCTAATGTAAGTTTATAGATCCTCTCTGGAGCTAGATCCATGATCTGTAGACTATTAATCAGCTATCCTAATTTCCTCTGGTCTGGATTACAGGAGTTTTATCCCTAGAATAAGCATGCAATTGAACAGCAATAACTGACTTCACATGAGCCTTCTGTCTTCCTCCTTCACTTTACCTTAGCTTCATTTCACCAGAGCTGCCTTCTTTGCATTGACCTTGAAGCTGTTTCTCTTCTGTAACTCTTATTCCACTTTTATCTAGCTTCTGCTTTATGAGTTCCATATGACAACTGCTTGTGGGTGTGAATCTTTACTGCTCTGTTTGTATAATGTCTTACACAACAGGACCTATTATCCACATACTGCAAGCATGATTAAACCAGCTATTAAATCGCCATTTGCCAAACAACCGTTCACATTTACTTACCCTTCTCTTTTATATGCCTGGGAGGGAAGGTCACGACTGGGATTCTCTGAGATCCTGATAGCTTCCTGCATAGCTGCCAGCAAACCATTTCCTCCTTCTCCTCTAAGGTCTGGTCCAAAGCACTCTGGCCGCCGAATAAGGAGCTTGACAACAACACTTGCATTCTCCTCAACACTTTCACCTGGAACCAAAAGGCACTATGCATACTTTCTCCCAGAAAGTGTCCTTAAGTCAGAAGACAACTGCATTTTCCTCTAAAGTTCACGAAACATAAAATAAATCCTCATCCTTATTTTTGAAAACAAAAATGGAACAAATTGACAGCATCAGCTTTATCAAAAATATATTGAGGTTTAAAAGTGACAGTGTTGATTTCTCTTGCAGAATTCTTACTTTAGAAGGTTCACTTCAGAAGGTTAATTTACTTTTTATGGCAAAGACTGCTCTCTCTGCTATAAAGGCTAATAGTCCCATGAAGCAAGAAGTGTGCCACTGGGGAGGGTGGGAAGGAAGTTTTGACACCAGCCAACCCCACCACTACCCTCTCACTCTCTTCCCTCTCCTGTGGGAGAGGGAAAAAATAGAATGATAGTATGACAACTCATGGATTGAGATAACAACTGTCTAGTAAAGAAAGCAAAGCAAAAAGCAATGCAAGCAAAGCAAAAAGACAAATTCATTCTGTGTGCTTCCCAGGCAGAAATTTAGCCAGTTCCTAGAAAGTAGGGCCTCAGCAAGCATAACGGTTGCCTGGGAAGATAAACACCATAACCACAAATGTCCCCCACCTTTTTCCCTGAGCTTTTGTTGCTGAATGCAATATCATGGTATGGAATGGCTCTTTGGTTGATCTGGGTCAGCTGTCCCAGCTGTGTCCCCTCCCAGCTGAACCTACTCAGTGGGGCCAGGGAAGGAAGGGAAGAGGCAGAATGGGAAAAAAAAGAGAAATCCTTCACACTGCACAAGAACTGCTCAGCAACAGTCAGAATATTGGTATGTTAACAACACTGTTTTAGCCATAAATGAAAAGCAAGAACTACATGGGTTCCTGTGAAGAAAGGCAACTCCATCCAAACCAGATCTAGAACAGGGCATGAAAGTAATTTGATATTTAATGGGCCAACTGAACCAAGGACTGTTGCTTAACATTATGTCCTTAGTATTTCATCAGTGGAAAATTAATCTCAGGGTTTAATCATCTCAACATGACTAAAGAATAACAAAGTGTGTTTAGGTTAAACATACCTAAAGTAAAACCTTCTGATTCCTTCTCCTGCATGTTTAAATATTCATCAAATCATCTGCTTGCTATTTAAAGCCTGAAATCGAATGCTTGATCTTTTCCATATAAAAAAATCACATTAAAATCAGTTTTGAAGATTGTGACTTGCCTGAAACAATCCCATTTATAACCAATTCATGAGGAAAAATGTATGTATGTGTATTTAAAGAGTGGGTTTAACTATTGCATAAATTCAGTACAGACAGATTGTGATCTAGATGCTTGCTGAATCAAAGTCATTAGGAAAAGGAACCTTCATATGCATGAACTCTTCATATGTAACTCACTGCTTCATGGACTGCAGTTAGTGGCATGTGGAAGCATGACAGGAATAATAATAAAGTCAAAAGGAATAACAATTAGGTCATTTATGATTAAATGCAACTTCAGAAATTCACAGTGGCTACCTTATAAGAGTACTGATAATCTGTAGGAAAATATAAAATTAATGGGACATGTAGGAAGAAAACCAATTACAGGAAAAGAAACAGTTCACAGTCACTGAATTTGTGACGTCAGTACCTCTGGTCACCACTATCTATATTTTTACATGCAAGCTGCATTACTAAACAAGTACAGAAACACAAATAACAAGTTTATAGTAAACTGAATGTTGCAGCCACCAAAACTGTAGGATTAGAAACTGGGCTTTAGCTAAGAGCAGCAGTAGTGCTACCAGGAAGTCAGTCAGCAGAAGGCAGTGGTAGGTGAGATAACTGGGACTGACTGGCTCTAGAAGGAGCAGTCAAACATTTAAAATATGTCCATCTTGTATTTTTCCCACTTAAGACACCAGTATGATCTTGATATGGAACATAGGATGAGAGCATATCGCCTCAAGTTGTGCCAGGAGAGGTTTAGAATGGAATTGGAGTCCTCATCCCTAAAAGATGTGTAGGTGAGGTGCTTAGGGATGTGGTTTAGTAGCAGAATGGCAGTGCAGTGTTAGTGGTTGGACTTAATGGTCTTAAAGATCTCTGCCAACCAAAATGGTTCTATACCCTAACTACTGACTTTGCACAGATTTTTCCTTTCCCTTCCCCTTTTCCTCTTCTCTCTATTCCTCCTTCCTTCCTTTCTTTCTTCCTTCCTTTCTCTCTTTCCCCATTTCTTTCTTTCTCTCTCTTTCCTTCCTTCTCTCTCTCTCTCTCTCACACTTTTTCTTTCTTTCTCCATTTCATTCCCCTTATTTTAACAGTGCAAGAGAAAAACAGGATTTTAAATCTTAAACTCAGTAATTTTGGTTTCATTACGTTAAAGCCTTCTAAGTGAAGACATAAAATATAGAGTTGGGTAAAATATAATCTCAACATATGTCTCTATAGATACAGAAATGATCATCAAAATGTGCACAACATTCAGCTACAGAGAGCAGATGCTCCTAAATATTTGCATGTTTCATGCATCTTTTCAGGAGGCAAATACAAACCCCCCCTTAAATATTTCAAGGGTCTGTTTGAGTCCATATTGCAGAATCAAATAGCAAATACAAATAAAATTACACAGTGCAATTAATTTTTAGTTTAATAAAAGCACTACAAATATTGTTTTGAGTGGCTCATTTCCAATACAATTTAGATCTAGATGTTAACAATTTTATCTGAATTTGGGAAGTTTTCAACACACAAGAATAGCTTTGTTAGGAGTGAAATTTTGAGTAAAAGGAAGTACATATCAGCAAAAGCCTCTTGCAGGTAGTTTTACTTTAAAATGTGCAGGAAAGAAACTTAATTTAAGCACAATGGTCAAATTAGTCTTTAAAGCTACTCTACTGAAGCCAATAAAGGTTGATCCAATATTACTTAGTCTATATTTTCAGTTTACAATTTCTTGTACACGGCATTTGCCACTAGAATCTTATTCTGACCTTCTCTGTATATATATATATATATTTCTTTTCTATTTACCTTTTGAAGTGATATTAAACTACTGAAAATAGCTTTTCTTATTTCAAGGATTCATTGGTCAGAATAAAAATTTATTCATAGGTTTACAAGTGTGTGCTTGTTGCTTTTATCTCAACAACTCAAGTATTTTAGTATCTTATATTTGTAATTGTCCTCTCAAGCAGAGAACATGGAGTAATTAGTAATCTGATCTTCCAAAGATCTCCAAAACTGTCATAATGAGAAGGTTCCAAATCCAACTATAAGTGTTCTTCAGGAGAAAAAAAAAGCAGTTGAAATAGCTGAAACCAAAACTTAATTCTACTGACTAGACACCCATCCAGCAAAGTTTATTCTTCACATTAAATAAACTATCAGAAGTAAGATCAAAGTTATCTCTATCTAATTATACAGAGGATTATTATTTATAAAATCAACAATGAAAAACACATACTTTATTAACTCAATGACTATTTGTTCTACATTTCTTACAGCACTTTATCAAGTCAGTTCAGCAGCTCAATAGCTACTGGTTTATCGACTAATGAACATACTTCAGGTATGGTCACTGAACTATTGTTTCCATTTCAGGTTATTATTTGCTAATTTCAGACCAACAGTATGTGAACAGAACACCTAAAATCTGAAAAATAAACTGCTTAAAATTATTTCCCTTCTGGCTGTCCCGAGCTGTCCAACAAGCTCCATGTTGGCAGACCAGACAGGTGGTGAACAGCCCAATGCTTAACCTCATCTAATCTCTAATCTAAATCAATACCCTGATGACAAAAAATCATATGAACTGTAGGACGCTTTTTGTTCAGTGGCACTTGAATAACCTAAGTTTGATTCTATCATATTTGTTTCATAAATTTCAAAAGGGAACAGATGCAAGTTTAAAATACCAAGGGAAAAGATTTTTTTTTTTAAGATATCAGATTTAAGGTGCACAGTCAGGATACTTTACAAACACTGATCCCTCAGAACTATATAAAGACATGACATATTGGAAATTTGCTTTTTGTAATACAAAATAGCTTAGTTACAAATCTCTAAATGTCCCAGTAGTATAGTGGACAAGAAAGGTCTAAAATCAGTGCTCACTGGTTATCTTTATGACCAGTGGTATATGTAAATACCACAGTTTATATACTGAAATAATTCCTTACATCATTTGCTACCTTAACACCTTATTAAATTATGCCATTTTCAAAAAGAGTAAAGAAAATATGTAACTATGAAATTTTCAAAAATTACAGTAAGTAGCATATAACCAATAATCTTTTAGCTGTATGGAGAACAGTATGCATTAACCTCTCTTCACCAACTAACATATTTTTATGGTTAGAAAAGCAATTTTAAGGAAACCTTTTGATAGTATTTGGATGCCAAGAAATTGCACTTACTGTTAACAAAAACTGCAAATCTTAAGAATGACAGGTAACGTTCACCCTCTATTGGATTCCACCCAATGTCTGGATATCCTTTAGCCAGCAATACTGGACAACTCTGCAGGCCACAACCTGCCAGGTAGGTAACAACCTACAATACAGAAACAAAATAAGTATGAAACAAAATAAAGCTGATCTTTTTTTTTTTTTTTCATAACAAGTTTTTTATATCTTAGGTGTTTAACCTGAGAAACTACCAACATAGCTCATTATTACATCAATCTTACTTTCTAATTCTTGCTTTTAATGATTATGAAACAAGTTAAGTACTCTTTAATTCTGATGACACAACAATACAACATGAACAAATGTGGAATGTGAAAAGTAGAATAAAATACTGTGGAATTCGGATCTTATTTCTACAGTACATAAACACAGTTAAAACAGTATTTATCAGCTTTAAAAATAACATCTATAACCATGCATGGCTAATTTGCTATAATAGCAAACGTTTATATACCAAATGTTTAGTTACTGTAATTCCAATTTTAATAAATATGCAAAAAATTACATTTTTCAAGCTGATAAATGTCACTGAACTGTTTGAAGAGCATGAAAACACAAGGATTATAATTTTTGGTAAGGTGCAAATTCCTAAAATAGCATTACTTGTCAAGAGGATTATCTTTAAAAAATCTTTCAGTATTCATGACAAATTTCAGCAATTACAGTAAACCAAATTTCTGAAACACAGAACCGTTTTTCAGTCATTTAAAAGGAAATTTGCAGATAGCTGTACAAACACACAGATTTTGTTCTTATTTAAAATACACAAAGGACAATATTATAGTACTTAAATATATTTTGCAATTGGTAATGAATATCAAGCACCTTTCATGAACCTGGAAAAAGGTATGCAAATAATCGTTTCTTACAATGAAAGGCAGCCAAAAATGGGTGGCAAAAGTGGAACAGGTTTTATCTGCAATTCCACCGTCCATGAGATCATACTTAGACATTATCTAATGCCCTAAGAGAGAAACCAGTTATGAATTCAGGAAGAAGAATTATGCCTCTGCTGATACAGTATACGAGTTGCCTCCAAAAGGTTGCAACAGAGGAAAAATGGGCTGATGTGAAAAACCGCGTTTATTACATTACACAGGAAGGAAGTTACTTGGTGCACTTGTTGGAATAAGTAAGCAACTCCTAACAGGACTCAACAGTTTCCTAGTATCCATTCAGAAGGTATAAGTGAATACACACTTGTAGGAGTCTAGAGATGCAGTTCATAAAGAATGTAAGAAAATGATAGAATAAATCTCTTTTCCATATCTTTTCATATTTTACAGTGCTACCATCAAACCCCTGTAATTTTAATCGATTCATTTACTAGAGTATGTCAGCATACTGTGGGATACTTTCTTGTGCAATCCTTTACCTTCCACACATTCATACATCTGTAATAAAAAAAGATCAAATTTGCAATGGCAGAAGTTCAAAAGTTAGGTTGTCTATATGTAAGTTATTTGCTCTGAACACAGGCTTTGTGGTGCAAACTTTAGTCACACAGAACCTTTGCATCATTCTGTGAGTAGGGTATGTATACCCCATTCATCAAACCGAGCTATACAGTGTGTTTTTTCTTGTTATTCAGTTCATAAATTTATTTACTGAATAACATCCACATATTGCACTAGGCAAAGCTATTGACTAACCAAAGTTAATATATTACAGCCAATACATTACCATTCTTACAGCTAAAATGACTGATGAAGTAGGAAAGCCCAGTCTGAGACACATACAGCTTGATTTTTCAGCATAAAATATTGTATGTGTTGCAGCTGATGTATTTTACTGTTTGAACATTCAGCACTTGTGTGGTGCCAAGTATTCCAAGGTAAGCAATCAGTAAATGAGGAACATGCAGTTAACAGCCAACAGTGAAATTCAGTTTAAGTGATTTCTGCTTCATTACATTCCATGAAAATATGAGACAGTCATTGGTGGCATTCCAGCCACTAGTGGTGTATCCCAAGGGCTGATACTGGGGCAAATACTTTTAAATATCTTTATTAAGCAAAGGGCAGAGTGCACTCTCAGCAATTTTGCAGCTGATATAAAATTGGTTATTGTTCTCAATGCTACCTTTCCCTAATTAGTGTACTCCTGTGCTCTCTCACCCTTCCCATTCATATTCTTGCTTCTGTCTTCTCCTGAAGCTATCCCCATCATACATCTATTTATTTCTATTTCCCAACTTTTCCTCTCCCACAGCATATGCTGATCACAAGCACCTCGAACAAGCAGTTCTACTCTCAGCACAGGATTCTCTCAATCTGCACAAAGGCTTTTTCTGTGCTAAGCTAGCATTTAGCTGCTTAACTGCTCCCCTTCAAATATACCAAAGCCTGTCTTTTTTTTTCTGTTCCCCAGTGCTGTGCTAGCAAATACCACTTCCTCTTCCAGCTTTCTTCCTCTTTTGACTGCATCCATCTTCCATCTCTTCACCTGTTTTCCTTCCTGGATTTACAAATAACTTTAATGACATTTTTTGTATCCTTTTATCCACCATTTTTAGTTCATCCTGCCTCTCCTAACATTTCCCTTTTTTTTTCCCTAACCATTGCCAATGACTGGAGTCCTGGATTCAGTTTCCTACTGCAACTACTCTTAAAATCCTCTTCCAACTTCCCTTCTTCAAATACTTGTCCTCAGCTTACACCTTGTTCCCCATCAATCTCTATGATTTTTTTAAGCCAAAAGACCTGTCCACTTTCTCCACATTTTCCTCTTAATTCTCCAGAGTTTCTTGATATGCCTTGCTCCTGTTTCATGCCTTTTTTTCTTGTCATCCTTTCTACCTGATAACAATAGTGAAAGGCTGCATAAGATAGAAATAAATCTCTTTTGCTGAGGTTCTCACTGAGTGTAAAGCAAAATCAGGGCAAATACTGCTCAGTCAGTCTTACCTTGAGACAGCACGTACCTAGAGCAAGTATTTCTGAAGAGACCATATCCAAAAATTAATATGATCAGACTTGCCCTTATCTGTTCTATCACAAGTACACTAGTCAATAAATAGGTAAATAGGTCAAGGTCATCACTCACCTTATCAAGATCTGGCTCCTCCAAAGCTAGTGCAAGCTCGTTGTTGTCCATTACAGATGCTGCTGCAACATCCAGCGGTGTTGAACCTCTCATTGAAGGAAATGCTGCAGAAGTTAATTTACAATAATTAAATTCAGTTTGCAGTAAATACAGTCATGCAGCAGAGGGCAGCAGGCACACTGGAAACCAGAACATAAATCTATTAATAGTATGCTGTATGGTTGTTCTTCAGCCAACAACACAGTTAACTGTTTGGAATAATGCTAAAATAAACACTGATTTATTTTTTTTTTTTTACTTGACATCCATATCTGTAAACATACTCAACCACACTGGTTTTAAATACAGGTGGAGAAATGAGTATTAACAGTGTAGCAAATCATAGGAATATTATACTATTTCTTTAGCAGAGCAGAATTTTAACTATGTAATTCTGCACAACCCTGTGAATTCCAGATTTAAAATATGCTTTTCTTTCAGTCTTATCCTGTTTTCTGTGTTTAATATGGGCAAAAGTAGGCATCGAAAAGCCACGATGAACAGCTGAAGCACTGTGAAATCACACACTATTCTACCTTGCTATACTTTATTAATATAGCCACATATCTAGTCAAAACAATTTTTCTTGTATTGCAAAATCTAATGCACGCCCTTTAAAAAACATACCTTCAGTATTCCAAAGGAAAAATACGAAAGTGGCCTAAACTTTAGAGGGAAGTGAAACCAGATGAAACAGGCAAGCACCATGAAGGGTTAAGAAGGGTTAATTTAATATTAGGTTTCCAATCACAACTCTTTTGAAAGGAAAAAAATATTAAAATATATGGATCTAATCCTAAATTTTTAAAGATATTTAAAAACACAGATTTAGACTATTCTGTTTCTAATACAATCCAAAGACGCATAAGGATGACAGGAAAATTGAAGAAAACCAAAAGAAAACCTCAAAGAGTTAGTGGTGAAACCACAAAGTGGTTTAAGCTTTAGAGAGCCTTCGTCACACGTTTCTACTTGCTATACTAATGAGAGGCTAGTTTTGAGACATCACTGTTCCTCATGGTCTTGCTTTTGGCTGCTCCAGCCCCATGGCGTACCGAGTCCAACACTGCTGTTCTCCAGCAGGTAGCTGAGGTGCTCAAACATTGCCTTTTGGTTCTGACGACTGATGCGGCAGAAGTAGCACAGGAAGCGACAACAGCTTGCCACCATCTTAGGAAAAGCGATCTGCTGAAGAAGAAAGTTGAGAAAGCAGTGAAATATGTAAATTACCAATCTGTTCCAGTTCTTCTTCCTGCACTCCTAACACGGAAAGTATAATGAAGTTACCGAGGTGATAAGCAGCTGACAGTTGCTTTGTTTCTAACTTAAGAAAGGACCCACATTTCCTTTTAACTTTTGTATTCATTAGGCCATTAAGTTTAAAATGAAGATAAATCATTTTGCAGAGGACTACTGGGGACATGTAAGGGGAAAAAAAATGGTGAAATAATGCTCATGAAAGCAATTTGCAGACTAGTAAATGCAGTCATACAAAACCACAATCTCAGGAACATTAGGATAACATGCTCAACCTCCATTATTATTATTAGCAGAATAAAGAATATTCAAGAAATATATTTATCCTCCTATATGTCATGTAAATACATACAGTCTTCATATAAAACTTTTCTACAGGACTCTTATATCATTCAATGCAAAGGCCTGATAACATAAACCAAAACAGTAAATAGCTTTTAAATGCTTTTAAAACCAAAACTAAACTAAAACCCCTTCAACACTTTTCTTGTTGCACATTACATGTGAGTATTTTTCTTTTTAAAACAAAACAATTTCATCTGTAGCACTCATGAAAGAATATTTTACAAGTTGTAATCAGTCATAATATCTTCTGAGATGAACAAGTTTTGCCATTCTCACATTTTACTGAAAGGAAGTGTAAGAACAAAATTTTAAAAAAAATTGGACAGACTTTGGATGCTTGTTTAAAGGTTTTTCTATCTGATTTACTAATTTTACCTTTATATAACACTTGAAAAAAAATGTCAAGTTCTGTTGCAGATGTATATCCTAAGGATAGTCACAAAATTAATGAGAAAATTCACTACCACCAAGAATTTATTTTTTTTTCTAATAATCTGACTAGCATCCTTGAGGCACAAGCAGAATAAGGTGTTATTTGTTTGTTTGTATTTCTTTTTTTTTTTCCTATAATACCCAAAGTGATATCCAAGCATTTTAATTACATGATGGTTTTTTTTTTCCTTCCTATGACATCCTGCCTACTTCACTTCATACCTTTCAACTGTAAATAATATTACTTTTGTGTTATTATAACAAACTCTAATAAATATTGCCTTTTTTACAACACAGCTGTAATTAATCCTGAGAAGTGCAACTTTTTCAGTTAATGAAACAACAATCTTGCAAAAAAACTCATTATGCAATTAAATCTATATGTCATATATTATCTTGTCAGGTTATCAGGTGCACTTCCTAAATTCTAGGACTTGATTAACTGTAGCTTTTGGCAGTTTTTTTGCTAATACGTGCAGCTCATTTGCCTATTTCAGTCATGAAAGAGCTATTATGTACAAGCATTGTTGTATAGGATTTCTGTTCTTCAATGTAGGGTAGATGAAAATGAATGAAAAACATTAATTTATTCATGAAAACATCAAACAAAGCTTCCATCCCCAATTTTACAGAGATTTTTTAAAAAATGTGTGACATAAATTTGCTTAGAAAATTACAATAGCAGCAATACTGTTAAAATTTGTCCTTTTAGAAAGTCTTCATTATTGACAGGAATACATATGAATATGCAATTCTGACTTTCAATCAGTATAAAATAACTCTGAAATAAAATTATTCAATTCTGACAGTCAAAGAGGGTGTTGTTCATGATTCCCTGAAAATGAATGAATAATCAAGACCAGAAATCAACATGACATTAACTTTCAAAAATTACAAGAGCTAAAGACATGGTTTTTAAAAATAACTATTTTCAGCATTAAGATACACACTCAGACCTAAGCAGGATGGGAGCTCTGAAAGCTTGCCCAAGTATGGCAAAAAATGGTGAGAAGTTTTACCTTCCCACCATTTCTTCAGAGATGTGAGAGCTGTTACACTCTCACTACATGTCTCAATCCAGCCTCATGATAAAATCACTTAATCCCAGAAGCTGGAGACCTAGTTTAAACCACCTGCTGCCACAATCTAGGAAAATGGCCAATCCCTAAACCAGAGCCTACGTTGCATAGTTGTTCATTCCATCTCTTAAAGCTCTTACCCTGGACAAAAAATTATGTCCAAGAAGCTGGAAAGAGGAAAGAGAAGGGAACATACTAACAATCTAGCCATGAGGAACTTGCTGAAGAGCAGGAAACGCAATATTCTAGTGCCTGATGCACCACTATATTTGAACTGTATGTAAGCAACACACTGGACAAACCCACAGAGAATTTCAAGTAGTATATACAGCCGTAACTGACCAAGGCATGCTCACTGGTTTTGGCCCTACTCCTTTTTATGTAGAAGAATGTCTTACCTGGCAGAGTGAAAGATCTGCAGCGTGCACAAACATGCACCTTCTCAGGCTACAGCCTGGGGGTTCCCCACTGCAATATCTAAAATCTGTGCTAATGGTGTGCAAAGCTCTTTGTTAATAAGCTTGGTTGTGTTATTTCATAACATGACATTACTCGTGTGACTCCCTAAGAAAATTATTGCTTCTGAATCATGAGTACCTGAAAGTTTCTACACTTAAGGAGAAAATGAGGCACTGCAGTCTGGATAGATTGAATTCCAAAACACACTATTCCTTTTCCAAACTTCTTCATAACATTTCTACTCCTATGCCAATTCCACTTCGGCAGGTGAGGTTTTGGATCCCTCCTGAGGTATCTAACTCTCCCCATGCATTCCATAAAGACAGAGACACAGTAGTAAATTTTGGGTGGGCAGACACAATAAATGCTGCAACACCAGGCTACCAAGTAATTTCCAGGTCTGCATTCCCTTTGAAGGATATAATAATAATTTCTGTAAATTATTTTTGTAGATCTGTGTTCCAAAAAATTTCCATGAAATCATTTTCAATAGAATTAGAAGGTACGTCAAGGTCAGAATTAGAAGGCACTGTGCAGTTGTTCCTGTTGTTTTGAGGTGGGTTTTTTTGGTCACCTTTGACTACATGTATATATATGAAAAACAGAGGGTTGTGACATCTATAAACTGGTGAAGTATTAATAATCCAATAATTAATAGTAGCTTGCCTTGAACTCAGATGTAAGCATATTAAAACAGAATAACTAAATCCAGTGAATGCTTTGTAACACTAGTTACGAGGCCTTCACTGGAAAATACTGTTAAAATGGTATAGCCAGACAAAATACATAAGTATTCTAGAGAACTATATGAGCTATGTGACCAAGGAGGCAAAGAAAGAGGGGCGTAGCTGCACATAGAAGGCATTCAATTAATGACAAGTTGTCAGTCAGAGACAAGATAAGCACAAGGTAGTAAAAAGGGCTGAAAATCATTCCAAATTCATAAGTGCAAATGTCCAGGCAAAAGAAAACAAGTAAAGCAGTACTGGGATAAGAGGAGTCACTGTGATGAGAGGGAGGCAACAGAATAAAAACATCAGGCATATGCAAAGAGGTGAAAGAAGGTAAGCGTGCTTCACTCCTGACTTTCTTCAGTCGCTTAAATTCCCAGTTAGGCTTCTCAAAATTCATGCCGCTCTGCCTTTAAACTAACACATATATACTGCCACAAAATCACAGAACACTTTGGATTGGAAGGGACCTCAGAGATCATCTAGTTACAAGCCTCCTGCCATGGGCAGGGACACCTTCCACTAGACCAGGTTGTACAAGGCCCCATCCAGTTTTGGACACATCCAGTGTTAAGGCATTTACAGCCTCCCTGGGCAACCTGTTCCAGTGTCTCACCACTCTCACAGTGAAGAATATTCAAGCACAGCACTAAGAAACAGGAAAATACAACACTGCAAGAAAATTATTGCTCAATTCAAGTATGTGAATTTAAGCATTCAGACTAACAGCATTCGTTGCTGTTAGTCTCTTATTACAAGTTATTGTTAATAACACTCTAAGGTGTATTTTCCTAGCAGATCTACACCTTCCACAAATGCAGCTACTGTACGTATTTAGTTTGAAACAAGAAGAAAACATTTAAAAGTCCTGTTAAAAGAGAAATGAAACACCTATAAGCTCTCACTCACTTTTTAAAAACCCCAAGTACTAGAATTCTGGGCTTCTACCTCTAGTACTACAGAAACTCTTCTATTTTTAACATTGAGCCATATTTCAGTTTGCACAAGAAAAATCAGTCTAGCATGATGAAGATCTATTTTTCTTTGGATATTTCTTAAGTATCCTAGTATATTTTCAAAAAGGTTCAGAATGCAAAACACACAATTATGCTGAAATTACCTGAGATTTGTCTCCTCCAAGCACATTCACCATCACATCCATAACAGTCTCATGCATGCCCAAGACTCTCATTAAGTTAGGATGCTGATAAAACACCTTGTTGTTCATTATATCCCTAAAAGGAAGAAAAGGCAACAAGGTATTTTTAAGAAATACTATTTTCATTTAAATCAATGATGCATTAACAGAGATTTCTGAAATATTAATTCACTTTCATAACATCATTTAAAATCCTTAGACTTCAGCATAATACAAGAACACCAAATACCTCAGATTTTAATATGTTGTCATTCTCTTTAATAGTCATAAATTCTATATAATAAGAATCTAAAATTTTAAATTATTTCAAAATGACATTTCTTCATCTTTAAATTGCTGTTACCATCTGTTCTGTTTAAAGGAAAAATATATTTTGTGATATCTAAGTGGAAAAAAAACCATATTCCCTTATGTTTAAAGTAGAGAATGGAGATCAAGAAATCTAAGTCCTGTCTTTCCTCTGCAGTAACACCTCTTAATTAATTTTCTCAGTTCACAAAGAAGAAGACAATAGACATAATATTCAAGGCTAGCTGTTAAATGTGTGTCATCAGTATTTCCAAAGTTAAGACCATCTGTCAGAAGATGTAAAATGGCATACAGTCCTCCCAGAAAGGAAAATTTAAACTTATTTATTTTGACTACTGTCCCTTCAACATAATATAGAACTTGCTGTATTTGTTTTGTAATCCAGAACACAATTTTTATGTGTTTCAATAGGGAATCCAGGGATATCTAACATTTTAGGTCAACCTGTTAAAAATGAATTGCAAATAACAGACATCATGCCTGCTTTAAAGACATACAGAAAACTGGGAATGGAAGATGACTCAATACAGCGCCTCTGGGAAGAGGGCTACACACACGATCAGTTCACCTTTTATCCCTCTTAGAATTTTCAGCAACTTTACAAACTCAGCATCAGGGACAAGTTAGGTAATACCATCACACACTACCTAATGAGTTACCATAACTTGCTTAATTCAACTTAAGAAATTAGTCTTCGCAATTTTTACAAAAACAGTACAGGTTCTACAGTGACATAGTAAGAATAACAGAAGTTCTTTGCAAATGTAAAGGAGATAAATTGTTCAATGTTCTTGATAAACGACAAATAAGTACAGTTCTTAGGTAATTGTGTTGTCATTTTTTCTTTTTAAAGACGCTATTTTAGTTGAAGTAATTAATTTTCTGTGAATTTTTTGTTCCTTCCAATATTAAATGGCGTTATCTGAAAATTATTCACATAAGAGGAGTAACAGACATGCAGGCATGCAGTATAATATCACTGCTTAAAAGAGGTAATTTCATAGCAAAGACAGAAAAAATATTCTCACATCAAGCATTACATAAAAGCAATTTCTTATAATTGTGATGTTATGAAGGCTAAAATAAGCAGTCTTCCTGTTCAAAAACTTTCAGTTGTCACTGATGATGACATAATAAACACTAAGCAATTTGAAATATTTCAGATCACAACACCACTTTTCTGGTTCTACCTAACTGCTTGCACAAACTTTTGGATTAAAAAGAAACTAGCAAGTTTATTCACTCTTGTTTGAAATATGTGCTGTAGTTTTGGGAGAGGTGTTATATTGACATCAATAAAGATATAAATTATCTGTTTTCTCCAGAGTTGCTAGAACGTTTGATGCAGCTTTAAGGATTACGCTTAACTATAGTAAATGGAGTCTATTTTGTTTAGGTGAGAATACCTTAGTTCACAGAAACTTTGAAATGTTTGATACTGCTAGAGAGATTAATTGGAACCATCTTGGAAACAACTGTGAAAATTAAAATTTCTGGTTCATATATGCATTTTAGTAGAGCAGCAATTTTCATCCAGGATCTAAAATGAAAGGATTTACTAATACAACAAAAAGTTTAACACAAACTTAAAAATAAAATTTTGTTAATTCCATACCCTAATCCATTTATCATTAGCAATTCTTCCTCTTTTCCCATCCTGACACTGAGAAGTGAGCGAATCTGGCCCAGTGCTGCAAGCAGATTAATGGTGTCCTTCACCGAGGCAGCACTAATGGTGTACGCCTTCCTCAGAGCCTGCAGCAGCTCCCCAATGCTGTCATACTGCCTGCGAAGGAGGGTGTACATAATCCGAACCAATTCTGGATCCTGAATCTGATCCTCCTGGGACCAGCGCACCATAGTCTGCGATATGAGTTCTTTCAGCGTAGCTAAAAAAATAAAATACATAAAACGTTACTTAGCTGTTACAACAACAACAAAAAAAAGGTCAAAACACCACATATCATAGTAAAATATTAAGTAATAGCAGACAGCGAGGCAGTTTTTAAAGAGCAAAAGAATGGAAGCAGACTGAACAGGATTTTTCAACTATTTTTTCCATTATTTCCAAAATAATTTTTAGATCTTTCAAGGTAAGTGTGATGTTCTTGAGAGATGGAAGACAAGAAACTTCCACTTAGCATTCCAGTCAATACGACCATTGTTAGTAATGAAGGCTTCTTAGTTGATCATGACTAAGAATCATCCTTGGAAGCTGAATGCAATATCTAAACATCAAACTTGATGATCATCAGCCTAGGTGTGGAATACAGAAACTGGTAATTAATTTTTTCGGTAAACAGTTTATTGGCAGACAAGTATGAGTTCAATTACAGCAGAAATATTCATGGATGTGAGTGATAAGATTAATTCATCTTTTTAAAATCAAGCATCAAATTCAGGGCCTAGCCAGGGTGGCTTGACTGGCTGTTGCTGCTCATTCACCTGATGAAAAGCTGGTTATTTTGTTGTTCAAAAAAGGGATCTACATTGTCTTCAAAAAGATGATCTGCTTGGAAACATCTCAGAATTGTGATGATGCAAACACATATCTCTATGGAATAGAGATGCAAACTGACTTAGAATAGAGGAATTTAATCTGTATTTCCCATCTGTTCAGGGAAAGTCACTGTCACTTGTGAATACACTTTCAAAACAAATTGTACGGTTTGGAACTACACAATGCATATTGCCTGAAGCAGTTCTGTTGTACACATTACATGCTCAGTGACCCTGAAAACAATTTTTCTGAGCCTAGAGTTTAGGAAATTTACCTGGAAACTAAACACACGTTCCAGTCCGTTGTTCCAAGAAATGTTCATTGTTCATATCAAGCAGAACACGAATAACCACCTTCCCTTTTAAAACAATGCAAGTTTCTTTCCTTTGTTTCCAGCAAAGCTACCTGTTGACTTTTCCAAAGTTCTTCCAATGGTAAGAACAGCTTCCTCACATTTCCAGCACAGAAGAGTTCATAGCTAGTGCATATCCACTTATTTTTGTGCCTACACATCCTTAGCCACATGTTATGAATGAAAACATGAAACAAGCTTTGTTCCAAAATACTGTATAACTTTCTTCAATCAAAAAATTTTCTTCTTTCAGGACAACAAGGCAATCTCCTCTTGATTCTTGCACTAAACCCTTCTCTCCTGGAATAATTAATAATTTCTCATAACTTTCCAACTCACAGAGTGTCACCAATTTCTGATTACATAAATATAATGCACTTTTGTCAGAAAGCCAATGATCTTATGAAAGAATATAATTACTTACTCTGGTTTTTTGATTACAGTGGATATAGCGTTAAAGACAGTTACCTAAAAAGGTCACCCAGCACTGCCAGGTCACCACTAAGTCATGTCCCCAAGGACCCCATCTAATCTTGAAAGGAATATTACTTTCAAAATAATGTGGTATTTTGGATTTTTTTTTCATGATGGAAAAATACCATATGATTTACTCCAAATAGGTATTTTCCACTTCTGCAACAAAGTTATTATTTTCACTGACTCAGTTATGAAGATGATTTTATATACTTGAGTAACTATCAGATATGTATACACATAACTAAAAGATTATTATTATTTTTAATACTAAGATAATATTCCACAACAAAAATATTCTCATGAAATGAAAACATGAAAAACAACTTGTTTTTCTGAAACAAGAGAGGTTTCCATATGTGAATACAACAAAATGGTCCTATGTATTTTAGAGTTTCTCTCTGAAGTTTTTAAAATGGTTCTCCATAAAAAGTGTTAATGTTTTGTTCAGCACATAGGTTTTAATAACTTTGAAAGTTTTGATTTTTTCTTCTGCTAAGTTTTCAAGTAGCAATTGCTACATGTTTATTTGCTTAGGCAGTATGGCAAATAGCCTTGGAGAAATCATGGATGCTTGCATGGATGAATTTTTGGTCAAAAGGTATGAAATGGCGTAGAACTAAATGGTAGTGGTCACAAAGAAGGAGAAACAGCGGTGAAGTTCTGCACAGATCCATACTGTATTGTATGATGTTAAGCACCTTCCTTCCTTAAAAGACCTGAGAAGGATATAAGCAGATGCAAGCAAGTTTGATCATACAAAGTTATGAAGGACAGCAAATATGACTGTAACTGAAGAAGCAGAACTTTGGGTAAAAATGAGCCATAAAATGGTGATGAAATGCACTTTAGTCACCATAAACAAAATGAGGTAGGAAAATATAGTCCTCGTTTATAATTAGAATGATGAGATGTTGGCAGAGATAAGATATGGCAGATAACTCCATGAAATTCACAGAATAGTTGAGGTTGGAATAGACCTCTGGAGAGGATCTGGTTCCAGTCCTTATACTGAAGCAGTGCCATCTAGAGACAGTTAGTTGTCTGGGACTGTGTCTAGAAAGTTTCTGAATTCACAAGCAGTCAAAAATATCAAATCAAAAGCCAGGATTTATTAAGAATGGAATGTTTAAAGCAGAGTACATTATCTTACTCCATAGTTCAGCCACACTGAACTTCACCAAACACAGGAAGAAGCAAACAGACATAGCCCATTCACAAGGCAGGAATAGCTAAGCCAAAAAGAAAGGTGTTTCTTCACATAGTAGATGATGGAACCCTGAAACTCCCTGTCAAAAATGTGGCAGATGTTAAAAATTCACATTTGCTCAAGTGAAGACTACACAAATATCTCAGAAAAATACAAGGGGGATAAAAAAAAAGATAAACCTATTTAGACTCGGGAAAACTCCAGAGCTGAAGGCAACTGGAGACTAGGAGAGCATTAAATTTTTAAGCATTGAATTTGATTGTTTTATTCTTACTGGTCCATAGATAACCATTTGTGGTCACTGTTTTAACTAAGGTATTGGATTGGATGGATCTGAACCATTACAGCCTGTCTTACACACCGTATTACTCCAAAACTCAAAAGTCTCCTTTGTGACAGTGATTTTTTTTCTATCCCCTCTGATCCTTTTTACCCTCTTTTGCCCTATACTGAAGCAGAAAAGCTGCTGTGTTTGTTGTACTTGAGGAAAAAGATCTTGCAGCTCAGCCAAAAGATGAGAATAGATGAGAAACAATCAAACACGATGACCCCAGCATGATCTCAATCATAGTCAGCAATAGTCTGATACTCTTTCTGACTGCTAATAAATCACAAATGTACTGTACTGCAACCAAATGTTCTTTAACTAAAATTTTAAAAACAAGCAACAACAAACGGAGCTAAGAGCCAGTGGAAAGTCTACCGTAAGTAACATCTAACAGGTTAATATTCTGTGGTTTCAGTATAAGTAGCACTCTTAGGAGATAACTCTCAAAAGACATAATCTATTATTCTTCATTTTAATGCCACAATTGCAACTTTTTTTTTTTCCCTTGAATGTGCAGTGGATATCAATAAAGACTTTATGATTTCACACAAACTTTCTCATATATCCAGTCTAAAATTACTCTGAAAGGTCCATGGTTCATTGTTTTAATGTGGGACCTGAACTAGGGCATTTTTTTTCAAGCCAGTAAATTCTATTTCCTGATTTCTAGGAAAGCTCTAGGACCAGTAATCTAGGACCAGTAACGAAGTGTATACCTTCAGAACATAAAGTCCTACGTGACAGATTTATTATAACTGCAGATACCCTCCCTAAGTTAGAGGCATATGAAGACCCACAATTGAGTAAGCCTGACAGCCATAGCTTCTATTCCCAAAATACATGAACAAGATCATTTATCTCCTTTCATTTCCACCTGTAGAAAAAGTAAACAGTATACCTATCACTCACTATCTTAAATAAAAAGTCCTTCCTTGCCATTTGTTGTGTGTAAGGGATACTATCCATTGTATCACACCAAAGTCCCTGGCTTGGGAAGGAGGGGAAGGGCAGGCCAGCAGATTAAGCTGTAACAGAAGATGGGAGCAATCTGGGTATTTGGTATGGTGACATCGATAACCAGATGAAATAGGTGCCAATGGTTTTCCAGCTTTTAAGCTTTAACAAGAAATTGCAATGCCTTAAACAATCTTTCAAGGTTGCATGATGAGTCCCACATATGCATGATTTATAAAAAGTATGACTTGACAGTTACAGAAGTCCTATCATCATAACTAACATTTATTGCCTCAGTGTGTTTAATCTCTGAGCTTGCTTTTAAAACCAAATTTTACTAATCTGTCATTAGCACTAGTTTACATTGTTGGCATCTCTCCTAAGATAAAAGTCCATTTGTGAATAGTTATGAATGCTTTCTTAGAGGAAAGGAAGATTTCTTTGCAGAAAATAGTTCCTTCTTATGAATACTCAGCCCCTGAGTATGACTAGATGCTCAAGGCCTTGTCAACAGGCACATGCCATGCACACTGTCCACACCCCCTCGACCCCAGTCATGTTAGAGGATTGGGGAACCTCAGGCACACATTTCCTTTCACTCTGAATTCCAGGTGCTAACAGATGAGTCACTGGGGAATAAAGCCCTTTTTCATGCAACATATGAGATTATTATAATATTTACTGTATTACAACACAATATCATGCTTAACAGACCAAAATATTCTTTCAGGGAAGGATAAGCCCTCTCCAGTGCTTTACAGTACATATATATCGTGTAAGAGGTGTCCTAAGTTATAAAATAACATTGCTGTCTAATCTTACACAACTCCTGATGAAATGATTAAATCTGAAATGAAATCAACTGTCCTGGGTCTGTACAAGGATCTCTTTGCAACCTGAGCAAATTGGAAATACAAGAGGAGCAATTACTGAAAGACTAACCTCAAGTCACTTCCATTATTTTGTATTTGATATTTGGATGATGTTACAGAAACCTGGAGCTGGCAAAAGCCAGTCTTGATTCACAAGGGCAATGAGAAACCTCAGCAAAAATTTATGTTCTAAAGGAAGATCTGGAGGAACTGGGGTTTCTGCTCTACTCATTCCTTACTGTCCATAATCACTATTAAAGATTTAAAACCCATAAACATATGAGAGCAAAGACAAGATTTCAGAGATTGACACTACACATGAACCTTACTGGGTGTAATACATAGTAGTGAAAGCCAAATGCGTTGCTCAAATAAGCTTAACAAAATGCTCATGCAGATGGTGGAGGAATTGCAAGCACAGAACCCATCTTGCCTGTTTAGACATGAACACTCCTGCTGTATTAGGGGATAGGGTAGGAGAATATACATGTGCAAGAATACTGCTCAGAATAAAATGTGATTTCAAATGTTTCAGGGTGCATGCACGTGCGTTCCTCTCTATATGTACCCTAGGAAGGGATTGTAGCAGGAAGGAATACGAACACTCAGTTTTTGTACCAGTTGTTCCCTGCCAGTAGCAGCATCAGTAACAATAAAAAATTTATCAGAGAAAGTAGAGCCAAAAGAACAATATACCTTCAAAATGCAACATGAAACATTACAGAGAGAAAATAATAATAGCAAATTGCTACTCAAGAATTTGAGATAACTTCAGGATGTAGGACTTTCCTGCCTTCCTTTACAAACAAGCTGTGCTTTCCTGTTAAGTAACAATGAGGTTAAACTCACCTCTGTAAAAAACATTACAGGAATGTATATGTAGTATTTTTTTATTTGAGTGCTTCCTTTAATTAAAAGTAGTATAAATTTGACACAATATTAATACAGGCAATAGACTATTTTCAGCTTTTAATTGGTAAAATGACTGCATGCAGCTACCAATTACTTAATGCACATGCATTATTTCTTATAGTGTTTAATGAACTAAATAATCTTCAAAGCATGATAAAGAAGTGACCGGTTGCTACAAATTACATTCCCCTGTGGTTATGAACATGCTTCGTTTCTCTGAAAATCCACCATTTCAGAGAATCAAATATGAGTTACATACAGTATAGTACTACCTACAAGCTTGGGCAGAATTTACAAGTTAAAATTGAATGCAGTAAAAAAAAAACAAAAACAAAAAAAACCAACCAAACGAACAAAAAAAGAAAAAAAAAAAAAAAACACACCAAACAAACAACAAATAATTCTTCTATTTCCTCTCTATAAAGGTATATAACAAAATGTATTATACCCTGTAAGTGTTCAAATGCTTGCTGGATAATGCTTCTGAATCTGGTTGTAAGATTTAGAAGAAAACTTGCTGAAACAAATTCTTAGTCTCTTCTTCTGCTTGCTTTATGCCATTAGGCATGGTAAAGTAAAAAGAAGATAGCTATGAAGTATGGCAAGCATATGGCATTTGCGTATAAATAATGTGTCACTTTAATTTACTCTTCTACAGAAAAGACACTTTCCCTCTTTTTATATCAGAAAAGCTATGAATTAGTGCTAAGTTTATCCATCATTCCTCTGTGTAGAATAACTTTGATTCAACTATATTTGTTTCTTATAAGAACTAACTTTAATTCAAGAGTAAAAACTTTCATTAACATCTGTCAAACTTTGCACAGCTTTCTCTTACCATAATGTGCAAAATTTGCATATATATATATATGTTATCAGCAGATACACATAGCATATGAATGAAGTCTAACCAGCCTCCAAAGTGCCTTGCAACATGTATCATCAAGTCTTTTTGAGAAGAAAGGTCATTAACCTGTCTGCTCAGCATCAACCAAGAGAAAGCTCGGACTGTTGGTCTAGAAAAGAGAAGGCTCATGGGCAATCTTGTCAATATATATAAATACCTGAAGGAAAGGTGTAAAGAAAACAGAAGCAGGCTGTTTTCAAAGCCCAGTGACAGGACAAGAGGCTACAGGCTCACCCTGGAACACAGGAGGGTCCACATGAACGGAAGGAAACACTTTTACTGTGAGGGTGAGTGAGCACTGGCACACGTTGACCAAGGAGGTTGTGGAGTTTCCGTCTTTTGAAGTACTCAAAAGCCATCTGAACATAGACCTGTACAACCTGCTCTAGGTGGCCCTGCTTGAGCAGAGGTGTTGGACTCCATGACCTCCAGAGGTCCCTTCCAGCCTCAGCCATTCTGTGGTTCTATGAATCACTGCCACAGGACATTACAGATCTGAAAACAGAGGAATAAGCACTCTCTATTGACTTACTCTTAAATACCATTAAACTAATTAACTTGAAATAAATTGTTGCATTGTTTCATAGTTACTCTCAGTTCTCTGTTGTGCTTACTCAGCTAGGGGAAAGACAGTTTTCAGTGATGTAATATACATTCTCCCATATGTATTGTTCTTAGGCCTGTGAATTTAATTTTATCTCATCTCATTAGTTTCAAAACATATACACAGACTTTTCAGGTGTTTTGGAATTAAATATTTCTTTTAAGAAATGTTAATAGCTTAATATTACTTAGCAAACACACAGGGATATCCCAGTCCTCCTCCTCTATAGTATTCTGCTGCAGAAAGGAACACTAAAAAAGAAATTCTGCTAAGTGGTGTTTGTTCTCATGTATATTTAAGCAACATGAAAGCTCACGGTAATGGGCAATGATGTTTATAAACTACAGAGAAAAGTTTTCAGGCAAGGTGATGATAACGAGACTATGTTTTCTGCCCTCTGATTTTAGAGATGCATGTTAAATGTCTATAAAAACATAGCAGAATAAAATATAGCAATAATAAAATCTGAACAATTTTGTTAAGCATTTATGAATGCAGAATTTGTACTTCAGAAAGTAAAGATTTTTTTTTATGTTTAGTCAGTCAAATAGATCAACTATTTATTTAAATTCAGAAAGGATATGATATGGATGTATATATGTACATGTGATGCTTGAGATAAATCAGAACAAGTTGTCAGTTTTTAATGAATGTATGTATTCGTCATCAAGTGAAATAAGCGAAAGCCATCCCTTTTTATACAAAAAAAACCCAAACTGTAATTTTTTTTCACATATATCTTGGTTCTAAGGTACATACAGCTTCTCACGCAGCGAAGAAAAAATAAATGGAGCTAAGCTGAAAGGAAGAAAGTTTTCACATTTGAAAGAAACCAAACATATAAATAGAAACTTCTCAAGTTTGGAATGCTTGAGTCCAAGATTATTGTGCTATAATTAACTTTTTACATTTCTTTATAAAGAACATACACATTTTCAACCTCAGAGTTAGTCATCTGGACCCGAAATCTCCCACTCATTTTAACTTCTCATTTAACAATGCATCAAAGTTTTTCAGTGTGTAGGATAATTATTCCAAGAGGCAGAAGGAACTTAAACAGGTAGGCTGCTTCTTCGGTCTCCTATAAAGCTCTATCAGAAAATACACTCGTGTTGACTGCGTACACCTTAACACATGCATCATGGAAGTATTTATGTAGAAATAAAACTTACTGGGAGATTTCTCTTCTTCCTCCTTAGGTTCTGCCTTTTCTGCTTTTGGTGGACCTTTTATTTTGTATATTAATGAACGGAGTTTGCCAGCCAAGGAGTAATCTTCCTCTTCCTCTTCCTCCTCTTCTAGAGGAATACCTTAGAAGACAACAAAACTGGTTAAAAACAAAGTATATTGAAGAAGTTAATTTTCAAAAGTTATTTAAACAATATCAAAATATCTACAGGAATTTTTTTTACCAAAATTTTTCATAGAAGAAAAAGAAATTTTTCTTTGACAAAAATGACAGCAGCTTTAACATGTTCACTAGAGTAGCACCTTTCAAGTTATGTTTATTTTAATACTTATACTTCTTATATTTAGCATCCTTTTTCAGTATTATGACCAAATAAGTGGTATTTTTTGAAGATTCTTCTATGGCAATTACTTGTGACTCATAGTTATACTTGATTAAATATATGAACCTTTGTTTCATATTACAGATTGTAAGCTGAAGAAAAAAATGGTTGTATCTCACAATATAGTACAATTTTTCAGTTGAGATATTTAGAAATCATAAACAAATATATTGACTGAATTTAAAACTATAAGAGAGCAGGTGTTCAGAGATTATACCAGTGAGAAATGTTTTTAGTGAAAACATATCTGATGAGAAGGGATGTCATTTTACAAGGTAGCTTAATACAGTTCAGTTCACTGCATTGCTTCACAACCATTCAAAGCATTCTTAAATGTTTCATTCCTCTGGGTGACGGTCAGATACCACATGTGTTATGTGCAGGAGCACAGAATATCTAAGCAGGTTCCCTTCAGACCAGGGGTAATTGTGCTGAGCTGAAATGTAGGCTTTTGCTGTTTGGATGCTGGTCAAAGTGAAACTGAGAAAAAGAAAAGTTTCCCAGACAGAATACTAAAAAGAGATAGAAGCTAGAGCAGAGGGTAAAGAATAAACTGCAGAGGCTAAAACTCATATTAAAAAAAAAAAAAAAAACAAAAACAAACAAACACTAAGAAAGGAAAAAAAAACCTGAAATGCGATAGGAGGTTGGAAAAATTTTGCTGCTGGCAGCTACCAAGGGTAATGAGTTACTGCTATGGCTAGGAGTGACTAAGAAGAAACAAATTCAGAAACAGTCGGAGAAAATTCAGAAACAGTCGGAGAAAACGTGAGAAGTCAAAGTTTAAATTGAGGTCTACATATGGAAGTTAAGGAATGGGAAAAATTACACTGCTGGGTAAAATGAAAAGTTAAGAATGAAAGAAGGCTATTCCTTCAGTTAGAGACTGGAAAAAGTAAGAACAGGAAACGTAGCCAAGACAGAGAGGAAAGAGAGAGCAGACAAGGATGTTTAAGAAAACAAGAAACTATCTGGCACTGAAAACCATCTAGGCCCTGGAAGCAAGAGACACTGGGAAGAGAACCCTGGAGAAACTGAAATGGACAGACAAGAAGAAATGCTGTGGGATGATGAATTTAAACAGTATTAGACTGGAGGAGATAGGTTCTGTGACTGCTCCAGATGGGGTCTCATTCACTGCTCCATATCATTTATTATTCATTCTGCATCCTCTTAGAGTTGCAAATCCATTCAGAAGCTGATCATCTCACGTCACTACTGGGTCATCACTTAATTCAAGTAGCAGAGGTCTGTGCACTGGGACAGATGGTTCCAACCCAGATAAGTGTCAATTTCATATTATGCAATAAAATCCGTTGTAAACTTGTTGGGGTTTTTTTTGTTTATAACCAAGAAATTAGATGCAAAACAATAATGTCAGGGGACTATTATTTTGCTGACAAAATTAACCACTCACAGTTAGGACATGGTAGGATTAAGACCGCCTGAGTAACTTTGAGACGATTTGTGTACATTCATTATGAAGCAGCCTTTAATTACTTGATTGCATACATATTTTTCCACTTAGACCGCAAAGTATACTTAGTATTAAAAAGCTGATTAAATATGCCAAGCATAACTCCTATTCATTTTATCTGCAGCTGTGATTGCTTAGCACTGATTTTAAGGACTAAGGACACAGATAATGAGGAGCATTTATCTGCAGCAACCACCTATGATAAATCTGTACAAAGTAATGAATATAGTTTTGTTTAGAATCCAGAGGATTATTAAATTATTTTAATGATGAGACTGTGCTTTCTGTTTTCAGTTCTCCCTCTCATTCAACATACACATTCAGTATGTAGTAAACAATAACTAAAGTACACCTCTAAAAAGGAAAAACCAACACAATCACTAGAGTTTCACCTCATGAAAAGATGAAGAGTGGTCAGAAGCTAACTCAATAATAATACCAGTAACAAACCCTTGAGGATACCCTAGAGGAAACTCAAATTCAATGACTGAGGCAAGTCAAGTTGCCATCTGTAGTGCAATAGTGTTTTACAATGGCAGACCATCACAGTTAAGTGTACACTACGAAACTAAGCTAAAGCAGCAGCAGCATTCCTCATTTAGTGATTTTGGTTACATTTTCTGCAGCTCAGCTTCACAGCAATAACATTCTTTCAATATCTTTTATTTGCTTGTACACATACACTTGCCTATATAAATCTTCTAATGTAATCCAACCTTGTTTGGATTATTTTTATTTTTTTCTAAGTCAGTCTAAAATTTATATGCAAACAGGATGGTATCAGATAATACTTAATAGCTATATAACAGTGAAATGTAACCATGCACAGATTTCCCATATTTTTGTAAATGGACCCAAGTACGTTAAGGAAGTCACCGTGTAGACAGTAATACACCTGACAAAAAACCTCATACAAGTACGCTTTTACCTGATCTGTCCTTTTTTTATGTGAAGTGTCAAAAAGCATTACAAAACCTTGCCACTCACCACAGTGAATTAGAAGATCATCATGAAATTCATATAGCTCCTCCCGAATCTCATCTGGACAGGGACAATCCTCTCCCAGTTGAAAATTCAGCAACATGTTAATCTTAAGGGAATTAAAACATAGTTAAAACACTGAAATAGTCTTTTTTACTTCCAGGAAACAGCTTTATAAGTAACTGTAGCTGTATTTTGATGTTAGTCCTATCTAAATGTCACAATCATAGAATCATAGAATCA